AGACTTCACGAAACTAGTCGAAGTAGAAGCCTCGGGCGAAATGGACGAACTCAAACGAAAGATCAATCAGATGGTATCCAATTTACGGGACAGTATCCAGAGAAATACGCAAGCTCGCGAGGCGGCAGAGCTGGCCAACAAAACGAAGTCCGAGTTCCTGGCAAATATGTCTCACGAAATCCGTACACCCATGAACGGTATCATTGGCATGACGCAGCTGACACTGGACACGGACTTGACACAATACCAGCGAGAGATGTTAAATATTGTCAACAGTCTGGCGAACAGTCTACTCACCATCATTGACGACATTCTGGATTTGTCCAAGATCGAAGCACGCAGGATGGTTATAGAAGAGATCCCGTACACTTTGCGAGGAACGGTATTCAATGCGCTCAAAACATTGGCAGTCAAGGCGAACGAGAAGTTCCTCGATCTCACCTACAGGGTCGACAGCTCCGTGCCGGATCACGTCATTGGAGATTCATTCCGTCTTAGGCAGATTATTCTGAACCTGGTCGGAAACGCCATCAAATTCACGGAACACGGCGAAGTCAGTCTGACTATTAAGAAGGCCGATCCTATTGTTTGGGCGTGCGGCCCTGACCAGTACGCTATCGAATTCATCGTTACGGACACAGGTATTGGCATTGCTGCTGATAAGCTTGACCTTATTTTCGACACTTTCCAGCAGGCCGATGGCTCCATGACGAGAAAGTTCGGCGGAACCGGTCTCGGATTGTCAATCTCGAAGCGTCTTGTGAAGCTCATGGGCGGCGACCTGTGGGTTAAGAGTCAACATGGTCAAGGCAGTGAGTTCCACTTCACGTGTCGAGTGCGCTTGTCGGATCTCGGCGTGGAGATCATCGAGAAGCAGATCAAGCCGTACAAGGGTCACGAGGTGCTCTTCGTCGACAAGTCGCAATCTGGCTACGGAGAGCAGATCGAGACCATGCTGTCTCTGATTGGCCTCAAGCCCGTTGTTGTCGAGTCGGAGAAGAACCCCATCCTCACCAGCGTTCGCGACGCCCAGGCGATGCCGTACGATGTCATTATTGTCGACTCCATCGACACCGCCAGAAGGCTTAGGTCGGTGGACGACTTCAAGTACCTGCCTATTGTACTTCTCGCGCCTGTCGTTCATGTGAACCTCAAGTCGTGCCTCGACTTGGGCATCACATCATACATGACTACGCCCTGCACCGCTGTGGATCTCGGCAACGGCATGATTCCCGCCCTCGAGAACCGCGCGACGCCATCACTGGCCGACAATACCAAGTCTTTCGAGATCCTTCTCGCGGAAGACAACCGGGTCAACCAGAGACTTGCCGTCAAGATCCTCGAAAAGTACCACCACGTGGTCACAGTTGTTGGCAACGGTCTCGAGGCTGTTGAGGCCATCAAGGTGAAGAAGTTCGACGTTATCCTCATGGATGTTCAGATGCCAATCATGGTGAGTCCCGGAATTTCTATTACTACTTAATCAATCTTTGATAGCAAGCTAATCCCACCCCAATAGGGCGGTTTTGAGGCAACAGGCAAGATTCGTGAGTACGAGCGCAGCCTGGGCTCGCATCGTACTCCCATTATTGCTCTGACAGCCCACGCCATGATGGGTGATCGTGAGAAATGCATCCAGGCACAGATGGACGAGTACTTGTCGAAGCCTCTGCAACAGAACCACCTTATCCAGACGATTCTCAAGTGTGCGACCCTCGGCGGTCAGCTCCTGGAGAAGAATCGGGAAAGGGATATGGCTCAGCAGTCGAGAGTCAAGGCAAGCTCCAACGAGCATCCTCAGTCTCATCTTCGCCCGCCTCTGGAGACCCGATCCTTCACTTCAAAAGAACCAATCACTGGACCCAGTCCGGCCAGCCCAGCTGTGGCAACGGCAGACCAGGAAGACCCCATATCTAGGGCACGTAACGGCCTTTCCGACTCGCGCAGCCTTACAAGCTAACTTTGTTTCTTGTTCGTGCGCGCAGCTGCTACTGAGGTCACATAGTTCCTAACTGGGATGTGCAGGGACAGGCTCAGAAAAAACGCAAGTGGAACCCCGAGTAAACCACAATCGACTGACATCGTTTTCGATGAAATACCCCAAGAGTTAAAAGATCGTTGATGGATACAACACGAACATGGTCGCTTCCCCATCCTACCTTTCACTCGACACTCTTACACATACACCAATCACGTACGATACAGCCCGCCCCCTTCTGAGTGGCTGAGAGAGCTTCTCAGATAGAAGAGGAAGCGTTGCGTGCAGCAGTGTTCCGCCTTGCAGAGAGCAGCTAGGCTCACGGGTTGGATTACAGGGAGGGTTCTCAAGATGGGCTTTGCATACAGACGGGCCAGGCAGGGCGGCATTTGGGCTCTGGGGGCCCTTGAGGAGTTTTCGTTTATGAACTTTTTGTCATCATCAAAGGGGCAAGGGCAGGGGCTCAACACCGTCCTCGTTCTCTACCTTTTCGTTAACCTTCCCATTGTAGTTTTATTTTTATTGCCAAGGCTTGACAAGGAGGGACCACTACCGTCACGGCCAGTACATGAATAGGCTATGCTTTGTGCTCTCTCTTCTCCTTGGAGGGGTTGATAGCCGGAGTCGAAGTTGACAACTCTGATCACGACATCAATGTCTTTGGGATCAAGCATAGAGGATGGATAGCCAGGGGCAGAGAGGTGGATATGGGATTTTCCATCATCAGTGAGATCAGGTTACCAGCAACAAGGGCGTCTATTAGGTATGGGATTGGGACAGAAGACTTTACATCGTTTGATATTAAAGAAGCCCGATCGACCTTGGTCGGGCTGGATACCCAGACTTGGACCGCTCCTCATTGTGACTACTCGAAGTTGTGAGCCGACTATTCTGTGTTTCCTCCTGTGATGAGGCGTGATGCGGGCTCTTTGTTCTGTTCTTGATCAGTCTTAAGTCTTGTGTTGTCTGGCTTGGCCCCTTACACGACACCCCCTAAGACCATTTCCCATGTTCTTCCCATGTTCTTCCCATGTTCTTCCCACTCTTTAGAAGTTGGATCAGCCCTGAGGTAGTTCCGTCTGAGCCAAGTCATCGTGTATCTTGGGTTTGATATGTCCACGACGTGAGGTCAAGCGACCCAATAGACTCCTCGTCGTCTGACATGATAGCCATGGGCAAAAGTTCTGCCCCGAGTTCCATTGGAGGTTCGTCAGTGGGTACGATGTGACATTACCATACCCCGTACAGGACGTTCAAATGCAAGATTGACACTGGCATATTTACTCTCACGTCAGGCTCGAAGGTGATGCGACTGAGATCTCCTTACATCGGAGAAAAAAAAAAACCTCATCACAGACCGGTGGATAGTAACCAACGCGGGGGGGGTGGGGATTTCTTTTCCCAAGGCTTGACTAGGTTTCTCTTCATCTCACTTTTCTCTATTGAAGGTTGCCACCAGTCCCAGCCCAACATGTCTCCGCTCTCATCGGTGCCCTTATTCAAACGCCGCCGCGAGAGAATTCGCGAGTATTTGAGTCCCTTGAAAATATCCGTAAATAGATGTACTGCGTACAAACGGAACGCTCATTAAGGGTCACGCCCATTGAGGCCGATTTTCCAGGATACGCATGGTAAAGCTGGATACTTTGACAAAGTACCAGTATCCTTGCCCTTGTGTTTTAACGATATTTTGATTGAAGCTATCGAAACCGTTGAGCTAGGTACGGATATAGAGAGCAGTACGAGCCCGTGGAGCCTCAACTGAGGGCCAAGAAAACGAACAAGCAACCATATGCAACATGCCTTGATAACCAATGTCACTGATCATACCCGATTGGACCGGGGAACGGGAATAGGTGGGAAACACCTATGCATATCCGTAACACACGAACAAAGTGCATAGAGCCTCCCTCCGCCGCATCTTAGGATCTACAATAATACCTAGTATCTCCAGAGGTCCAGAACAAACCGCGACAACCCAGACTTATCGCCACTTGCCGGCCGGCTCTCTCTCTCTCTCTCTCTCTCTCTCTCTCTCTCTCTCTCTCTCTCTCTCTCTCTCTCTCTCTCTCTCTCTCGCCCCCATCACGATTTCACCGAAACAACAACAAAAAACGGAGCGTTTGATCCGGCAGGCACTACACTCATACACACCGTTTAATCTGAAGCCCTTTTCGATGCCCCCCGATCGAGTTCCCGCCTCTCACTCTCATTCGTTCAACCAAAGGGGATCCGCGGTCAGGAACGGCCGTTGGATCATCCCCCTCCTACTCCCCCGTTTGGATACCCTGCGAGATGCGAGGGGGAGGGGGATTTACCATCCGGGTGGAGGGGTGAACGTCCTTACATGTCGGCCGAGTCACTCCTAGCCCCGGGTGAGACGAGGCAGGGGGAAGCAAGGAGGTAAGGACGGGAAGAAGGAGGTTATGCTCCTGTCAGGCACTCACCACTCCCACTCTGGACAACCACACACACACACCACAAACTAGGTATCTGTATACCACATACAATTTCAGGAATATTTTAATCACATTGTGACATTTAATCCATGCAACACAAAGTTCTAGACCTTCTTCAGAGGAAAGGAGAAAAGTTGAGTGGTTCCTAGGAACATGTAGATAGCAATAAGCGAGTGGCAAAGCCGTCTGAATCCGGCAATGCAGCGCGCCAGTTTCGCCTCCCCAATTGCCCCAATCTCGATAACTTCCAAACCCCGTATCCGTACCGTGAGAAAGAAGAAGACCTCCATGCCGCGTACCTCTCCTTCCCTCTCTCTGTTGGGCGAGCCCAAGAAAAGAACAAATCACCATGTGTGCGCGGATACATCAATGGGGACGGGAATCGCGATATACGATGGGATGCGGTCGGTGAGAATGTATATGATAGGTCAGGGCCGGGGACCAAGCAAATCCGCTAATACACGTGTTGAGGGCAACCCTGATCCCTAGCATGGATCGTCGTGCCTGGGGCAAGCAGGAGCTCCCTTGTTCGCCACCCTTTAGGTCTCGTCGCAAACCCCAGAATTCGCTTCCATGCGGAACCGCAAAGAGCAAAGAATACGATGCAATGCAGATGCAATAGGGATGGGTCGGGTCCAGAACACCGTGACACCGCGACACCGTCGGTTCGTGACACCGCAACCAAATGCTGACTTCTTTCAATGCGTATCCCAACCCCAGTCTAAGTGCCTAATAGCCGGCGGCGGCGGCGCATCGTCAAAAGGCAGATCTGAACCTAGGCTTTCTTCGCCGCCTCGGAAGACGCGGAGTCGGAGCTCTGGGTTCCACCGTTGGAAGGTTTGTTAGGGACCGTGTCGTCCGCCTTCTTCGCATCTTGGCCGGGCGGTGCCACGGTTCCGTCCTCGTTGGGCTCTTGAGCCGATTCGAACGCGGCTAGCAGTGCATCGAGTCGACCCTCGAGGTTTGTCAGGTTGGCCTCGAGTGCGCTGGCGGCCTGCTCGCCTCTGCATGCGATTTGCGGTTAGTCCAAAATTCTCAAAACATAATGGCGTGTATGATAGCGGTCACGAGGGCGCATCTCGATGGGTAACGAAACATGGGAATTTGTCTTCTCGGTCCTACCGCTTGGCTAGACCACCCCGGCGGGGAGCAAGGGGAAGTGCAGTAGTCCCCCAAAGTCTGGCGATGCAGAGGCAATTGGGCGTGATCTGACAACGGCCCCGGGCGTCGCGAAGTGCTTATGGGCTGAGACTGAATGTGGGCGCTAGCTTTGGAGGTGTAAGATGCTCGAGGCCGAATTCGTCTCTAGGCTCGCGGTGCCAGCGGATAGTCTGGGCCAAAGGGAGGGTCTAGAACTTCAACGATATGGGCTTTCTGCGGGAGCGCTAACCGAAAGCCATCGTCGCACATGGGTTTTTGTAACAGCGAATTAGAGAATGCCGGACCACATCCCGTACAGCACCCTGCCCCCATATCGAGCGATAAAATCGCATGTCTCGCTTCGATGCGACATCCCTCATGGAGAGAGAGTATCGCGGGCAAAGCGACCGGAGGAATGCTAGGTCGTGGATGGCCCTCTTCGCTAGAACAGGAACCCGCAGAGTCGAAAATGTGAGAATGGCCGGCGGTTGAGAGCGATTGAAAAAAGACCTCTGGCTAGATTTCGAGTCTATGCCGGACCGAGCAAAATCCGATGCCAATCCAAGTCGAGTCCAAGGCTGAGAACGCCATTTGCAAGAAAAGGGGAATTTACACCAGTTGCAAAGGTTGGCGATGTCTTGCCCACGAACGAATGAATGCGAGCGAGCACAGGCGCCGCTGTGCCACGCAAGGATCCGAGGGAATACCTGGGCCATACGCTGAGTACCGTAGTGGACGGAGTACCTAGCAATGCGCTTTCCCCGGGGGTTGCAGCTTCGGAGGCAGCTCCGACTCGTTCAGGGTGCAAACATGCCATTCTCAACATTGTGGTGAGCGAGGCAGGGAGAGGGGCGTTTCATTCCCTCACACCATGGGCGCGAGCACAAGGGGTGCTGACACTCGTCCTCGCAGGCTCGCAGACGAAGAGAGTGGGGGAGAGAGTAACATGAAGGGAAACTACTCGTCGAATGAGCGTACCTTAGCAGGTCCTTGTAGGCCTAGAACGTGCCCCGAACGTGGTCAGCCCTGGAACAGTCTAGGTAGGGGGGTTTTCCCATCCGATGCCACCCCCTTCTGCCCTCGCCTGGCCTCTCATCTCTTCTGCAGCAGTTACAGTGTGCACCGGGCAAGTCCCTAGCCGCTCCGTATGTACGAGCGGAGGGCAGCGGAGCAACCAACGGCCATGCCAAAGGTGGATGGTGCAGAACTGAGCGAGGTGACTGGGGGAGGAGAGACGGAGTGAGGGACCCAGGGGCGGAACGAGAGAATGCGAGAGAGGGAGAGAGAGAAAAGGATGGGAAACATAGGGTAGATGGTAAACCGAGGCATAGAAGACGGGCAAAAACACCTTTGGGACCGCGGTTAAGCCTAAAGCTCTGCGACTTTCACCGCGATCCGCTCAGGTGTTGCTGCCGCCCCCCCAGGCCCCTTGCTGTGTCGGGGTCCCAAGCCAAACCAAACCGCCTTGCGAAAATACTGTGTAGGTACGGGATAATATTAACAACAACATACCTGGGCAATGTTATCCACAGAGCCATCGGGCCCGGTCGTTGTCGGGGAGGCGGACTCGGGCGCCTTGGACGCTGGGGCCATGTTCGGAAGACGGTGATGAGCGGGCGAATCAAAAGGGTGAAAAGATAAAAACTGGCCGGGAAAAAATAAAAGGGGAGAAGACAGTGGCCTGATTTGGGGATCTTAATGGGAGGGGTCGCCCTCTTTTTTTAATCCTCTACCGATCCAACCCTTTGTTGATACCGTGGGTTGCGCTTCCTGGACCCTGGTATACGTGTCGTAATGGTGGGAAATGCGGATACTGGTGCGTTTTTGCGCCGCCTTCTTGTGATGTGCTTCTTGTCGACGACTCGTCGACGATACACCGTTGAATACTCGGTAATACTTTGTTGTATCCGTAACCTGTTCGTTATTTATTTTGGCCAAGGTAGGGCGGCGACAAGCGTGCGTGGAATCCGGCCTGGGGGGACCAGTTCTTCTCTGGGTGGCTCAGCGTACCAGGTGATCCGGAGTTCGGTAATGCCGAGTGGAAGGCGATAATTCGGTGTCGTGTCAGGGGGATAGTTGATGTTGAACGTCCTGGAATGGATGGTATGGGATTTAGTAGGGTCTTGAGACGTGCGTAGTAAACGGCGTGTCGTCGACGATGGGCGGCAGAAATGCGGTGTCACTCAACCCCCTCACACTTCGGGAAGGCGGGTGCATGCAGCTGATTACGTAAGCGCGACCGTGGTCGATCCCAGAGGCAGGAACTCGCAGCTTTCGCGTGGCGCTTCCTCAGTGCTAAACTCTCTGCCAATCACAACTTCAACCGGTAGCCCAGATCGTCTAGTTGGTTAGGATGATACGTTGTGGTTCTTCTATACAGCGATCCGTGTTGACGGCGGTTCGAATCCGCCTCTGGGCACTAATACTTTTGCCGAATGGCCTTTCGTGAATGAGAACATCGTCGTTCACGATCTTTTTATGCTAACCGCAGCGGTGGTGTTGCCCAGTGTATGAGAAACTAGTAGCGTCGCAATGTGGTATCGCGATCATGCCTCCATCGCAATGACCCGTGCATCCTTGGGCGTGCGCTGTTAATACAACCTGGGCAAGATGCGCGAGATATGGCAAGGATGTCAAACTACCGCGGGCATTTCGGCCTGATTCCCCTCCAAAACAAAGATGGGAAACCTGACTGTGCGTTGGGTGCCTTGCTCTTGGGCCCGGATCCCCATTCAGTCAGTTGATGATGGATCATGGATAGGTAATCTCGAGACTCGACTGTTCGATTCCGATCCCATTGCAGAATGCAGATTCATCCCACTCGGCCCACTATTGAAGGGGGACCGTTCCATGTCTACATGAGAGAGAAGCCAAGTTTATGAAGGGCAGAAAAGTATCGTTGCCAAGCTAAAAGCTTCGGGAACCAGGTTGATTTGATTTCATTTGATCTTGATGCGATGCTGTTGCCTGTAAAGCTATTCCTTCAACAGGCTCACACACACACACACACACACACATAATCCTGGAAACCTGCCGACAGGTTACCACTGCAGAATCAGAGCAGGCGCCGATGCAGCCAGAAAGCCAGAGGGTCGTGTTATATTGGTACTTGGCAGTTCGTAACGGTAAATTCTTCCCGAATTTGGTGACTGCCGTGGCTATCTTCACTTTCAATGGGATGGAAGGTAAGGCAGGCAGGCACGGATAGGCCTTAAACAGACATATTGTTCGAGGATGATGAACCCTCCCAGTGGCCTGCCTACCAGTGTGCCGACTCATATATGAATGAGGTTCGACAGCAGTCAATGTCGATACTGTTGCGGTAGGTGGAATGGGTCTTTTTCGAATCTCCTGTCACATCATTCGTACCTTACACAGAGAGGCAGGCTTGGTGGTTGACCACTTGAGCTGTTGTTGCTACAGGTAGGCATGATTGGGGAAGTGAGGTCATCCCTCTCTACCTTGCATGAGTAAGGTAGGTACGGATACCCGTCCCTACCACCATAAAATCAGATACGGGGCAGGGCGAGTGAAGAAAGTATGGGACGCCAAAGCCTGGGTTCCCCCGTTGCAAGTACAGCACCGCGGGAGTTCTGTTGTCGTCACAGAGCTACCTATCAAGGTACATGTACCTTTACAAGGTACCTCATGTCACCTAAGGCAGTGCAGCGGGTGGCTGTACAGTCACAATCTAGAGATACCTCCTACTTCGCAGCGAGTATCGGGGCCAGGCATTAACCCCACTTGGGCCCAGATGGAGCACGCCGGAAACTGTCAACATTCCCTTTCCTCCCTCCCCCTACAGGTAAAGGTACCTTACACTAGGCGACTCGCTGCGCTGGGAAAGAACCCCCAACTACTTTTTCCAGGTGCTCCTTCTTTAAAATTTTCGATGCCGCAGCGCACTTCCAGATGTCGACCACGACCCCTCCCACACCGATCGGACCTTTGCAGTGTCTGATCAGTCTGATCAGTGAAAAAACAATGACATCGGATCCCAAACACCCAAATCCCGCCTGCTTTTCTGACGCACTGGGCGGCGGCGGTCCAATCTTTTTCTTACCTTACTCTTGTTCTTGGTGGCATTTTGCCCAATCTCGATGACTGGCGTGACTGGGAAATGGGCGTTCGCGATCGAGATGTTGGAATTCACCGTGTCGCAGTCAATGGAACCTTGTTTGCACACCCGTCAATCATCACAATCCCCCCCCAATGATCCCATCCATCCATCCATCCATGTGCCCTCCTCCGTAACTTACGGTTTCGCCTCGAATGACTTCAGCCAAATCCGATCCCCGTCTTTTTTTCTTGCTTGCTCGCTCGTTGCCGAGTCACGTACTTTTTTTTTTCTGCGCCTGCCCTGCGTTGCGCTTGTAGTCTTGGTACAGATACTCTTGTACCCAGTAGATGTCTAGACTCTCTCGACTCTCACCAACCAGCGTGCCAGCGGCCCAGAGTCTGGGCATGTCCGCGACAGAACAGCATCAGCCCTGTCGCCTGTGCTTCCCATGGTGATCGTATGTGCCGTCTGCGATCGTATTCTCGGATGCCCAGTGACGATATGCCTCAACTAGGCCTGCAGGCCACGCGCAAACATCGACGATTTCCTTCCTCTTCGCGCGCAACATTGTCTTGTCTTCTCATGCTTCTTCCCGGTCTCTCACGCCCACAGTCTCCGTTCTCTCGGTGTCTAGACCAGCCGATGGCTACTCTCAGCCCATTTGCTGCCCGCTAATCTTCATCTTTGATGAAACTTTGGCCGACGAGCTCCTTGCACTTCCTTATAGCTCATCGTCATTCGGCAGCATAGAAGGCATCCAAGACTCTCCAGTTGGTCCGAGGTCGTCGGTTCCGCAAGCCTCGTGCTGCATCAAATCTACGTCACGGCGGGAAGTCCATATTGGAGGTTGGGTCGGGAGGTGACTAGCGCGTCGATGCTCTGTAACACTGCCATTAGGCATATAGGTAGCACGTTCCGCGGCGAAACCCTCCGTCGTCCATTGGAGCCCACGGATAGATCAACACCCTCCGCAGCGGGAGCCCTTGGCCATGTCGGTACGGATATTTGTAGAAGTGAGATGAATATTCGTACCGGAGCGAGTGCTGGCCATGGGTATTGGCATATTGAAACCAAAATATCCGTACTCCGTGAATCCGTACCTAGGTAGTGAGTGCTGTAGCGTGCTACTAACGGGGTACGGAATGAACTGGATCGTGTTGGCACCGCAGGCGGGTTCAGTCTGGCAGCGCTGGACCGGTCCATGATCCCAATTCGTGCTCGTCAATTCTCGTAAAGCATTGTTTGATGCATATCTCTCGTTCTGCGCCCCGTCAAAAGGGTCTGCATGCGCCTAGGTGCCTCGCCAATCCTGCTTGCTGTCGGCTTGTCCAGCTTCGTCAAGATGGCCCGAGTTCCAGAACGCTCTTAGTGGATTGTGGAGCCTGGTGACAACCCAGAAGTGAAGGCACATGTGCTCTCAGCCTCACTTTGCGACCCGTCACCCAAATGCCATCACCAGCCGAATGCACAATGTCCAGACTGGCGATGGCTTTCGTCTTTTACCCCTCTATCACATAGCGAAATTTCGGTTAAACGGGAGGTAATACAGTTGCTTGCTAGGTCAGCAGACGGCGAAGTTGCCCCTTGTGTCGGCCCAGAGTTACACGGCATGTTGTGTCATCAGTAATCGCATTGCGAAAATGCGATTCTTCTGCAAATTCAGTGATATGTCTGTCTCCCCGGCAATTCACATCGCACCGGCACCATGCGAATCCCCCTGACGACCTTTGTTTTGGGTCTGATGGACCATGGATCAAACGTCCTCGTGTTCTGGCGCACACGGCCGTGACGGAACGGCTTCGCGTCTTGGATCGAATTCTGGTTGATCGATCACCGAAACATTACCATGTCGTTTATGTGGACGCTCCCTTCCGGTCTTCGTACAACCACTTGGGTGTGTTCCGCGAGGCATAGATGGATATTTGCAAACTGAACGAGAGACGTCAACGCAATTATTACGTCGTCCTGGCTGGCAGTCTGTTGTCTCACCCGCACCGTGCTTTGGGACAGCTACCTACGGACGAGGTGCGTTCCTCGACCGCGGCCCGTGGTGGCCAGATTCATCCGCGTGAGCGTGTGCAGCAGGGGTGGTAGCGGCTTTCGATCGCGGCGCAATTCTTCGATTTCAGGTGTCTTTCAATCCTTGGTGCAATGCTCCGTCTCCCCGCGCAGAGGTGTGTGAATAGCCATCTACGGTGGTTTGAGCCAGTCTGACTGGCTGCTCGACCGCTGACACGTCGAGAAGCGCGAGCTGGCTTGTCTGGGAAGCACACTGAGTGTGCAAGTGGAATCGACATCGAGATTCACTTCCACGGCCTGTTCTTCATTGGAGAGCAGGCAATGGTGACTGGATCGCAGGGTTGTTTATAGAGTCAGACGCAGTCCCGTTGACTTCCTGAAGTAAATTCGCGTTGCTTGGTCATTATCCCCAGCAGTTCTGGCAGACGTACGAGACTGCAGCAGCTTGCCCGTGACTGTCTGTATTGATAGCGAGGTTCTCGCTCTCCTGGTCAACCGGTCGACGGGCGGTATTCCGCGACCTAAATGACGATGTTCGGTCCCCGCTCTTGTTTTTGGAGAAGCAGAGAGAGAGAGAGAGAGAGAGAGAGAGAGCGAGAGAGAGAGAGAGAGAGAGAGAGAATGCTGGGCAGGCGACAGCGGCATGACCCGCGATGGTCTCGAAGGGCCCGTTGCCGAATATGAGTGTCAATTCAGGAATTGTTGATGCAGATGCCGTCTTGTACCTAGGGTCAGCACTGGTTTTTCGATAGTGGCTGTTCTGGCATCGCGTGTTATGGAAAATTGGTGAGAGAGTGTGTGCAGGTACGGCTTGGGAATGCTCTGTCGAGGCGAGGCAAGGCGTGCCATGATGCCGCTACCGCTACCTCGCTCGCAGTCAGTCGAGTTACGGAGCGGATTCCGTTCGTGAGAGAATGGTGGGCTGGCGCATCAGAGTCTAGCGTGTATGTTATGTCTGTGTGGTGGTGCGGCATGCGCAGGTACCTTGCTGTGAGGTGTTGTCGAGGGGAGTGACTTTGAGACTTGAGTGCGAGGAAGAGAAGAGTGGGTGAGGATGATGGATGAACACCCATCCCCCCTCTCTCTCTCTCTCTACGGTCTACCAGTGGGCAGTGGCCCAGTGCCACTAGCACTCTTTTCAGTTCCGTTCGGAGTACAACATACTACGTACCCATGTGTTATCCTGGCCTGAGGCCTCAAGTATGGGGTGCCTTGGGCTTAACGGGGAAAGAGAGAGGCACTGAACTGAGGCAGAGAGTCACAAAAGTCGCAGAGTGAGGCAAGCTACAAAGAGGGAAGGGAAGGAGACATGGATCAGGTAAGGTACGGATATCCATGTTCCGGTACAGGCTTTGCAGGTACCTCGAGGGCCCATCTCAAGCGGCCGTTTCCTGTTCCGACTCGCTGAGAACCCATGTCTTTCCATGTCTTCCCAAAAGGGCCCCATATTTGTCTGTCCTTGTGCTCGATCCCGCTTTTTTTGCGATGGGCTTCCAGTTAGACATGCTCACTGTTGCTGGTTTCCTCGTCGCCGACTTCTCGAAAGTCGGTTTCTGCCATCGGACGCCAGGGAGCCATCAGAGCTTGTCCTGGGTACCTTGAGCTATCCATCAGTCTGCTGCTCTAGCTTCTCTACTTGGGGCTTGGGGCCATTGGACATGCCACCCCGGATCACAAGTCAAGTCTGCGGCGACGTCTGAGGCTACCAGTATCCATACACTCACGCTCACTACCTTACCTTACCGTCTACCATCAACACACACCCACCCTCGAGAGAGATTCCCTACCGAGTATTGACACCTCTGACCTCACCTCTCAATCCGCGTCGATCACCGCGGGGCTAGTTCTTCTCAATCTTCGAACCGTTTACCTCGCCCTTCCTCCGTTCCATACTGCCATACACAGTACACCTACTCTCCCCTTGGCTCACCAAACTCGCTCTCCTCTCTCCGTCTCGGTAGACGGCCATCCCCCCCAGTTCTTCTTCACCGTTCCTAATTCCCAACCCGTGCAAAGGGGAGAGACGAGAAAAAAAAGACTTTGCCGGCCTGGTCACTTTCTCCCAAACCTAACCCCCTTCTTCGATCAAACAAACTTGGTCCAGTCTTCATCACTCCCACCAAAGAAGACGCGCCCTACTTTCGTCCACCAGACCATCTATCCGTACTCTTCCCCGTCGTTCATGCGGCTGTGAACCGCCGAGCCGGCTCAGAAAAACGCGTTCTCATAAAGTACGTATTCTTTCCAGAGCGCACATCCCATTCCATCTGAATCCCGAAGCCCCTCTTTGCTTGGTCTGGTACTTGCCGTTGTCCCACACCCCAAAAGCTCGGTCTCCTTCAATGTCATCGAGATCCGTCCTCCATATTGCAGCCACCAACTTTGGTATATCCACGCCATGCGTGCCACACGCCTTCCTCTTCTGCAATTACTTATCATCAACGCCCCAAGCAGACGTAGACCTCGCCCAGCAATCGAAAATTTTCCGGAATATTTCAACAACATCGCTTTTCGACCGATTTGCGCAGTATCGAAGACGACGAGAAGACTATTATTGCCGACCGACACTCAGTACTCGAAACAGGCGCCGCCTGTCGCTGCCCAACCGCTGCGACTGAATTAAGGAGGAACCTTTCAATGATTGTTGGTTGACCGCGACGCAAAAGGAAGTGCTTCGACTTCGAGCGAAGGAAATCGAGACGTATAGCGAACCGAATCGACGACTGAATGAAAGGGTTCGGAACTAGAAAGGGAATCACACGAAAAGTGGAAAGCCGCCGTGCACGCCAATTCGTCGGAAATCGTTTTCGACGCGGAAGAAGTCAGCAAACTATCGCACAACCGATCCGTGACAGCAACAACTTTGAGTTGACGTAACTCGACATATGCCCCCCACATCGACCATGGCGCAAGGACTGGACGGCATTTTTGCAGAGCTAGGCATCTCGCAGTACCTGGACATCTTCCTGGAGCAAGGATTCGATACGTGGGAGACGATACTGGACATAACAGAGTCTGACCTGTGAGTGAACCACGGCTGTTGCCACGACACATCCTCGAGACTGACGAGGCTATGTTTCCAGGGACGCACTTGGAGTCAAACTAGGACATCGACGTGTAAGTGCTTGACATACATCTGTGATCTACACAAGTCCTAACACAAAATAGAAACTGCAGAGACGTATTGCCAACTCGCGTGGCCTTGCCCCGGATGCATCACTAGTATCGCCCACAAGAGCAAGTGCAGAAGAGTCAAAGCCTGAGACACAACGTCCTGAGCAACCCCGCCTCGAGGTCAAAGAGGGACCTGTTGCTACGAAGCGAAAGTATCGACGTCACCCTAAGGTTCGTAAATCTTGTGCAGACGTACCACTTGTAACTGAACGAAACTAACGGACGCAGCCTGATGAGAATGCACCAGAGAGACCACCTTCGGCCTATGTGCTGTTCTCAAACAGTATGAATAGAATCCAACCTGCCTTGGAAAGGTTGAAGACAGCTGACCAGCCCTGCAGAAATGCGTGATGACCTTAAAGGTCGGAACTTGACTTTTACCGAAATAGCCAAGCTTGTCGGAGAGCATTGGCAAAACTTGACTCCCGGCGAGAAAGAGCCATACGAAACTTCTGCCTTAAAGGCAAAGGAGAAATACAACCACGACTTGGCCGAGTACAAAAAGACAACAGAGTATAGGAAATACAACCTGTACTTACAAGATTTCAAGGCACGGCAAGCCTCCGCAAATCAAGGTGCGTGGAGGTTTGTCGCTTCGAATGGCTGTTCAACTGACCTCGATCCAGCAAAAGAGTCGTCGAAACGTCAAAAGCTCGATTCGGGGGCTCGTCTGCAAAATGGAGGGAGCGCGAGTGCCACACCCGGGAGCCTCAGTAGCACCGGGAGTGGTACTGAGAGTCACCAAGGAAGCGAGCCTCCTCCTAATCGCAAGCAGCGTGTAGGTTCCGTGGTGTCGGTATCCGAATCTCAATACTCGACAGCCGTGCCGACCCCAATTTCCCATCATCATCCCAACGATGATTCCGTACATTCCCCTGCCAGCGTCCAATTCGATAGAGAGAGCTTGCACTCCACAAGTCCCCGTACTGCTCAAAATCGGAACCATCGCCCAACATGGACAGAAGCCCCAGTCAGACCAGAGCCAGTCGCACTTCCGCATCTTCCTTCACTCTCGGATGTGTTCAATAACGGACGAAGCTTGAACGGTGTCTCCAGGTCCCCTGAGGCAAACGGCTTTGGAGGCTTCGCGCCCCCAACACACGCTGGCCCTTCCGCGCCGCCATCGTTGAAGCACGAATATTCTTCCGCAGGGAGCATTTCATCGTCCGGTTCTGGGCTGTCTTTCCCCCGGACACCAGGTGAATCCTCGCTACCGATTCATGCGTTGTTGTCGAACACGACCTTGCCCGGTTCTATTTTCGAACTGCAACCCTCCCCGTTCTCGACTGTGCCGCCTACTGGACCCCCACCCCTCCAGGAACAAAAGCCGCCCTTCGCCGGGCAGCCACAAGCTCCGATTGGGGCATCGAATGGTACTCACAGTCAACCCAAGCAAGGCTTTCCCCAGAGGCTAATGAGGTTTCAAGGTTACCAATCCCCACCTGCCTTACTGAGATTCCAGTCTACCTCCTCAACGGGGACTGATGGATCAAACGTGTCGCAAGCATCATCGGGTGCTTCTTCGTCGACGTCGCTCGGTGTTCAGGAGAGGAATGATCCGAAGCTCGATGGTATGAGCGCGTTGGTGCGGGCGGGCGAAATCGTGAACCGTCGTGTTCAGTAAGCGGACTCGAGTTTCGATGCTAGGTCGGCGACTTCGTATTACGATGCTCGGATGCGCGCAATCTGCTAATCTGGGCTTCGAGTCCCGTCTCGTATGTTTGGCTGTGATTTTATTCGGTTGTTTTTTCGTTGATGGCATCAGCGTTTTGGTCAAGACCAGCCTGGTTGGCTGAGGTCGGTGTGTTTGATTACTTGAATACCCTCATGAATTGGCATCGTTTGGGAATCTTATTTGAGGTGGCGCAACTGGATAGTCATGGCGTTTTTTGATCGTTTGGATTTGACAATTGTTTGTCGTCCCAATGGCGTTGTAAGCTGTGTCGCATGGCCAGACGATGGACCACTTTGGGATACAGGGTGTTGACGGGTACTGCATGATACAAAAGCTCTCTGGTCTCTCGAGGAACCAAAAAACTATATAACCTGTATGAAGAAAGGCATGCGGTATCAATTGAACAAATCGAATTCATTCAGATGAACATGATTGTACGTGAATGTGATAAGAATTCGGAATGTAGGGGTTCAAAAGGGAAAACAACATCAGAGCAAGGCCGGGAGGTTATGACGTCAACCAAAACAGAAGGGGTGAGGACCCTTTCCCTCTGCCTCACATTTCTGACGGGATCATCACGGGCGTTACCCTTTCCTGAACACCTCAGGAACAAGCCAATACTTGCTGCCGAACGGCCGTTGGCACTAGTAGACAGAGCGAACGGCAGCATGGTGGCAGGCATCAAAATGAAGGGTCTTTCCCAATATGAGGAGGCGCCTGCATGGTTGCTGTTGACCACCTCATTCATTGGTGGTGTTTGCGCAAGTAACTCGGTACCCTGAGAAACGTCATAATTCTGTCAGGATTTCGGGGCCCTGGCAGCACCTGGCCTGATTTTCGATTTTTCCTAGGAGACCCCGGTCTTGGCGGGTTTGGTTGGCTGACGGCTGGTGTTGGTTGGTTGGGGTCCCTATTTTATCGTTATTTTTCGTTTTTTGTTTTCCCCTTCCCCTTGGGTAGTTAATTTAGGAAGGCACGGAGGCGGTGGTGCGCCGCCTCACTTTTTTTTTTTTTTTTTTGCTCGGAGGACCCCTGTTTGCCGGAAAACGAAACTAACCCCGATTGTTACTGCCCCCCCGTTGTCCCGTACAGTGGTACTATGACCCCCCTGCTTTGTGAGGAGTACTCATCGGACACGAGTAAGGTGATGTGTTGATCTGTAGGCAGGTTCAAAGTGTGTGGAATTTGCAATGTCTCGTGATTGTTGCAGGATGATTCAGACGTTGGGTGAATTTCCTTGATTTTTTTGTGATGATCCCGATTGTGGTTAATGTGCGAGGCTTTTCTCATCGTCGGCGATGAACCGAACCTGCGCGGCGAAGATGGGCAGGAAGGGTACTAAGGTGAGATGAGTGAAAAACACTGCATAGTACCTAACTCTCATGCACAAACCCGATTCGGCTTCTGCGCAGGATCATTGAGCACCTCAGGTTGGCATCTCGATCCTTTAAAAGAAAGCCAGCGCTCGGTTTGAAAAGTCTATTCGTCAGCGTAGATGATTGACAATCAACATGGCTTCAATGAGAACACTACTCGAGCCACATATATTGCATTGAACACTTTGCTAAAGAATAGTTTACTACATTCGCAGTAGAGGGCGTCCAGTCCTAACAGACCGATCAATTCTTCGTACTACTGGGCCGGGCACGTGTATCATATCAAGAATACGCGAGGAGAAATTTCAGCTCGAGGCAGTGTAGCTCTTTCTTTTGGGCGAAGAGGGTGTGAGCGCTTCTGGTATTATTAATGGCGAGATGGTTTATACCCAGCGCGTAAGACGTCATACAGAAGTCGAAAAACCACTGACAACAGGCATGCCTTACGTCCAAGTGTCCGGACGCCCTTGCATCAGTGACTTTGGACAGGCAACCTCGGGGGCCACTCTATGGTACTCTCAACCGAGTATCCAACCTCAAGTGCGACAGGACGCTCGAGACAAAATGTATGTCGCCTCTGCGAAATGGAAGGCCATTAAGATTAAGGTAGGAGCGATTGTGCACGATAGGGCCATCCAAGTCCAGTGTAAACTCTATGAGACGGAGAGAATAAAAGGGAGACTACATGTACAGAAGGTGTCAAGGAATGTAGCGAGTAAGACGTGTTCAAAGTGGTGATACACTGCCAGCTGAGGAAGTAAGGCTTTCTTGGTCAAGTTCTAATTGATCTCGCAGCTTACATCGTAAGTTCTAAAGGGAGACCGAGTATCCCATCACCACGTAACCACATAGAAACCCCTAGGGAGCATGCTGGTCTGTCTAACGCGTATTGCATCAAGAATATGCCAGGAGAAACCGCAGCTTAGCAAGGACAGTCGTTGGTAATAGTGATGGTGATCGAGAGAAGACGGAGCGGCAGACTTCGTCCTTCATTGTCATTCAGTTGATGAGGGAACGGGGCTGTCCATTGTGCAACATTCCGACGAACGCGACATAGTGATTGACGGTTGCGGTTGTTGAGAAAGAAATTCGCGCGGGTCTGGGCTTTTTATATAAACTCTTTGTACTCCGTATCCGTCCTTGCCATCTGATGATTTTCTCCCATATTGTGCCCACTGCACGCGCCAAAACCATCCGACGATTCTGCTCGTCGTCCCTTCAGATTTGCATGAAAACCAAAACACTCAGACGCAGGAAAAACTCGGGGTCTTCCATCATCTTGAATAGCTCCAATCCGAAACCAAAGCCTAAGGGGAGAGCGGGACCCTGAAAATACGCCAAAACGGGCACGAGCATTTTTCTTCAGCCCTCATACGGAGACTTGCTCCGTTCGTGACTCTACCTTACTTAGCTCCCGTCCGCTCGTTCTCAACGGTCAAGCTAAGGTAATTAAGACGATGGAAAAAATTCATGCTTACCTCAATTATGCATATCGCGAACCATGGCCCAGGCGTCAAAAAGCACCAACACGAAAAAGTAAACATAAGGAATAGGAACCCCGCGGAAAGGTTCGTTGTTCTTGTGTCTCTTGATCCATTACATAAGACGTCTTCACACAGACTCTCAAGCCCGCCCTCGAGTACGTATACAGGTGAAGGTATAGAGAACAACCTGCAAAAGCTCCAAAAATGGAATGTTTCCGCCCAGTTCATTGAGACGTAAGGTTTACCCAACACACGTTGCCAGAAATCAAACATGCCGTCGTTCAACAAAAAGACACACAAACGCCGATGCCTCGGCGTGTAAAACAGGATTCCGCCACACCTCTTCCCTCCGCTTTTTTGCCTTTTCCCCTTTCGCGACAAGAGCACCACGACTGCCTTACTCCCCTCCGACGATCTCGGCCGTCCAATCCTTGCGGATGTTCAGCTCCGTGAGCTCGGGTGTCTTCTCGATAACGAGACCCTTCTCGTTGGCGAGATGCAGCAGACTGATGAAGCAGAAACTTGTCGAGATGTCCTCCATCATCGCCTTGGGATACACCGAGCCGAGACCATTCATGACCTCGGTGAACTTGAGTTCGGTATCCTTCGCGGGCGGCTCTTGCGGTGGCGCTGGGGCATCAGGCGAAGGAAGTCTTGTGGAATCCTGGTGATGTGTTAGCAATAATTCATTCTCTGGTGTCAACGGCGACCGGGAGATTCGACTTACGCTATCCAGGCCCTCAAGACCCATGCCCTTCCAGATCTCCTCCTTCAGACGCCTCACATCCACCTTCTTAGCAACACGCGCGAACTGCACATAATCTGGCCGCAAGCGACGGGTTTGAGTAACCAGAGTCGTTCCAAAAGCGCCCGTCAGAGCATTGGTGGTTGCGTCGCCGCCAAGCAAGGCCGTCATGCCAAGAGCTTCTGTGGCTCCGACGTCGCCTTCGGCGCCGGGCGACAAGTGCTCCCGGGCATCCGCAAACTCGTCGTCGTCGTCATCCAAGCCACCGGCAAACGGAAGAGCATCGTCCTGGAAGAAGTTTGCATCGTAATCTCCCTCTGGCAGCGGCTCGTCCTCGCTCTTGACAGGGGCCTTCTGGTTTGCCCAGAACGCCTCGTCCATCTCCCCTTCTGGAACATCTCTATCTTGTCCGGCATTGCCGAACATGCCGCCCCTGTTTCCGAGGATTCGTCTCCTGCCAAGGCGTGCCTTAGGCTTGAGGAAAAGGTTGAGAAGTGATTTTGAGTTGAAGTGCTTATCATCAGGCAGCAGATTGCGGGACTTTGACTTCCAGTCCTTCTTGGGCATAGAGACGGCGGAGTTGCTTGACGCTTGAGTGTACAAGACGTCGGCCAAGGCTTGGTCGAGGGGCGCTGAGAAGTCAATCTCGAAAGGCTCCTTCTCCTTGCGTACCCTGGCAGGACCAGCCGGCTTGTTGACGTCCTTGATCTTTCGGATTCTCCAGTGCTCGGCACTTGACCAGTTCTTCTGCAGCGCTTGGTCGAAATACCCGAGAATGTCTTCGTGCATCTTGTCGGCGCTCTTAGTGTGAGACATGGACACGACAAAATCCCCATTGTCAGGGTCCATCATCTCGACTCCGTCACCATCGCCAGCCTCCTCGCCTAGGCCAGCATCGTAGACCCGCATTTGGGGCTCAAGGGCGGCTTCCCTGGCCCAAGCCTCACCACCCTCACCAAAAGCCACGTCGGCGCCAAGCTCAAAGCCACCCAGTCCAAGGTCGTCATCGTCGAAGCCAGCAGCGTTGTCGCCGTCAATGAACATGCCAGAGTTGTCGCCCAGCGAGTCTGGGTGCTTGTCCTTGTCCTGGTCGCCTCTCCAATCTTCCGGCGCTCTGAGGAAAGGAATGTCCATGGAACCAGAAGGATCCCCGAGGTCGAAGTTCTTCAATGACGGACAGACGTCAAGCTCGTCGAGACGACCAAGATCGGAAAAGAACTTGACGCCGAGGGCTCCCAGGTCGATCTCAACATCTTCGGCGTTCTCCTGCTCAGGCTCCTCTTGTACCGCCGAAGCATCCTGCATCTCTGTGTTCTCGTCGTCCTCATCGTCGGCGTCTTCGTTCTTCTTTCGGGTCTTTGAGGTGTGTGCGTCACCAACTTCGTCACTGCTGTCGAAGACAATGCGTCCTTGGGCGTCAATCATGAGGTGGTTCAATAGCAAGCCCTTGGCGCCACCTTCATCGAAATCTGCGGAGGTTTTCTTGAAAAGGGGGTCCACGGCGAATTCTAGTTCAAACTTCTTGAGTTGAAGCGAGGAGAAGTTGGGCGCGAGGGTCGCCTCGGAGGATCGTTGTGTCTGCGCACAAGTCAGCTTACCATCACAGCCGACCTGATTCTCGTACATACCTTGCGCTTCGGCTTCTTCCTGACGTTGCCGTCTTCGTCGACTTCCTCCTCGCTCTCTTCGCCCTCGACTTCGTCACCCTCCTTGCCTTTCTTCTTGTTGTTACTGTCCGCAAGACCACTCAGTAGCTTTCCGGTTTCGGTTGCGACACTGTCGACTCTGCTTGTGTAAATCTTGACGCAGCCATCTAGCGTACAACTAGCTTTCTGGAAGTTGACTCCGTCACCCTCCTTGAGAAGTGACATATCGTGGAAGTAGTCGATCAGGGCGAAGTTCCAAGAGTTGTTTGCGTTGATCTTGTTGTCCGTGGCCATCTTCATCCACTCCTCAAAGTTGGCAAGAATCGGGACCCGTTTCATAGGCGTGACCGCGCTTCCGCTGACTACAAAGCCTTCATCGTCGTCGTCGTCAATGACTTGCCTGCCTCGGCTGCCGCGGGCGTGGGGTGTCTTGGGGTTCGAGCCCGGTGTGTCATTCTCGATATCTTCTAAGCTGCCGTTGCCTCTGCGCAGAGGTGTCGCGGCGGCAGCCTTGAGTTCGTTGCGCTGGCGCTCATGGAATGCGTGGCGGGATTGCGCTCGTCGCGCCTTTTCTCCCGCATCATCGTTGAGGGGGATTCTGTGCATTGTTTAGTTTCGTTGCTAGGCAAAATCGGTAAGCGGGCTGTTGTCGCAAACGTACTTGACGGGTGAGTTCTTGAAGGGCGATGTGTTCATGGACCCGGAGGTCGCTCTGACACTGCCTGCGCGGCTGTTTGCGCGCGGTACTTGGGCCACTCGAGGCATCTTGTGTGTGTGTTGTTGGCGCTGAGGTTGTCGTCAAAATTGTTGACTGTTGCTGCAATGTGCTGTATGCGTACTGAGTGGCCGAGCCTTGTGTTTACTTTCCCCACCATACGCACGTCCCGGGGCGACGCGAAACAACAATAGAGAGGTTTTCTGCCTTGAATATTAGGTGTCAAGTTTATCCTTCCGGGCCGGATGGGGCGGGGAAGCTGAAAATCCCGTTTCGTCCAAACATCAGATTGGATCATTGGATCGGCCCTTCACGGGCCCCCTCGTTATCGGCACGTGATGCAAGATCGCTATCTGCCGAGAACTATGGAACTCTTCTCTTGCAGTTGCCGTTCCGCTGAAGCACAGCCACGTCGGAGGGGGGTTTCCCAAGCAGACACGACCAGATACTTGGCGCAATCAGGGCACTGCCTGCGCTTCTCACCTGCTGGTGGCCAAGAAGCTTGCGTCGCTCATAGTTCCTGAAAGAGGCTGGGCAGGTTTTCCCGGGCTGCCTCCCTCAGACCCCATGAGTCGTACATGAAGGTGAGAAGCGCTTGCATTTGCTGTTCAGCTCAAACCCGCTGCAGCCCTCTTTTTTGTATAGCAACTCCATTGAGAGACATCTGTTCCTCCTTGTCCGGCGGAACGAGCGGCTTCACGGCCACGCCAACGCGACAGTGCGGTCTCTGCCATGGCTTCGGATGAGCCAATTACAATCAGCATTTGACGCCAGACATGCCAACGTCCTCCAACATCCGAGGGGGCGCCCTTCGCTTGCGGCCTTTCTACGCGACCGTATTCTTAATATGCCTTTTGGCATCCTGGTCTATCTTGACCAAGGCTACCCAACGACAGCTTCAGCTGCAAGACGCCTCACTCTCACTCTCACCCCTCGCCAAACGATCCGAGTTCACAGAGTGCCGAGATGTCCACCGCGCCGATGATCAGTGTGCCTTTGTCAAGGCTCACTGCGCTGAGGACGAGGCTGGCCTCCTCTCTTACCTGACGCTGTATTATTGCGACATTGGCAAGGCTCAGTGGTTGGCCTTTATTATTCTGGTCTGCTGGCTCGGCTTGCTCTTCACCACCATAGGCATCGCCGCCAGCGACTTCTTCAGCGTTAATCTCAGTACCATCTCTGCTATCCTCGGTCTCAGCGAGAGTTTGGCTGGCGTCACCTTTCTCGCCTTCGGCAATGGCTCACCCGACGTCTTCAGTACCTTTGCAGCCATGGGCTCAAATAGCGCCAGCATGGCTGTTGGAGAGCTGATCGGTGCTGCGAGCTTCATCACAGCGGTCGTCGCCGGCTCCATGGCTTTGGTTCGCGAGTTTAAAGTTGGAAGAAAGACGTACGTCAGGGATCTCTCTTTCTTCATCGTGGCTGTTTGCTTCACCATGGTGTTCCTGGCAGATGGCCACCTGCATTTATGGGAATGCATAACGATGGTCTGTTACTACATCTTCTACGTGGTTACCGTTGTCACATGGCATTGGTACTCGACAAGGCGGAGCCAGCGGCGGGTCCGGGAAGCAGCCGCACGAGGTCATGTCTACGGGACGGTGGGGCATCTCAGCGACGAGCTGGCACCGGAACCATACCGGGATGATCCCGACGATGAAGACCGGCACGTCACCTCTACAGCCGCCTCCAGCGCTGGAGACATCAACGCATTGGAAGCCGGCCCTAGGATCGAAGTCGATGGTCAAGGAGAGAGTGACGAGGAAGCTGAAGACAGCGATCATGGCCGGCACGTCGTGGCGGAGATGGCTAGCAGTATGCGAGTCTTGCGTCCTAGAGGCAGACGACGCAACACACTCACGCCTATACGTCCCAGTCTGGTCGGCGCTCTCGAGTTCCGATCTGCTCTGGCTCAACTGCAAAAGGAAAGCAACCACCGGATGAGGCCGGTACATGGACGGGCCTACTCGGTCAACCACCTTGGAGGGCAGAGTGAAACGAACACAGTGGGCGGGCCGCCTTCCGACTCGGGGAGATACACCATAGGCGCCGTTGAGGAATTTGGACAGAACAGAAATCGGGCCTTGTCATCTGGCGATATCCCCGGCTCCGTCAATAGTCGCGACCATTCGCCATCGCCATGGCGCTTCCCAGCAACAGCAGACCCGATCCAACAGATAAAGGCCCAAGAGGGTAGAAACCGAAGTCTGTCGCCAGCCTACAAAATCGGCGGTAACCTGGCACCTCCTCCTGTCGACGCAGTACCTCAAAGACAAGATAGCGGGGGAAGCGAACCGTTGGAGGCTCGGCCCTTACCCGGTCAACTTTCCCTCCAAATACCAAGTCGGCGTGGCAGTATGAGCGTCGGATCTTCGCCAGCATCGCCCTTCCCCGGATACACTGAATCGCCTCTTGTTTTAACGCCTGCTGCTCAGACCGAGCCGACCGAGTTCTTTGCACCGCCTGGTCCAGCTCGCCTGGAAGTGCCATTTGCGCCTTATAAGATGGCCAATCCCAAGCCCGTAAGGTGGTGGCCCTACGCCATCCTACCTCCGCCGCATATCTTTTGGGCAACATTATTCCCGACCTTGCTAGGCTGGAAGCAGAAAAGCCATTGGGACAGATTTGTCAGTGCGATATCTGTACCAAGTATCTTGCTCCTCGTGTTGACACTCCCGGTTATCGAAAATGAGAGCGCTGATGATTCATGCGACGAGACTGCCGTGGATCCAACGATGCGAGACCACGCTCACTGCGACGCTCCCGTACCTGCCCACGCCTACGATCATGAGGGAGAATCGGAATGGCAGCGCTTCAGACGGGCTACTCTGTCACATTCTCGTGGGCAGTCACTTGATCACTCCCCCAAGGGCTCTCCAGCGCTGATTGCCATCGACTCTCCGAGTGGTGCGCGTGTGGCAACCGAAATATCTACCAGTTACCCACAGCCCATGAAACCCGCCGCGCCATTGCCTTCGGAGAGCAGTCTAGCTCCCGTCGATGAGTCAGGTCAGTGGAACAGATGGCTCGTCGCGATCCAGCTCTTCACTGGACCCTTGTTCGCCGTCATCATTCTCTGGGCAAACATGAAGGAAGACTTCCAGCAACCCTACAAAATCCTTTTCAGACTCATTCTGTATACACTCCTAGGATCTACGATTCTGCTTGGCTTCCTCCTCTTATCAACTAGCCCCGACAAGAAGCCAAAGTACCATTTCTTGCTTTGCTTCATGGGTTTCATCATTGCCATTGCCTGGATCTCTACCATTGCCGGAGAAGTTGTCGGCGTCTTGAAAGCAGTGGGTGTCATTTTCGGCATTTCAGAGGCCCTTCTCGGGCTGACCATCTTCGCGGCGGGCAACAGTGTGGGCGATCTAATTGCTGATATCACCGTTGCCCGGCTTGGTTTCCCCGTCATGGCATTGTGAGTCTAATTCTACCTCCTCCAAATATTGATGTCAGCCATGCTAATACCTCCTAGATCTGCGTGTTTTGGTGGTCCCATGCTCAATATCCTGCTCGGCATCGGAATCGGCGGCGTTTACATGATGGTCCAAGCCGCCAACCACCGACACAAGAAACATCCTGACAAGCCATTCAAGTACCACTCGTACAACATTCAAATCGGAGGTACTCTGATGATCTCGGCCATCACGCTTCTCATCACTCTGCTAGGCCTCCTCATCATCGTTCCAATGAACAAGTGGGTGATGTCACGGAAGATCGGTTACGGTCTCATTGTGCTGTGGATGATCAGCACCGTCGTCAACGTTGTTGTCGAGTTGACCGGAGTGTGGACTGACGTGTCCTATTCCCTTTCTTTCTAACGGTACATCTTTTATTCCCTTTGACTGCTGGCACACGTACAGACTGTATCAATATTGCGTTAGTGTATTACGCCGTATGAGTATACCCAAGCATAGCGTGCGACGAGAAGAATAAACGAAACTCTCTGTCTTCTACTTATAGACAGTCTTTACCTCACGAGTACAAAAAGAGGAAATACAAATCTACATATATAAATTAGTTTATAAAAAAATAAATTACACAGATGACTGCACCCCCTTTTACACAAGCACCTCGGTTGATTCAATGCTTCATTGGCTTTTAAAGGCCGCAACAGTCTCGTGAGCCTTGGTGATGGTAGTCGTTTCATCTAGCGAACACCTTTTCTCCACAAGAGGTTGGAAGCACTCAGGCACGGTCCTACGTTGCAGACGTCGATCACCATCTGATGTGTCTTTTGTTCGTGCACCAACGTTGGACCCTCTTTCGAATTGGAAAAGGCATCAGTAACCGAAGTTGTGACGTGCCCAACGTATTGAGACGAACATATCATGGAATGCCAAGTACGCAATGTGCACCATTGTGATGCCAAGACCAAAGAAAGGCTTCATCTGGTGTTGATCTCTCGTGTTTCTTCTTCTTCTTCTTCTAGAGCTCAGTTCCTGTGTATGTGTGTGCGTGTGTTTGCCAAGCCATGTCATTGTGTACGTGTTTTGTGTTTTGGCCAACTTATGCCCTTCCACGAAAGGGACGGACGTTCGTGGAAGTTGTGCATCACCATGGTGACTGACCAACATTGGATCATTGAACTGGAATGAGACAGGATCAACTATAAAATGAGTCTTGAATGATTCAACAAGAGGCCTTTTCCCATTGTCAAGTTATCCCAGCTCATGTCAACTTTGGTTATCAGACCCAAGCAACGCAAAACAGATCTCACACACAACTTTCACTGGCCAACCACTTTTAATTCCCTAAACCTACCAAGCAGTCAAGAGATTCAGTCATTCAAAATGGGAGGCTTCAACAAACTCACCGACTTGGCCCAGCAACTCGCCGGCAAGGACCAAGGCAAGAAGGATCAACAGCAACAGCAGCAGCAGCAGCAGCAGGACTCATCAAACCCTCAGACAATGTCGACGACGACCAACGACCAGGAATGGGCAGACGTTGGATCGGCGGCCAAAAAGGCGTTTGCTGGCTTCCAGGCGGACCAGGCTGGTGGGAAGGGGCCCGATTATACCGAGATTGGGGTTGTTGCGCAGAGGGCTTTTACGGCTTATAACCATGGCGGTGACGGTGGTGCTGGTGTTGGTGGTGAGAAGGGGGGTAAGAAGGATCTTTCTGAGATTGGAAAGGGGATCGCTGCTGGATTTGGCGGAAGTGAGAAGACGGAGGATGGGAAGTCGGGAGGAGCTGATGGTAAGTTGGAGGCTGGGAAGGGGACTGGCGGGGTTGAGGGCGAAGGGTTGGGTGAAGGGAAGAAGACCAGAGTCCAGGGTGATGATACGGCCGTCTCGAGTTCGAACGCGGAGGATACCGCCGGCCTGGCGAGCAAGAAGCTTTTGGAAGGTGAAGAATCCTCTACTGAGAAGACGGGGCTGGGCTCTTACAGCAAGCGAGATGTCGGTGATGGTGTCGGTTTTGAGAAGGGCGGGCTGGGTGAAGATGAGGGCGTCTCTACTGGTGGTGAGGGGAACGAGGCCGACGTCACTAGGAGCGGCGAAACGACGAGCGGTCAAGGTACGTTGTTTTTCTTGAAAATATTTTCCTGCTTTTGGGTTGTTTGACTGACCTCGACCTCAACTAGGACTCCGTAGCTCAGGACAGCAGCCTGTTGGCGTTACCGGTGACGAAGAAGAGACTCTTGGGGACCAGTCGGTGAAGAAATGGATCGAGTGAGGTGACGAGATATTGCAAGGCAATTCGTCACAATGTAACATTTGTGTCAAAGGGCTTCGCGATTCATGTTGAGGACGTTCGCTGGCTCGAATGTCTGAAATGAGTGAGTGACTCACTCAAGTACTGTTGCTCCAGCCGGACTGTTTCGAAACAGAGGCGCAGCAGGATCATCACCGGGGAAGGTGATGGGTTATTTCGCGTAACTGTCGGATTGTGTGTTAGCTAGAAAATTGAAGAGAGAGATATCTGTCCTTTAGAACACTGCAAAATGCTAGCTTGGTCGTGGGATTGATGCAAGATATGCACCGACGTCTAGGTACGAAGTACATAAGTTTGCTACCTAAGTAAAGGTGACCGAGTCGGAGCCGTCCCCGACTCCACCGTCGAGCCCCGGAGCATGCATCCCTGCCGGGGCGCCGCCGCAAGGGGCAGCTTTCCCAGCCCGTTCCCATCACAAGCCTGTGATCCCTCCGTCGTCTAGCGCGGTATTAGTGCCCTCCTAGTCCACTGTAAATTGCAATCTATCGTTCCTTGCGCCTCATAGTGATCTGCTTCAGGGAACTTCACAGAGGCCACAATGTCTACATCTCCCTGGTGTAGTGTATTAACCACGTTCCTGGAGAAAACAAATCAACTCGTCATCTCAGCACTGCCCCAATTCATGGCGTAGACAATCCAGCTGGTTTCAGATGTGATCACTGGAGATGGCGTATCTCATCTCGTTTCAATGCCAATGTCCTCGTATCGTTGCAGGTTCCTGCATGGGGTGAAGAACAAGCTGTCCATAGCTTCATTACGATGGTGACATTTCTAGGTAGGTAAGGACAGATCATCAAGAGATGGACAATCCTGAGATCTGGCAAGTTGAGAGCTGAAGTGGTTTTTGGTCAGTAGACGATTGAGCATCCATTGTCGAATCACATCTGTCAATCAATGTCTGTGGTAAACATTGAAGAAGGTTGTAGTTTATGAAAAGTTATAAATGAAGGCCAAAATCGCACTGCTATTCGAGATTCTTAGTTCTTTGCACCTGCAGCTCCAAACCCACCTTACTTACACCTTACACCAAGGCCCAGACCCAGAACCATTAGGGGGGAACCCTTGAACCGCAACAAGCACCACAGTCCCTCACTTGCCCCGCCATCCAACAAGCAACCCCGCGCCGCGCCTGCCACATCCCGAAAAGGAGAGCTTCCTTTCCTGCACGATTGACCGCCCTCCCTTTGCTCAACTTTCACTTTGGCATTTTTTCCTTTCTCCCTCACAGCGCGCAATTCTCACGACAAGACTTCTTCCCTCAAGCTTGACCACACGCAATCCCGGAACTAAAGCCCATTGACCAGCAATCACAAGAACAAACACCGTCACGATGGCTACCTCTCTCCCCAGCTACCCTCCCCTCACGGAGCGCCCTCTGAAGAACACCATCTGCCTCTTTGATGTTGACGGCACTCTCACTCCTGCTCGTCTCGTAAGCTCTCTCTCAAAGCCCATTTCCACCCAATTCCTTCCACCTCTACCTATCCCAAAGGAATTACTCGTCGCATTACCTTAGGAGCCGTCCCAGCTAACACCTCCACCTCCCAGGCCGCCTCCCCCGAGATCCTCGACCTCCTCGCCCGCCTCCGCCAAAAGTGCGCCATCGGCTTCGTCGGCGGCTCCGACTACTCCAAGCAGCAAGAGCAGCTCGGCAACGCCACCACCCCCGTCACAACCCTCTTCGACTTCTGCTTCTCCGAGAACGGCCTGACGGCCTACAAGCTCGGCCAGCCCCTCGCCTCCAACAGCTTCATCAAGTACATTGGCGAGGACCAGTACAAGGAGCTCGTCCGCTTCGCCCTCCATCACATTGCCGACCTCGACATCCCCATCAAGCGCGGCACCTTTATCGAGTTCCGCAACGGCATGGTCAACATCTCCCCCGTCGGCCGTAACGCCTCCAACGAGGAGCGCCAGGCCTTTGAGGCCTACGACAAGATCCACAACGTCCGTCGCGACTTTGTCGCCAAGCTGCGCGAGAAGTTTGGTCACCTCGGTCTGACGTTCAGCATTGGCGGCCAGATCTCGTTCGACGTCTTCCCCACCGGCTGGGACAAGACGTACTGTCTGCAGCACCTCGAGAAGGAGGCCCAGAAGGAGGGCGGTGTCAAGTACGAGGAGATCCACTTCTTTGGCGACAAGACGTCCGAGGGCGGAAACGACTACGAGATCTACGTCGACGAGCGCACCATCGGTCACTCTGTTACCGGCCCCGAGGATACCATTCGCATCCTCAAGGAGACTTTTGACTTGTGAACCGCGGCGGAGAGCAGTAGGCTCTGAATGGAATCTTGCGAAAGACTTTGCAGGCTGGGAAATATGACTTGACTTGGCTGAGAGATGAAGCCAACAAAAATGGAGTTGCGATGTAATGGGCCAGCTTTCTAGACTTGGTGGTTGTGGCCTCGGGGAACAACAGACCTGCGACATGTCGAAAGCGGCAAAGGCCCGTTCTCGATACTTGATTTTCAGTAGAGCAGCAAATGGAATGAATTATAATGACCACTCATAGACCCACTCACGCAGCATTCTAATCCAAGGTGAGAATTCACGTCACAGACAATGGCGGGTGCTTTGGAAATTGATGTAGTAGATTTGAGGTGTATCATCAGGTCATCAAGCTATCGCTGTATACCTTGTTCCTCCTCCAACTTGCTTGAAATGGTGATGCGAGGGAATAGAGAGAGAGAGATATTAAAGCAAATCCAAGAGAGAAAAAAAGAATAACACCATCATTCTTTCATCACCACCGTTCACTCCAACCCTGCTTTACCTCCCAAACTCTAAATGGGGCACAATCACCGGTCCATACTTTGTCGGCGCCGTAAACGCACCATCACCCTGCACGACAAAGTCCACCGCCAAACTCAACTTTTGCAACCCTTGCTGCTGCTGCTGCTGCTGCTGCTGCTGCTGCTGTCCCCCATTGATGATGCTACCCGCGTACTGCGACCCACCGACGCCGCCGGGACCGCCAGCGACGGTCTCCGGGTCGTACGCGACGACGGCGACGTAGTTCCTGCGTCCCATGAGCTTCTTGAGCTCGCGCGCGGAGCCGGAGGCGTCGGTGTGGAAGATCTCCATCATGTCCTCCTTGGAGTCAGAGACCTCGTGGTTGGACTTGTGGCCGTTTGCGGGCACGTAGAGGCTCTTGTTGTTGTGGAGGAGCTTGAGGATGTAGTTGCTCGCGGGTTGGGCTACGATGGGGGAGGTGATGACTTGGTACATTGTCTTGTGGTCGCTTGGGTGTGTTGGGTCGTGGACTAGGCCTGCTCCTGCGCAGTTGACGTCTGTTTGATGATGTTAGTAGGTGGGGACGGAAGAGAACGAGTCTATGGAGGTCGGGAACTCACCTCCTGACAGGAAAGTCATGCGAATGCCCTTTTGCTGGGAGATGCCCTGGAGCGTGCGGATAAAGTACGTCCTCTCCAGGTCCTTGGACTCGTGTGTCCACATGTCCTTGAGGATCTCGGCAATGTCAATCTCGCCAAACTGGTTCAGGACGTTGCCCATAAGGCCAGACTTGCCGACCGCCTTCTTCACCTGCGTGAACCCTTGCGCGACAACGTCCTTGCCGCCGACGACGCCGGCCACGGAGCTCGTTACCTTGCCGAGGATGTTGTACGAGGTATTGACAACCTTTTTGCCTGTCGCGACGGCGCCCGCCAGGCTCTCGACCGCCTCCAGGCGGGGGTAAAGCAGCGGCACGGAGACCATCCAGATGCAGTGCTGCACGCTGGGGGGCAGCGTAGCGACCTTGGGGAATATGCCCTGGTAGGTCGGGCCGGCCATGACGCGTGCTTGGTTCCTTTCGGAGCGGCAGTCTGGTCCGACGACGCAGACGGCCGGGCCGAGGTACTTGACAAAGTGCCAGCCCTGGCCGGTGATTGTGAAGAGGTCCCCGTCGTTGCTGACATTGCGGAGGATCTCTACCGTGGTGTGGTGCTGGAAGAGGAGGTACATTTCGACGGCGATGCGACCTACGTTTTTGAACATTTGGGATCCTTGCATGTACTCGGGATACGAGCCGTAGCCGTCGAAACTTGGCGCATGTTAGTGCACATGACGAGAAACACAGGCAGGGTCTGTAAACTTACATATCGTGGTCGTCAATCTGCAACACATGCGGAATCTGAGCAAAGGCCTCTCGGAGGTAAGGCTGGTCAAAGTGGCTGGTATAGTAGTGGAAGTAGGCGTGCGAGACGTCCTCCTCATGGCGCGCGGTCCACTGCGCGTTCTTCCTGTTGTCTCTGCCGCTCATCGCCAACCACTGCTTCAGCAAGGGCACCTCCTTCCATAGCCTATCACCATAAATTTGGTTGCCTATGCCGAGCTGAACGTGGAAGCCGCCACAGTCTACGTTCTTTTGGAGCACGTCCTTCCACATGAAGCCCACGCCACCGAGTTTGGAGCGTTCAGCCTGAGAGGTTGAGGCGGCAAAGTCGTTGTTCGAGTGGGCGATGAACCTCCAGCCGACTTCATGGCGGCCGGCAATGACAAACTCGTATCTTGTGCATCCCAGGTGAGAGGTGACTGCGTACGTCCACCTCTCGGTCCCGCTCTCACTCATGGGCAGCTCAATATCGTACTTGTAAAACGTCCAGCGCTGATGAGTGAAGATGTTGTGCGGCACCAACTGTCGCGGATTAGGTGAAAGGTCGTTGCTCGGGTGGATGTGAATGGTCGGGGGTTGCGGTGCGTCCGTCACGATCATGATGCTTCCTAGCCATGTCCCCTTTTCAAAGTCCATGTTGCAGTAGCGGAGATACGGCCCAAAGTACACACCGTTCGTGGGCTGAATCCTGTACATGTCGACACCAGCGCTCGGAGGCGGTCCGGAGAACCCAGCGGTTGTGGGCGTCTGAGACGCCGCGACGCTCATGATGCTCTCAGCATAGCCCGGTGTCTGAGGGGGAAACATGGGAGAGGCCATGGCCTGCTTGCCAAACATGGGCGATGCAAGAGGATTGCCGTACGTCGACGCCGTGGGTGATAGGGGCGCTGCCTCGTGTGTGATAGGATTGGGCCCCTTGGGGAACTCCCATTGCGTCGCCTGAGAAGCCAGATGAATGTAGTAGTATTGTCCCGAGTTCTGGTCGAGGTGGGCGATCCAACCCTCAGGTAGCGGTGGCGGCGAAGAAGGGCCAGCACCCTGGAAGGAAGGAGGCGCCTGAACGGTTTGCGTGACAGGGGCACTCTGCGCTTGAGACGACGAGGGCTGTCCATTTTGCTGTTCTGGCCTCGGGTCGTTGGCGAAGGCGGGGTGGCCTTGCAACGAAGGTGAAGCGAGCCCTGCTGCTGCGGGACCGACGGTTGCGGGCTTCTTCGGGGGCGACTGAGCTGCAGAGGCTGTAGACACGGACGGCGTTGAGTCTGCCCGTTGCTGAGTTGGCCGCTGCTTCTCGGCTGGGTAAGACGGGTTGCCAGGTGTGACGCTCGAATAGGCCGGCGGGGGGTCGTTCAAGCCCATTCGCTGATAATCCTGCTCCAGAACGCTGACTTGCAGGTTCGTCTGTTCGCCTTGGTTCTCTGCCTGTTGAGGAGGAGGACTGAACGTAGGCTGCGTAGGACTCGTGACCGGGTTCATGCCCTGATACACCGTAGGCGGGCCATGAGGTTGGTTCTCTGGGTTCTCCGTGGGAGTCCACGGCCGCGCCGGCGGTGGTGCTCCTCCATACTGAGCCAATCTCTGGGAGGCCGCGGCGCTCTGTGCCTGTTGCGCCTGAAGGCTGGTCAGTGTCGCCGTGCCTGAGATGCCAGAGGCGGCATATCGCGCCTCGATGCCGCCGCCCGGGATGACCCCTGGTTCCACGATTGGGGTCTCTGGCGGGGGTGGAGATCCCCGGCTGGCGCGGGTTGTGGAGGTCGAAGCTGTCGAGGCGAACCTGTTCACGCTGTTCTGGCCAGGCATCTCGAGATGATCAGCACTCTGGGCACTCTGAGGTGGTGGCCGAGCCTGGTACTGGCTCTGGGCGGGCGGCGTAGAAGTGGATGCGCCACCCGGTGGAGGGTAGTAGGGCTTCTTGGTGTAAGACGGGTAGTTTGTAGTTGTAGCAGCCGGCCGCTGAGGTTGCGGCGCGGTCAGCGGCTTCGCGAAGAGGCCCCCGTCGTCGCCAGCCGGGCTCTGCGGAGACGTGGCGCCCAAGGGCCTCGGACCGGTGCCGCGTCGCTCGGCGAGGGTAGGACTCTTGGTCTCTACGGGGCTGGTCGCATTGAAGCGCGGGGTAGTATCATTGTAGTCGGAGCCAAATCGCTTCGGGGCGGTGATGGTAGGTTTGGTCGGTTTGCCAGGCCGAAGGTCCTCCTCGTCGGGATACGGTAGAGGCGCGGCAGAGCTCGAGGCGCCTGGTGGTAGAGGGAAGGTCGGCTTCGATGTGAAGGAGGAGGAGGAGCCTGACGCGGACGGAGGCGCGGGGTACTTGAAGCGGTCGTTGGCGGGGTTAGGACTCTGCGGTTTGAATATCCTCAAGGGCTCAACGGTCGGGCTATCACAGTCTTCCTCGGCGGGTTTGTGAAGGAACAGTTCGGCGTCGGGAAGGCCGCGACTGCGCTCCATGATGGGCGATGTGGTATCGTCGAATCTACTTAAGATATATGTGTATCTGGGGGCCGGCCGACTTGCGCAGGTACGCGGATTGCTTGATGCGGGAATGCGAATGACGCACTGCGAAAGCTCAAGTCTGCAGGTCAGGGGGAGTAAAAAGTTATTTATAGGAGCTGTCGAAGGTCGCCGTTTCGTGCCTATCGTTGGATGCTTGAGAGGATCGCAGCTGCTGATGAGGGGTGGTGGGGTCCAGGTTCGAGTCTCACGGGAGAGGTCGCAGATATGGCCGGCCCGTTGTTAGGCCCGTTAGATGGATGAAACGGCTGCGGCACGGAAACAAACAAAAACCAGTGTATTTCCCAAACGTGTGTATTTTCAAGAAAGAAAAGTCAGAAGTCGAGAATTATCAACCAGAGAGGGAGCGCGTCCAGGACAAAGAATAAGAATGTGCCAGATGGGACGACAAGAGGGAAGCAAGCAAGCGCCAGGTAGGGTTTGGGCCTGGCAGCGGGAAGCATTGGGCAAAGTGCAAAGCGGCAGCATAGGGACATGGGGCCAGGATGGGATGGGACTGGGAACTAGGGGGGGAGGCGCTCGTCAGCGGCAGAGAAGAGGCAGAGAGGGGAACTTGGGTGCTCCTCATGGCACAGGCAGGCCGCACGCCGCACACAGACTGTAGACAACACCACCACCTCACACGGGAGAGCGTGGCCGGGCTGGCATGGCATTTGCAGGGAATGGACGAGATGGGCCTCGGTGGCCTCCTGGATGATGAGAGCCAGCTGCCCAGGACTGTCGAGAGAATCAACTGGTTGAGTTTGCAGTCCCAGACTCCCAGCCAGTGACGAGTGACCAGGAGCCAAAGAGCCTGAACAACGTCAAAAGTATGGAGCCCTGCATGGTGGCATCTTGCCTAGCGAAGCTTCATGATTGGCTGTATATCGTGGGCGCTTAGAGAATGTGCAGTAGCAAATGGGCAATCTTCATCTTGAAGTTGCAAGCGCCTGCCCACGAATGCGAACTTCTTGGCTCGAAGAAAGTCCCAGTGTTCCAGAGAGCCTAGAGCATGGTGGCGGGGCCAGTCGAGCTCGTAATGCGCATAGAGCGAGATGAGAGTGATTTGTCGAGGTGGGAAATGTGCGGCATCCGGGATCCGGTGAGTCGAAATGCGCCGAGACAAGCAGTGACAAGATAGGGGGAAACTTGGAAGTGCCCGGTCATCTGCAGCTGTCGTGAACCATCACTTAATGGAGGCGCCTACGAGATTTGCACAATGTCGTTGCCCTCTCGAGGTGGGAGGATATGTTGGTAAAAGTAAAGAAAGCAGAAAGATGGTGACAGACAGACAGACAGACGGGTCTTGGATCGACGCGGAGGGAACCGGCACCTTCAGTTGATGAGGTACGTACCTTGTTCGTAGGGATGCGAGAAGCACGGGCCATCCTGAGCTGTCTTGGCCCAAGCTTCGACGGGTAATTACATAAGCCCGAACATCTCCATTTTTCAGGCACAGCGGCGTCGTTGGTTTGCCTCCGAAAAGGTCGCCCGTCATTGGCCGAGCTCGGGGTTGTCGTCGTCGCCCTCTTCGCAGCATTCGCATTTCATGTGATTTTCATTATCGAAACTCTCGGCTTCAACAGATGGGACTCGGACAACAACGCCTTTGTCAACGATATCCCGGCAACTTCTTCCGAAAGCGAGTCACAGTCAGGGGAATGTTGACTCACACAACTAGCCTTACGACGACAACTCCACGCATTGCATGGACCAACAACACCAGCCACGAATTGAGGCCTCAGTTTGGCGTGCGCATCCTCCTCGCTGCCAGTGGCGACAAGTCAAGCACCACCAGTGACCACCCACTATCCGCATCTGAAGCTGCAACCAAATTCCCATGTGCACAAGTGTGGCACACGCAACTTGCCAACTCCCGAGCTCATCGCAAACTGACACAGCGGGACCGACGTACGCCACACTCCACCCCGCACTTCACCATATCCCGCCGCCACTGTCGGGCCCGGGCTCTAGGCTGCTCAGCTGAAGCTTTGGCTCGGTCCCGCGCGGGCTGCGTAACGCAACTGACATGGGACGCTGTCAAAGAAATGGCGGCGGCGGCGGCGTTCTCTGACTGTCCAAGGCAATCAAACAATACGCGGCGTTCTCTAGCAGTCTAGAGCCCATCAAGGTGTACTATTCGGTCTCCGACAATGCCTTAATCTACACTCCGCAGCGGACATTTGCCCTACGCCATCAACAAGTTCGGAGCTCGGTGTAGAAGTCTACCGCCCACCGACGGGATCCAATGAGCTGTTTGGGCCGATCCCCCTACCACGACGACGCGTGGCGATGTTGTACCTCCCCATGTCCCTTCCGTTCGAAACCATTCTGATCTGTTCGACCGCCAAAGGCTAGAGGTGTATTGTGTGTGGCTCTGACTGGTTCAACCTGGGCTTCGCAAGTGCTTTTTGCCTTCCACGTTTTGCTAGTAGTGTATCAGACGAAAGGTGTACGCATGCTCCTGCCTTGTAAATGATATGGCCTGTCGTCGTCCCATGATATTATATAAATGAACTCCTTCATCGACATCATGTTTCTTCTTTCTTTTCCCTCGTCAGCGTCATTGCTTTCCGACAATCATCACCATCCTACTACTCAATCTCTCTAACACATACCCCAACAACCCACACCACAAACAATCACACATACACATACAACAGTCCAACATGTCTTGGGCAGGTCCAAACGGTAATAACAATCCTTGGGGTCGCCCAGGTGGCTCTCAAGGCCTCTGGAGCTTCATCCACTCTCTCGACCCCAACATGCGCGCCGGCGCTGGCGTAGACCACTCAGCTGCTCCCGGTCCCTGGGCCAACTTCCCCCCAGGCTTCCCCTTCCACGGCGCTGAACACGGCTTCGGCGGCGGCCCTGGTGGCCCAGGTGGTCCCGGCGGATGGGGCGGTCCCTACGGCGGCTGGGGCGACTTCCGCGGCGGATTCGGTGGTCGTCGCCGCGGCGGTGGCCGATGCGGTGGCAGAGGTCACCACGGACGACGCGGCGACATGAACGAGGGCGAGGGCGAGGGCGAGGTCGTCGACGAGACCATGCGCAACGCCGACGATACTCCCGAAGAGGGCGACTTCTCCGACAAGGAGAAGGACGACTCTCCCGACACCATGCGCGACGGCCCCAACGAAGACGGCCCTGAGCACGCAGGACATGGACACCCTCACCCTCACCACCATCACGGCCCCGGTCGCCGCGGTGGCCCAGGACGCGGAGGTCGCGCCGGTCGCTTCGGCGGTGGACCCGACCCCTGGGCGCGCCACAGCAGACACGGCGGTCACCACGGCCACCGGGGCCCACCTCCTCCCCCCGGCCCCCCGCCACCATTCGGCGCCCCTCACCCGCCTCCGCCCCCTCCCCCGCCCTACGGACACAACGCAGCCGGCAGCTTCGATTTCGCAAACTGGCAAGAGTGGCTGAACCAGTTCGCCGACCACCCCTTTGCCCAACAAGTCCGCGACTGGGCCACCCGCTTCGGCGGCCTCAACACCAACAACAACGCCGGTGCAGGTACCCGCGACGGTGACGCCGACGACGACAACAATAACGACATCGACTCGGCATTCACACCCCCCGTCGACATCTTCTCCACAGAACGCGCCTACGTGCTACACTTTGCCCTCCCAGGCGCCAAGAAGGAGGATGTCGGCGTGAACTGGGACGCCGACAAGGGCGAGCTCCGCGTCGCGGGCGTGGTGTACCGCCCCGGCGACGAGGAGTTCCTGGCGACGATGGCGTCTGGGGAGAGACGGATCGGCATGTTTAGCCGGTCTGTGCCGCTGCCGCCTCGTGCGCGCAACGCCGGCGCTACTCCTTCTGAGGAGATTGACGCGCTCGCCATCATGGCCAAGATGGAGGATGGTATCCTCGTCGTGACCGTGCCCAAGGTGGAGAAGGAGTGGACGGAGATCCACAAGGTTGATATCGAGTAGAAGAGTGTTATTTTTGCTGCTTCTGCTTGAGGAGGAAACTTTTTGGTGGAAAACGATTGGATGTAATGGAAGCTTCACGGTTAATGGTTTTGGGTTTGGGATATTTTCGAATTTTGCTATGGGCTTGTATAGGTATTCTTTTGGTTTCTGGGTATTCGATAGCTTCAACAACCGTTTACACCATTCTTCTGGTATGGCCCCTCTGCAAGTGAATATGCATTGTCACCATGACTTGTCAACCATTCAACTGGTCGTTTTACGTGACCCAAGATTGCAGTAAACTGAACAGCAACGTTCGATGTCGCTGAGTAAGCTCTCCCTGAGCTTCGGACTGATAGCTCCGTCTAAACAAAGGGCAAAGGCTCAGCCATACGAGAGCTGCTCCTGCTCTCCCCATCGTCTACCTATCGAATACCTCTCCTCCAAGGTGTAATCGCCCCGCTCGGCTCAACTTCATACACCACAAAAGTGAATATACCGCAGAAGCAAACTCATATAGACCCCCTCGATCCCATTCCCGTCACCAGCACAGCAGGCGCCTTCCTAGGTCAGCTGGTCAGGTCAAACTAGCTGGGTAGTGGAATGGCTCAAGGTCAATAATTGATATCTTCGCACAACAGCCTAAACGACGACAGGCTACGAATTCGAGTTCAATTCCCAACATGAGCACCAAGAGATGTAGCCACACCGGTGGTGAACTTCTTTTTCTTCTTCTCTGGATTTGACTAGGGAGGTTTGCTTAGCTTGTGATGTCTTTGAATCAAAGAACGCGGAGGTGTTGGATGGGCGGACGTACTAGAGATGATACTGCATTTGTAGATCCTTGGTCTCTCATTCAACCCCCCGTAGGTTGCTTAAAATGCTGTGAAACTAAGCTAGTACTACCTTAAAAGTTAACATCACCGGAGCGTTGGGTGAGTCTGCTTCTCTTATTCAACCCTCTGGGGGTGTTAAAATTGCAGTGTATTTGGGTCGTTTTGGATTGGTTACTTAATCGCACATTCAACTGCTAAAGTCGATGGGTGGTCGGTCAGCTTGCCGTTTCCAGGCGCAAACAAGCAAACCTCTTTCACTGCATCCAAGGCAAGGGCACCTACCTTATGAGCACCCATCAAGACATCACCATGTTTCTCCAATCCGCCTCAAAACTCCATAGCATGCTCGCCTGAACCTCAATCAACCCTTACTTACATCCACCAGGGCAGTACCAAACACCTTGATGTTGAACAGCTTCAAGAAAAGATAGTGTCACTGGAAGTCAACCGAACAAAAGAGTAAATGGGTAAACGGTAGTTCCCAACGGCCGATAAATCTAAGGGTTCCACTGGCGCCCTCTATGATCACTCAGTCATTGCTCCCGGGTCACTTAGTCAAGAGGGTACGTGAAGAAATAAAATCAAGGTAGATATCCTTCGTGCCTTCCCTTCTGGGTGTCGAAATAGAAGGGCTCCGGGAGACTCCAGTCTGGATATACCTATACTACAATGGAAGTCTATCATCCTGCATCGAAGCGAAAAAAGAAATTAAAAAATTGCAAGAGTAACAGCGCAAAGGTATTCGAAGTCGATGGTACCTGCCGATGCAGAGAGGTTCGGGCGATTTGAAAGGCTACTGTTTTCCTTTGAAACGCTATTCCCCGTCTTCTTCTTCAAATTTTTTTATTTTAGAAATGGAAGTACTGATGCCACGACTACGTAATCTCGGAAAGGAAAAGAGTAGTTAGCACGCCCTGATAAGTACAGAGGCCTACAGAAGTGACCCCAGATCTTGTACTCCCGTGCTCGACGAGACTCTTTTCAGACGGATTGGATCCGTTGGAAACTTACTCCCAGATTTCAAATTCCCATATTCCGGTGTTGGCGGTGGCGTCAAACACACAGGAGTATTGTATCAGAGTACTCTTTGCTGGGTAGTTTTGATTTGTCTCTTTGTCATTTCCTGATGAAGGGGGCGAGATGAATAGAAAGACTACATGACATAAAGGCGCGAGTATTGTGTCATACAAAGACAACAGGTTCGGACACATTGCGAGGCACATGCAGTGGGGAGGATACAATCAAATCCCGTCTATTATATCTTATCCAGGATACGTTATGATATGCAGCAGAGAGAAAAGGAAACATGTTCCCAAAAGGACAAACACACCAAACCCACCAATTTCTAATAGAGACCATTTTATACGATTCCGCTACAATGATACACAGTACACAAATGAAACAACACAAATCGCTTTTTCCAAAAGAGACGACACTACTGCAGACACGAGGAACACACACCACCCAGACAAGAAGCTTCACCAGTACTCCCTTGCATTACCCTCAAACGCAAAGTTAAGCAGAACGGCAATGAACAAGGAAGCGCAGAGCGCGCTAGGCCCCCACTTGTCGTAAAACTTGGCCGCCTTGCGGTTGCGAATGGCGTTGCTCCTGTACAGGTAAATCACGACGGAGTAGCAGAGCGACATGATGGCGAGGAGGGTAAAGACGCCGGCCACGACGAAGGCCATGGGCGTGGGCTTGGAGCCAAAGTTGAGGAGCGTGACGGCTACGGTGCCGACGTAGATGGAGTATTCGAGCTATTTTGTTATGTTAGCAGCAATTCAAATATTCTTGGGTCGAGAGTAATTAGACTTACCCATCCGAGGAAGGTTCTCTCGGCGGCAAAGTAGACCTTGGGTTCCACGCGGACTGGCACGTAAATCTTCTTGCCCTTGGGGGCCTTGAACCTCTTAGTCTGAATGGCTCCCGAGCCGAAGAGCGTCGTCTGTACTTCGCGCCTAGGGATCACAGAACCACGGGGATGCGGCACGGTCCACTTAAGCACATCGACGGCGCGCTCGCCAAACGCTTGTGCCTTTGTAGAGGCAAGCGCCTTGTAGTAGGTCCAGCCTCCGACCCGTCTGGCTTCCTCGAGAGCCTCGTCGGCATCGTACTCTTCGTCCGAGTCGTACAAAAAGTCCTCATTGTCGACGGGGGCAATGGTGTCGACCGTCTGGCCTTCGACGTCAAGCACGGCTCCGCCATTCCTGGCAGCTCCCTGGCCACTGGACTCCCCATTGGTAGCGCCGTTATTGCTGGCAACCAAGGGACCCTCCTCGTCATCAGAGTCTAACTCGTCGTCTTCGTCGTCATCTGATGTAGTGGCAGTCGCCGACTGGTTGGGCCTGTGGATACCAAAGTCGTGCGTAACGGGCTTCCGGATATCCACGTCCATCTGCGGCATCCAGAAGGGAAGCAGGTTGATGCGTTCGGGGAAGAGGCAAGCGACTCCGTGAATGAACTTGGAGAACTTGGGCACGGCTTCCACGAGATGGCTGGAAATGAGCTGGCGAACCCATTCCGGAGGTTCTTGGCCGAGCTGAGTCTGAAGTTTGACCTCGAGAACGGCGTACGGGAAGCGTACAATGTCTTCGGGAGGCAATTGTGAAAAGGGGTAGTCGATGCCAATGTCCATACGCCTCCAGTTGTCCCCAGACCTCTTACGGCCGTCCAGGTTATCCTCACGAACCATGGTCAACTCGGTGTCGAGCGAGATACGCACTCGAGCATCAGCGGGAAGCTGGAAGGCGGTGCGGTTGTAGAAGGATCGGCACACGGGCTTATAACCTTTCTTGAGAGTCGAGTACTGGACCTCCTTTGCGAGTCTCTCGTCCTCGGCGATAGCCTTCTCGGGCTTCTTGCCCTCCTTACGCGCCTTTTCAAAGAGAGCGGCGGGGAGCAGCTCGCCGCGCATGTAGGCGTTGACATTCTTCTCTTTAACCGAGAATCGCGCCTTGACGGATTTCTCGCCGGTCCAGTCCTCGCGATGGGTCTTGCGCTCGACAAAGATGTTCTCGCTCTGCATCCCACCGTACCATCTCAGACGGATGGCCTCGGCACCCTCCGTCTTCTTCAGGCGGCCCTCGTACAGATCCCAGTTTTCCGGGTTGTCGTAGTAGATGGACGTGATGGCCGAGTCCTGAATCTCAAATTCCTTGCTTGCGTTGAAGACCAAAACGGGCAAGTGCTTCAAGATGATGAGCTTCAGCTCTGTCACGTTGTCTGGGTGGACCCAGTACTTTGTCGTGTTGCGAACGAAGCTTCCCTGGGAGCCGCCAGCCGCGCTGTCACCCTTGACCGGGTTACCCCTCGTCCTGACCAGGTCGTACAACTTGGAAAGCCGAACCACGGAAGCGTCGTAGTTTTCCTTGTAAAATGGTTTCGCCTTGAGTCGGGTGTCGAAGACAGGCTTGAGATGCCAGCCAGTCGTTTTCTATTCCTCGTCAGTAACCCACCCGAACAATATCGAGAAATATGCCTCACGTCATGCTTCTTGATAATCTTGTAGAAACCAGTGTAGTTGAGCTGGACAAACTTGGCAAGATCGTGGACATCGGCAATGATGTCGCTCAAGTCCTCCTCAAGCAGCATAAACTCTTCCTCACTAGGGCCCTCCTCGCGGGGGCCGCGCTCGACGAGGCGGTTAACGACGCCCTTGACCTCGCGCTCGCTCACGGCAATGCGCCTCGAGATCTCCATGGCCTTAACCTGCTGCTTCGTGTGGACCTTGTCGAGCTCGGCCTCGAGTTTCTTGACGAAGCGGCCCTCGTCCTCCTCGGACCACTCGCGCTTGCCGCCCTTGCCCTTGCCATTGCCATTGTCGGCGGGTGTGATGGGACCGGTGGCGGTCTTGAGATCGGCCTTGAGGGCGTCGTAGTCGATGTAGTACCATTGGTACTCGCGGATGATGCTCGAACGGAGCTGCTCGCCGAACTTCATGACGACGATGCCAGGAGGGGCGCGCCAGGGGGGTTCGCTGGGTGCTAGACTCGGTCGCCAAGTTCGTTCCTGTGTCTTTGTATCATAGACAATTAGCATGAGGAGTCGGGTCCCGAGGGAAATGGCATCATTGGCATGGGCATAGCAGGGCGAAAGCAAAGGAGGCTTAGTCGAAGAACGCCCAGAGTGCCTTTTAGGTATTAGGGGTTGTTGACGGTGGAGTCAATTGAGGAGATTTCTTCGGGCAGAGGTCTCACCTTATGCGGCTTTGCGCCGTGTCACCGACTGCGCGAAATGTTCCAGATATTGGAGAAAAATAGGTATGTAGGGTTTGGGAGAGCTCTCACTTGTGGCGCGGTCGGGTGTTGCAGGCAAAACAAAAGGCGATGGAATGCGAGGCGGCGGCCGACGGTTACGAGACAAGCTTCGGACAGGGGGGCTCAGACGGGGGGCCGCTACCTTGGTACTGCATGCAATGTGCTGCAGTTGCCAACCACGTTAACTGAGTGACACCGCACGGCCAATCCTCCACTGTTCTAGGGTAAGGTACCTTACTGTCCCATGGTCTTCTTATGCTACCTTACCTTACTCAAGTCCCTTCATTTCCAGACTTCTTTCGTATTTTCAGAGCTCAAGGTTAGGATTCAAACCTCCCCATCTCCTGAGGCATGTAAAGTACGAAAACCGAAAAACGCGGGAGCTGGCGCATCCGTCGTATCTCCCTCGCAACTTTCAAGTCCTTAGCGGTCCTGACCCAGTAAAGCGCAGCTCCAACCCGGCTTAGCTCCAGGTAGTCTGGTGGTCCCAGTGGGTGTCTGGCTCCAGTTTCCGCTGGTATCCAGAGCTAGCCGCAGGGGGGCCACGGGGGGTCCATTGGCCAATTGCAAACGACAGATGCGCACGTGCGGCAGACGTCACGCAGCTGTTGCTGCGGGAGGGCTCGACCTGGAGGAACAGGGGGTTTTTTTCTTTCTTTCGGCGATGGCGGGGTCGGCGGGGAATACACACCGGAGGGGAATACACACCGGAGGGGAATACACACCGGCGGGGAATACACACCGGCGCGGACACGGCAGACGACAAAAAGTTCTACGGAAAGACACCCGGCCAATATCGAATCCTACCGCCACCACGGACCTAGGCACCCCTACCACCTCCGGCACACCGATCGGAGCAAAGCCGCGTTCAGACCCCGAATCCCTTCCTCCCGGTCGAGATCCCCCTCCTTCAGGTAGACGAACGAAGCTCCCAACCCTTTTTCGACTACCCCTATAAACCACACACAACCATGGCGACACCGATCGACGACTCGATGCAAGCCCGCATCACAACAGACTGCCCCAACGCAACCCGCGAAATCCTCCTCCACGCCTGGAGCCACGACGCTTCCGCCCTCAAGAAACTCCTCCACGAACCAGGCCAAGCGAGCTGCCAGGACCCCACGACCGGCGAGACGCCCCTCCACGCCGCCATCCGCGCCTGCGGACCTGCCGACAATGAGACCAAGAACGGTGACGATAACGACGACGAAGAAGGAGAAGATGGCCAAGTAGAAGAAGCAAAGGAAACAGTCCACGAGCTCTTCCTCTCCGGCGCAATCTGGAACGACGTCGACAGCAACAACGAAACACCAGGCTGTCTCGCCCTCCGTCTCGGCCAGAAGAGCCTCTACAAGCTCTGCGTCGAGGCCGGCGTGCGCGCAGAGATGTTGTTTGGGTTGTTGGACGGGTACGAGGCGCTCTCTTCAGGGGGCTCGGAGATGGACGAGGATGAGGTTGAGGCCGTCGAAGGGACCGCAGACGCAAATTCAGCCGCCAACGACGTCGTCATCGAGGACGTCCAGGATACGGAAGAAGCACCAGAGCTCGTCGAGGCACCTTCACAACCAGCTGCCGAGGAACAAGAACCCAAAAAGTTCCAACTCCCAACCGTCCAAGACCCCTCCCTCAACTCGGAAGAGTATCTCGCCTCGAACCTGACCTACTCCTCCGGCAAACTCGTCGACGAGGCCGGCAACGGCGTCATGATGGCCTGGGAGACGGAAATCATGCGCAAGAGCGTCGACGCCCTGATCCCACCACCCACCACCGAAGACTCCTCCGATGCCTCTAGCACATCAGGCAAACGCATCCTAAACATCGGCTTCGGAATGGGCATAATCGACTCCATGTTCCGCTCCACCTCCCCAGCACGCCACCACATCATCGAAGCCCACCCCACAGTCCTCGCTGAAGTCGACAACACCACCACCACCACCAACTCAGACTCCATCCCCTCCACCTTTGGCGCAGCATGGGAAGCCTCCAGCCCCCAAGAAGGAGCCTACAAGATCCACCGCGGCAAGTGGCAGGACGTCGTCCCTCAACTCCTCGAGGCCGGCGAGGTCTACGACGCAATCTACTTTGACACCTTTGGCGAAGACTACGGCCAGCTCAAAACCTTTTTCACGGAGTTCATCCCAGGCCTCTTGGACTTTGAAGGCCGCTTCAGCTTCTTCAACGGCCTGGGCGCCGACCGCAGGATATGCTACGACGTCTACACAAAGGTCGTCGAGATGCACATGGCCGACGCCGGTCTGGATGTCGAGTGGGAGGAGATGGACGTGGACATGAAGGGCTTGGAAAAAGCCGGTGCTGGCGAGTGGGAGGGCGTGGTGCGCCGGTACTGGACTTTGGTCAGTGAGTTTTTCTCCTACCTTTACTGATACATCAACGAAACTAACCGACGACAGAGTACCGCTTGCCCACATGCACGTTCATGGGCTAAAATAAGTAAAAAACTGGGGGTAGGAATACTACTTGTATGAGGTATCTAGTAGGTCCGGTGGACATAACCGTAGAACCAATGCAGATAAAACTTCCTATCAACAAAAACCCCTCATCTAACAAGACTTCGCTTTTGTGTAATCTCATTCCTCCTCAGCCTATCCTCGCGATTCACACCTCACCTTGGGAGGACTATGATGTGAAGTTCTCGGGGTGGAGAATGCCAGCCATGTTGCCGTTCTGGACTCTCTTAAGGGTCAAGGCAGCAATCAGGGCTGCGCCAACACCACTGCCGTCCTCTGCTGCGAGAATCTCAACGGGATCTTCCTCCTTAGGGTTGGTCTTAGCAGGCCAGTCAAGAATCTCGCGCAAAGCCTGGGCTCCACGGGCCTTGAAGTGGGGGTACTTGTTAAACACCGAGCCGTCAGCACCAACGTGGCAGTTGTCATAGCCCTTCTTCATGCAGATGGCAGCAACACCGCAGGCCGAGAGGCGGGCGGCGCGGGTGCCAATGAGCTCAGCAAGGCGACGAACCAGCTCCAGCTCGGGTCTGGTGGCCTTGAGGTTCAGCTTGGAGAGGAAGAGATCGCTAGTCTCCTGCAGGTTCTCGAAGGGGTCGCTGCATCGGGTTAGCATGTTGGTTGAGGATTTGGGGACCAAGGCAAACTTACTCCTCAATGGCGGACAGGAACGAGGAATCCAAGGTGTAAGCCTTACGGAGCTTGGCAATGTCCTGGTTCTCGAAGATGTGCACAGACTTGTTGTCGTGGAGGTCAACGAGGACCAAGCGGAAGATCTCGCCCAAGTAGAGACCGGCAATCATCTTCTCAAAGGCCTGCTGGCCGGGGCGAGGAGAGTCCTTATCAATGATGATGTCGTAGGGGGTACGAGGCAAGACCTTGTGCTCGTTGTCGAAAGCACCCCACTCGCAGTTGATGGCCATGGGGGTGTTGGGAGGCAAGTTCATGTGAGCAAGCTTGGGAATAGAGCCGCAGTCCTCCATGTAAGCAGCGTTGCAACCAGTGCCAAAGATACAGCCAATCTTCATCTTAGTGTCGGTGTAGGCAGAGGCAATCAGGGTGCCAGTGGTATCGTTGATCAGGGCAGACAGCTTGATAGGGACATTCTACGAAGGTGTCAGTTTCTGGTACATTATTCTTGCTCCAGGGTTTCATACCTTGGCCGCCAAGGCAGCCTCAAGGAAAGGGACAACGTTGTGGCCCTCAACTCCGGCAATATCGAAACCCTTGGTCCAGCGCTGGAGGATGCCCTCATCAATGTAGTTCTGGGTGGCAGGGTAGGAGAAGGTGAAACCAAGAGGAATCTTCTGAGATTGAGGGTGGTCGGGGTGGTGAGTCTGGATGAACTGAGCCAGGCAGTCGGCAATGTACTCCCACAGCTCCTCTGACTGGCCAGTCTTGAGCTCCTCGGGCATGCGGTACTTGGACTGGATGATGTCGAACTCAGACTTCTGATCCGTCAAAGTGATCTCACAGACACGGAGGTTGGTTCCGCCCATGTCGAGGGCAAGGTAAGTGCCAGTCTCGTAGCCATCGGGGAAGGACATAACCCAGGTCGGGTTCATGGGCTGTAAACATGGTTAGAAGGGTGCTCCAAAGGCCAGCAACTATTCAAGTTTCAACTTACGATACTACCGCCCTCGACACTCAGACCTTTGCTTCAAGTCAGCTTCATGAAAAATTGTGCCTCTCCCACGGGTGCCAACTCACCCTTGTCCAGCTCTGTGATGAAGTGCGCGCTGATCTGCTTGAGCTTCTCAGTGGGAACAGTGAACTGCTCCTCGAGCTTCTTGACCTCGGTCAGAAGATCCTTAGGCACATCGGCCATGGAACCTAAATTTTCATACATGGTTAGCGAACATGGATCGTATTGAATCTGTAGATGTGTGTTCTTGCTTTGACGTGACGGGACAAAGATATCGGTGTGGTGGTAGGATCTATCCCTTGTAGCGGGAGCAATCGCTCTGTCCACCATTGTGACGGTTGTGAAAAGTTGGCTGTAAGGGTTTTGGTGTCTTGCCACACTCGAGCGTGACAACGTTGGTGGAGGGGTATCACAAAATGATTGTGTTCAGGGAAACAAGATCCAGGATCGAAGCTCTCGGTACAAAGGGCAAATAGTGACAAGCAAGCAATGTAGCGGTCAACACAAGAGGCTGGAAGGTAGACAAGCAGCGCTTGCCAGCTTGTTTATACCAGAAAGCTGCAGGAATCGGAGAAAGAAAGCTGGGGGATCAAGGTGGGGGAATGTCTGGCAAAGTGAGACAGTGTCTTCCACCTCAACGCTGGATGGCTTGAGCTTTTCCCAAGAGAGTTGCTATTGCTTGACAAGCTAGGTACCCCTCTGGCTTGGGGAAGCTCCGGCCAGCAGGAAGAGCTGCATGGCGGTCCAGCCTTGTGGCGCGTCATCTCTCCGAATGGCAATTGGCCGTTCCAGCCGTCGGTTGGGAGTTAGGATTGGACGGTGGTGGTTGTGATGGTGCGAGCGGGAAGAAAGTTTGGAGGGTGAGGCGTTGAGGATGACTTGGAGGGTGGGACGACACCAGCGGCATGGCGTACAGGGAGCAGTAGCTTGAAGACCACATCATCTCGAGAGCTGTCTCTGTCTCAACGTGAGGCGGTACACCATGTCCATCTCACAAGACCATCACGTCGCCCTTGGATGTTTCCAGGAGTCCAAAGGTAGGGAGAAGGAGTGAAGGGAAGGGGGAAATCATTCGTGGCTGCAAAACTTACCCTTCCTACTGGGCGGAACCTTGGGACCGAGACCAACCATTTTGACCGAAGCTCTGACGGATGGCGGGGTAAAAGTTGATGAGGGGTAGCGATTGAGTTATAGGTGATGATGGGTGCAGCAAAATAAAAGCTATCGGAAGCTGCGTAGGAATGTATGCCAAAACACACGATAAGTTTGTTTGGTGTTGTGTACGTTGCTAGGTGGGCGGTGGGCGGTGGGCGGTCAATTCGAGGTGCGTCGGGTGAGGGAAGTGACGTTGAGGGAAAAGGTGAATGGGCGTGGATTATCTGACCGAGAGGGAAGGAGGTGAGGTGGGAGGTCAAACTCAGGTGGACTCGTCTGGAGATCACTCACTCAGCACCACTGCACGCTGCTGCACTACGGTTACCTTACCTTACCTTACTTTGTGGCCCCTTCCTCGACGAGTCGAGTCCCCCCCCCCCGAAGCCGCTGAGGTACATCTCCGATGGGGCATCCAATCCATGGATGTGTCTATGTACCTACTTACTGGTACCAAGGCATATTGGTAGGTATGAATGAGCCTTAGGTACCAGGGCAGTTCAAACTCCAAAACTGCACACTAATTTTCTTGGTACTTTTTTCTCAGTCGTCCCACTGGTCGCGGACCAGAGCCGCCAGCCCGCGTCTCGCTCGTCCAAAGGTTACCACGAGATTTGCAGCGGCCTTACCGTAGCTGGGATGGCCTAGATGGCAGCCAGCGGTGGACCCCTAGGGTTGACCTGAACTGACCATAGCTGTCCACCAACCTATCTCCGATAAGACATCTCGCGTTTAGGAGATGCTGGAAGAACGTGATAATAGAGATTTCCACACATCACATCCTACGAGCACCTAGATTGACGCCGGGATAATCAGCATCCCGGGAGAAACGGGCTGGAAGCACCGGAACCGCCGTTCTCCAGCGTCCCCAAAGCCCGGAGGTTGCGGTGCGCGACGTCTTGTTGAGGGACAAATCGCAGTTCAGGAAAAGAAAGTCAATAGCTGCGAAACCCCACCAGATGCAGGTAGCCAGTCATCATTGGTGAACATCTTCCCACATGACCCCACATGCCAAAGTATCTACGTACCTAAGCGAGGAGATAAAACGTGGGCGAAGCGCGTGGCTGAAGCTGTCCCGCAGTAGCACTTTCCACTGGTAGACTGTGGCTTGACCTCACCAAGGCCGCGCCAGTGCCGCGTGCCCAGCTCGGACTAACCCAGCCCCGACCCGGTCGTTCCCAGTGAGGTGGAGCTACCAGTGGCCCGTGCACGTCGTCAAGCAACGTATCCGTAAGCTTTTTGGCTGGGGGTAGCTGTCTCAGGAGCCAGATCATCAATTCGGGCAATGGAGTGAAAGCCCCAATTGCGTCTCAACAACCGCTTTTCTCCATTCTTGATTCTCAATTGCCGGGAGAGCTCTGTCGATGAGCAATTTCCCCCTCCAACCCACATCATGAGAGCCTTCGCCATTGCCGCCGGGCTTCTGAGCCTGCTCTCCCCGATTGTCGCTAGCTCCGACTCGACTGCAGCTGACAAGGTGTCAAAGGTCAACTTGCCCGCCAACTTCAAGCCGCCCCAGGTCTTCAAGAACGCCAACCTTGTCCACATTGTCTCCCTCGAGAAGAACTACGTCAAGGAGTCAATCAATGTTTTGATTGAGAACATTGACAAGCAGCCCCAAGATGCATACTACCTGCCCTTCACCCCCGAGCAGATGTCGCGCATTGGAGGCTTCGAGGCCAAGGATAGGAAGAACCCCGAAGCTGGCCCGTTCGCCGTTGATGCGGTCGAATACGATCCCCTGAGGTAGGTTTGGCTCCTGAGAACAACCCATGATGTACATGACAAAATTGACAGGAGCAATAGCGAGATGCAGTACTACAAGATCCAGCTCCCTACGCCCTTGAAGGCTGGCGGCCAGCAGACGCTGAGCATTTCCTACTACCTCCTCCAGGCCTACAAGCCCCTGCCGGCCTCGATCGCCCAAGAGGAGCAGCAATACCTCACCTACGACTTCTCCGTATACGCGCCCTCGGCCTACGTCACCTCGAAGCAGAAGACCGAGCTCAAGTCCCACTCGTCCAACATCCCCGACTACACCAAGCTGCCCGGAAGCGGCGACATCAAGGAGTTCCCTCAGAAGCAAGGTGCTAAGCTCACCTACGGTCCCTTCGAGGAGAAGCCCGCCGGTGCCGTCTCCCCCGCCCAGGTGCGCTTCGAGTTCACCAAGCCCGTCACCCACGTCGCCCAGCTCGACCGTGACGTCGAGGTCAGCCACTGGGGAGGAAATGTGGCTTTCGAGGAGAGATACGAGCTCTACCACCGCGGCGCCAACTTGTCAAAGCTCTTCAACCGTGTCAAGTGGGCGCAGGCGGCGTACTACAACCCCAACACGTACGCTCTCAAGGAGATGAAGTTCCCCCTCAAGGTTGGAAGTGCGGACCCGTACTTTGTCGATGCTATTGGCAACGTTTCTACATCGAGATTCCGCAGCAACAAGCGCGAGGCGCTCCTGGAGATCAAGCCTCGCTACCCCATCTTTGGCGGCTGGAAGTACCCCTTCACCATCGGCTGGAACTCTGACGCCAAGAACTTTGTCCGCACCGTCGAGGCTGGCAAGTACGTTGTCAACGTTCCCTTCCTCGAGGGTCCTAAGCAGCCCGAGGGTGTCGAGTACGCAAAGGTCAACCTGCAGATTCTCCTGCCAGAGGGAGCAACGTAAGTGGAATTCGTGAGAGACTAGTGTGTTCAGGTTCTAACAAAGATATTACAGGAACGTGAAGTTCTACACCAGCATCCCTCAGTCCGCCATTGTCGATTCTGCCGTCAGTGTTCACAAGACCTACCTCGACACCGTTGGACGCACCTCGGTCACCATCAAGGCCAACAACCTCGTTGACGAGTTCCGGGACCGGGAGGTGATTGTCTCCTACGAGTACTCGGTGTCATCCGCCGTGCGGAAGCCCCTTGTCATCTTCGCCAGCACTGTTTCCTTGTTCGTCGCCGCATGGCTCATTGGAGGACTGAACCCCAAGATTTCGACCACGGCGTAGATGCAAACAATACCTCTTTTAGACACTGGAGGGAAAGGATGGGGATTGAGTGGGCTTTTCATAGCATTGTACATGTAACATCAGATGGGCATTTCAAAAAAGCAGAACGCGGAACGAAACGGCTTTAGAGAATCACGATTTGGACTGACGAATTGGTCCACCTATGAACATGACTTCTCCACGTGAACTGTCTTCTTCCGAATTTTGTCATCATACTGTAGGGTCACAGATGCTAAAGTTAGCACGCCCATCAACTAGTGTACGCTACTTGAGCGAAGCCTTCGAGAAGAGCATCCCTGCTGTCAAAAGACGAGACCGGTCCCCTGGGAAGGGGATGCAGGCTGACGTCGAGGGCTGACCAGAGATGCGGGCAGGGCAGTGCGGTGAGGAGGAGGACCAGGTTGGTGTGTATGTGGGCGGAGTGGGCCGGATGGCAAGATCTGATCTCAACGCAATCAACTGCCGTCCAGTCTTCTTATGAGCGACAACAGCACTAAAAGGTCATGGTAGCCTGTAGGAAGTTGTAGTGTAAGGCACCTATTTGAAGTTAACCCCGCGGGCCCGAGATCGTCGGTCGCCGGGTAAGCTTGTTTGACAGGATTCTGAAGCCTGTCTGGCCCAAGGTATTTTTATTTCCCGTGGCGGACGGGCTCTTTTGCTAGTTGTTTTTCCTTGCTTTCTTTGCAGGAACGGGTTGGCGTTTTGACTGTAACGGTAACGGTCAATGATACCGTTACCGTATTTTCGACGAGTGTTCCCGGATTCAAGAGCCGGGTTTTGGGCAGAAGGAAAGGGAGAGCATTAGTTGACAGCGGGAATTGCAAAAGGCTTTATCTTTCAATTTGAGGCCCTACAACGAATTTCTGTGACTCAAACAGGCCGCAACTCTTAATAAAATAAAAAAAAGAGGGAAAGTCTGGAACCCTTCACCCTGTACTCTTTCGAAAGAACCAACTTTCCCTTCCTAGCTGGAATCCGTCCGCCCTATCTTTTTCATGAACTGTAGTGTCGGTAACCGTAGGTACGCAAAGACCAAAAAAGTAGGTTGGTTAGTTTAGGGGACCCATTTGCCATCTCACGCGGATCAAACTGCGAGGTGGGGAGACCCTGGCTTCTGGGAATCGGTTGACGCAGCCTGCGCAGGCGGTCTAGACACGCCCCCAAGAAATTGTTACGTCCGTCATATCTGCTTGTTCTCGAACAAGGATAGCAGATCCAACTTGCGCCAAATTCTTCCCGCCGCGCCGCCGATTGGGAGCAAGGATCGGAACCAGGGCAGCTGCGCCCAGTGCCTTCACGAACATGGCCTGGAAAAGCGTATCGACGACACTGCCCACCAGCCAGCAATGAGCAGAAACGCATCAGAAAAAAGGCCAGGCCGCTTTCTTCTTACACCATGAATCCCTCCCTTCCCCCCACCGTCAGCCAACCAACCAGCACTCTTGCTAGCCAGGGTTTCGGTGAGGGCCGCCGCGCTCCCCGTCTGAAAGGGCACTTAATGGGTGATGGTGGGATGGTTGGAGGGTAAAAGGGATGGATGACTGACCGCATAATCCTTGGAAAGCTCGAGTACTGTTCGGTCTCTTTCCCCCCCTCCCCCCTGACTATTGCTACTTTGCCTTGCTTTAGTAAACACACCTGCTTAGAAGAGAGGTCCAAGCCTGACATCTGGTCTCTGGTGAAGGGTTGAACAAGAATGGGAAATCATAAAAGGCAGCCTGTCCGCCCACCACCCATCATCACGTTTCCAGTCCGGCGCATGCATAGCTAGCCTTAGCACTTGAGCAAAATAGAACCTTCTTTGGAATCTTCTACCTTGTATCACTATAATCCAGCTTTTTCAATATCTGATTAGCTGCAGTCGACCTAATATCAACACAACCTCGCCTATTGCAAACAGACAAACGATCTTCTACAACAAGCCCCGATTCAACCCCAAAACTCACGATCTACAAACCGACACCACCGATCTTTACAACTCACCCGTCATTCAAAATGTGCTTCGGAGCGGGAGGCAAGAAGTACTACTACCAAGAGGAGATCGTACCGACCCGGTACCATCACCACCACCACGGCCATCACCACCACGGTCACCACCACCACCACCATGGACACTCCCCGCGCGCAAGCTACACGAGCGTGAGGAGGTCGTACGTCGCCAACAGCCCGCGGGTTAGCTACGTCGAGCCCGTCGTCTACGAGAGGACCAGCCGCACCTACCGATGAGTCAATTCGGCACATTGCCATGGGCTCCAGAAGCTGCTTTAAAGATCCTAAGCATGTGGGAGCGGCACGAAGCGGGGAGTTTAGACGAGGGAACGGCCCATGGACGTTTCAGAGAGTGGGGGAGAAGAATGGGCAGTTTTAAATGGGATGAAGGACGAAAAAGGTTTATTTCTATGAGCCCGTGGAGGAACCATTGCGATTAGCGACAGCGAACATTGGAGGGCACTGGTGTGTTTTCTCAGTTGGAGAGGAACTGTCCAAAGTGGCTTTGGACGAAGCGCTTCGTGAGATCACGAGAGCAGTCTATCCTCAATTTCGGGGGATCTGGAGTTTTGTATGATTAATGGTGGTCTTTTTGGATTGGGCGGTAATGATTGCTACGAAAGTTTTCAAGTTATATATGACTCCGGCTTGTTTGACAGGCTTTTTTACGCAATGAAGTTTGTTCGGCTCTCATCTATAGATGATTCCTCTTCATATCATTGAGCGAATGAAGGGTTGCGCATGACAAACTCATCTGGCCTTCATGGTCTGTGAGCCTCACGCATTACGCAGCCGTGCGCAACAGAACACGGGATGAGCACCTGGAAGTTGCCCGAGTTGATGGCATCTGATTCATCAGCCTTATGGGCTGAATACTTGTCTCTGTAAAGTGCGTGGACACCTGGTGACAGACGTTTCCCCCGTGAAGTGTTACACGATGATGCGATTCGGGGGAAGCCAGTTGGAGGGAGGGAGGGAGGGCCATTTTCCCGAGATGTCGCTTAGGGTCCCCGGACGGGTAATGACATCATTGGCGCGCGCGACCCCTCCAACCACCCTTCGTCATCCTTCGCATCATCATCACCACACCTTCAGCTTGTCGTATGCCTTACTACAGGAGTAGACAGGGGAGCTAGCCGCACAAACCGCCCACCCAGCCCGAATCTCTCGGCGTGCTTCATAGCTATCTCCTAAAATGAGTTCTTTCCTCCCACCACGGGATAGGCACTTAAGTTATCATCGACGGCAGTCGCACAATTTAGCCTCCCCACGCCCAGAATGGTGGGAAGCTGTCGTGGCCTGCTTCGCTCTCCCCGGCCCGAAGAAGACTAGAGCTTCGAGCTATGAGAGCTACCCGGGTTGTTGCCAACGTACTTTTCCTCTCTTGAGTTTAGTTTCCCTCTTGTGATGTGAAATGCCACCTGCCAGCAAGCCCAAACTATGACATGAGTGTCTCACTCGGTCCTTTCCTCCATCCCGACTGTGCCGTCGAAAAGGGTTTCCTCCCCCCCCCCCCCCCCCCCCATCCTTCCCCCCCAAGGACCCCTTCTTAAAGTCAACGCAGGACCCTTGTCGCATCGAGGCTGTCGCATCTTACACTGCAACTTTCCTCTTGACGAACAACTTTTCTGCGCCCTGCCCCAATTGTTCGAACCAGATAGGCGCACCTGAATCTTGGCTTCGACGATCCGTAGATACCCAGACCCAGCTTCTTAGTCGTACACATAATACCCTACCGGGACCAGGTTTCTTCCTTCCCACGTCCATATCGCATCCTAGTCGCTCTTCCTTCGAGCTTCACGATATCATCAGAAGGTGCAGCTAGGGAATAGAGGTAGTCTACTCTGAAATCCAAACAACCGCAATCATGTAAGTGAGATCAGCTTCATACAACACAACACCATCCATCACCACATTAGCCAAGATGCGACGCTGGTTCTCCCCCCATACCAGCGAGGACTGCTACGGCATTGCCATTAGCACGAAGCCCATAAGCATCTCCCCCTCAGTGGTCGCCATCACACCTCCTTCTACGTCTGCCAGAAATCGCATCCACACCTACCCAGCTCGAACCAGTCAACTAACACACTCACAGGAACCGATCACTCTCCATCAGATCTAACCACCGCCGCAACGGCTCCCAGAATAATGGCGCCTCCAAGCGCGCTGGATTCTCCTTCAACTCCCTACGCGGCAACGTCCAGCCCGAGCTCTCACGCAAGCTCTACAAGATCATCAAGAGCGAGAACAACCTCATCAACGCCCACGAGACTGCCGGCCGCGAGCGCACCTCCATTGCCACTCAGCTCTCCGAGTGGGGCGAACAGACTAACGACGCCGCTGTCTCGGACGTCTCGGACAAGGTTGGCGTCATCCTCAGCGAGCTCGGCGAGCAGGAGGAACAGTATGCTCACTCTCTGGACGATGCCCGAGGTGTTTTGAAGCACATTCGCAACACGGAGAAGAGCGTCCAGCCGAGTCGCGACGGCAAGGACAAGATTGCCGACGAGATTGCCAAGCTCAAGATGAAGGAGCCCCAGAGCGCGAGGCTCGTGGTTCTCGAGCAGGAGCTTGTCCGCGCTGAGGCAGAGAACTTGGTTGCCGAAGCCCAACTGACGAATGTCGTACGTAGCCAACCTATCCAACCCCCCTGGCACTACTTCGCTAACAAGAAAACCAGACTCGCCAGAAGCTCAAGGAAGCGTACGAAGCCGAGTTCGCTGCTACTATTGAGCGGGCCGAGAAGCAAATCATCCTTGCCAAGCACGGCCGGCGTCTCCTTCACCTCCTCGATGACACCCCTGTCGTACCTGGCGACATGCGTCCCACGTATCACCACGCTCAACAGGCGCGACAGATCCTCAACGACGCCGAGGACGACCTGCGTGACTGGCGCCCGGAGCAGGATGACTTTAACAGCGCACCCTCTGACTCCGTGACCAACGCTAGGGGTACCCAGGACGCAGTACACGACGAGGACGCTAAGATCGTGGCTGGATCGGTTCCTGGACACCAGGCAGTTTCGGAGAAGGATACTGATAGCATTGTGAGCAATGGAACTAGGCAGACCGAGAGCGTTGCTGCTCACTAGAGCGGTACCGGGATGTGTTGTGCGATGCTTTCCAGTTTGTATGAAGGATATCAGGATGGACGGGCTGGGACTGGGAGATGTTAATGCTTGTATATAATACCATTCTTACGGCCGCGCTTTCATGAAATACATGATATCAAACGAACCATTTTCTGGTATGCGTTTTGACTCAGCAAGATGGTATTTTGCAGAATTGATCATATTATCTTCTCATCACCACAACTCATCTGCATCATGTCTTGACCGCAACTTGGGAAGGGGCTGCGCCAAGTATTTGTTTAGCAACCATCCAGTGTTGGGGACATCATGAATACCAATTTTCAATCGACTTGGTTGGTCAAAGGTATCATTGCTGTTGGATGACTGGAGTTAAGGTAGCACGGTACACATGTGAGGATGCAGGCAACAGCAGGCAGCCGACCCCGCTCTGTGCGACGCCCAACACAGCCGTTAGAGAGGCGCGAGGTTTATAAGTGGCGTGTGTGGTTCTGTAGGCCACCACTCGCACGATGTCTTTTTGAACATTCATCTTATCTCTAAATCTACCTTTCGGTGCTCACTTACAGGGGAAAATCTCTAATTGCCAATCATGGATTCAACCGCCACGCCCACGACGACGACGATTGACGTCTCCGCATACGACCAACAGCTCCAATCCCCGCTGTTCGGGACCTTGCCGGGCGAGATCCGCAACGAGATCTTTGCGCTTGCGCTGGTGCAGTATGAAGAAGAGGGGGAATCAGCGTACGCGAAGGACTCGTACTGGTATCGGCCTGGCTTCACGGGTCCGAGGAAGAGTAGTAGCAGTTTGCTGAGGGCGTGTAAGTTGGCGCATGTGGAGGGGCAAAAGGTGTTTTTGAGGGAGTTGGAGTGGGCTTTTTGGTTTGGTATGTCTTTTTTCTGTTCTATATTTCTATAACCCCCCCCCCCCCTTGCTTTCGAGCTCTACACGAAATGGAAGCTCTTTTTGAAAGTGTCCGTGGCAAGATGGGAGGTTGGATCGTTCTGAATAGACGCAAAACTAATTTGCCAATGTGAATCTCAGACCGCGGCCCAAAAGGAAGAACAAGAAACGAAGCCTGCACGGGATTCTTCTCCTCCCTGACGGAGCAGCAATCGCGCGACTTGAGCAAAGTCCGCTTCTTTACGCAAATGTACTGGCTCGAAGGCGGGCGGAACTTGGCGACGCTCTTTGCGCAGCCCAGGTTTCGACCGGAGGTGTTGACGATTACGGTGCGGTATTCGGATTGGTGGTACTGGGAGAGTGATGAGCCGTTAAGGATGTCGGAGGATTGGTTGAGGGGGTTTAGGGGGCCTAGGGGTTTGAGGGAGTTGAGGGTTGAGTATGAGACGCTTGTGGGGAAGAGGGAGGAGATGATGGGGATTGTGGGGAGGAATAAGGGGTGGAAGTTGGTTGTTGGTGATGGGAGGGAGGAGAGGCGGGAGAGGGAGAGGGAGGATGAAGAGGAAGAGGAGGGGAAGAAGGAGAAAGAGGAAGAGGAAGAGGAAGGGTATCTGAGTGCCGAGGGGACGGAGTTGGTGGAGTGGACGTGGAAGGGGCCGAGTAAACTCGGTGGACAGGAGTGGGCTCATCACGGGGAGGGGGATACGGTTGAGTATGTCGTTGTTGTGGATACGTGGAGGTTTGTCGAGGGGAGGATGAGCGAGGAGGATCGGGCGAGGAGGGTGGAGAGCCAGCCTTTGTCTGATTATTATGGGCATTTCTGGCATTTTAATGATTCGGATAGGAGCTCGGATTATTGGAGTGAGAACGAGGATGAGGATGAGGATGAGGATGAGGACGAGGATGAGAACGAGGAGGATGAGGAGGAGGAAGGGGACGATCATGATGTGGCTGGAGAGGATGGCTCGGGGCCGTTCGGAGGCTCTGAGTTGGATTTGTCTGCCGGAACTGTTCTTTAAGATGTGTAGCTGAAGGCTCTGGAGGATTTAGATTGATTATATAGCGAACACAGATAACGTTAACTACCTAATTTGACACAATTAAAGACCTTTTCTGATGAAAATGACTTTTTTGGATGCTAGTGACTGTCGAACTCTAACAAGCAAATCGGCTACCTAGACCACTATATTCCATGTCAGAGGAACACACTTTCAACGCCCGTGAGGCTTTGTTCTACTGAAGAGTCCTGTCCGTGATGTTCACTGGAGAGTTCGTGGGACCGTGAGACTTTGAGGCTGCAAGGAAAAGAAAGCTCTAAAAAAAAACAGGCAATGAACCACATCAAGCCTTGACATCACTTCCATCTTGTCCAACAAAGCATTTTAATAATTCGATATCGGACAATTGAGAAATGCGGCGAATACGGAACTTTGAGCCAACCTATGTGCTACCATAATACGGGGTATTGTAGGTTGAAGAATGTGTGGTATCTCGGAAGCTCGTGAGGAGGCTTGGGCGGAAGCCTGGCTGACCAATATCATGTGAACATTCGTTACCACTTCACTGCGATTTAAACTCACCCAGAGAGGCCATGGGTCCCTCTTCTTCAACTACCTTCAATGTAAGGGGTGAAAAAGAGAATCGACCTTTATATCATGGGTGGTACCGTCCTTACGATCCCTCTTCTGGACTTTGGCAAGTTGTCGGGCTATTTGACACATCTAGTCTGAGAAGTTGCGAGTTCGCAGCGGCGCATGTTTCTGCCTTAAGCCAAACCGCTGGGAGGCTATATTTGGCGTCAATTTTATAAACATTCATATGAACAACAACATCGTAGCTTCTTCCAAGACTTCAAGACGGCCTTAGTTGACTGGCCATCAGGGGCTCAATCTTTACCCATAGATGCAGCTAAAACATTCGGAGTTCTACAAGTTCCCTTCAAGTATTCCATATTCATTGTATTTTCCATTCTCTCTTGTCAAAATCCCGCCCCTTTTGTTGGGACCTGGCGAACAAACAAGACAAATCATAGAATTCTCTACCTCATTTCTCAAGGTACGTGCTTTGTACTCACTTACTCCCGAAAGATGGAAGCATAAAATTGCAGAGTAAGACCAATGGTTTATGATGCATTTGACTATGTACGAATGGTAGCAAGAGACTAGAGTACTGTTCACACCTCTAGTTGGCAATTCTACACGCTCAGTAGAACCCCATCATGGAATAAGAAAGACGCCTACAGCCAACATTACTTTACTCTGCTCCGAGGTATGGCGACACCAATGGCATCCCGCTCTCAAGCAAGGCCTCAATGTACGCCGTAATAAGCGGATCCAGACCTTGTCGCGCGGCGCGGACGAGCCACTCTTGCATATCCACCTCGTCAAACGCGCCGCCGTAGACGGTCTCCATGTGTGCGCGGAATTGCGAGAAGAGGGTTTTGATACCGCCAGAGTGGTGGCGGAAGTGGATGGACGATGATGGCGGTGAGGCTTCTGCTGCTGATGTGGAAGTACTTGGGGGCACGCCGGCCAACTCGACGGCGGCGGCGGCGATTCGGCCCACGACGTCGTCGAGGGGCGCGAAATCGACGAACCCTTCTGCGCGGCGGAGACGCGGGACGGTGCGCATGGCGAGGGAGTAGCGGAGGATGCCGTTCATTGCGTCCGAGTTGGGTGCTTGGGGGCTGACGAGGGTGCAGGATCTGTGCATTGCGATTTTGAGGGTAGGGGATTTGGTTGCGGTTGCGGTTGCGGTTCCCGCTTCGGCGCCGTGATCACCATCACGATCCCGGAGGTGGTTGACCAGATTCTCCAAGAACACTTCCCCGGCCCACTTACTCGCCGTGTACCCGTCCGATCCGTCCACGGCCGGTGGAGGGAAGTCTCGGAGGGAAGATGGAGGTCTGGGGGTCTCGGATGTGCCTGCTAGGAGGAGGGTACGCGGGCTTGAGAGGTAGAGGTTTGGGATTGCTGTTTTGCGAGGTTATGGCGAAGCGGAGGTTGAAGCTAGGGACAGGGAGGCGAGAGAGTGTAAGGCCTCGAGGTTTGGGCGGCGGAGGGTTGCGAAGCGGTTCAGGCAGTGGCCGTGAGCAGCTGTGTGGACGATGATGTGGACGGTCTGGGCGAGGTGGTTTCGTTCGGTTGGAGTTAGGCCTAGGGTCTTGGAGAGGAGGGTGCCTGTGTAGTAAACCACCTCGGCGACGGAAGCAGAGTGAGAAGACGGACTGGGTTGGTGGTGGTGGTCGGAGGGGACGGCGATGCAATGGACTTTGCGGATGGATGGGTGGTGGAGGAGGGCCGTGAGGATGTGGCTTCCCGGGAATGAGGATGCTCCTGTGAGGAGGACCTCGATGCCAGACTCCGTCTTTCCCTTCTTCACTGCGATGGCATCGGCAGCGGCGGCGTTGGTGGTCGTCGTCTCAATCTTCCCAATCTCCTCCCGCAACCATCCCGGAACAGCCGTCTCGGCATCCCAGTCTATACGAGCGTTCTCCTCCGCCGCCGCCGCCGTAGAATCCTCAAAGACGGCTCGCGTCATGGCGCGCAGCGTGATGGCCTCGTACATGCGCTTCGTGCTGATCTCCACGCCAGTCGTCTCCTTGATCGCCTTTTGGAGCTTCATCAGCAGCAGCGAGTTGCCGCCGCAGAGGAAGAAGTCGGACGAAGGGCCGATGCGCTTGGAGCCTAGGGAAGGGAGAACGCGTTCCCAGAGGAGACGGAGTTCTCCCTGGCGGACGGTGAGTTTTTCTCCTGCTTTATTGTGCCCAGGGGTTTCTTCCGTGTTTGTTGCGCTGGTGTCGGATCCGAGTGTGTGATTGGGGTTTGACCCCTTTCTCCCCGGGAGAGGGAGACGGAGACGGGCGATGGCTTTGCGGTCTAGTTTGCCGTTTGGCGTTGAGGGTAAGGTCTTGAGGGTGTAGATTGCTGCGGGGATGAAGGCTTGTGATAATCTCACGCGGGAGAGGATCGAGGAAGAGGAGGAGATGCTGTTGTCGTCTTGCCAGGTGGTGGGATCTACATCGTCGGCGAGCGTGGCGTGGGCGATGAGGATGTCATCTTCACCAACGCCACCAGCACCAGCGCCATCCAGACGACGCCGAGATACCACGACAGACGCGAGAGCACCCGCAGAAGCCTGGAGGACGGCGGCCTCAATCTCCTGCAGATCAACCCTCTGCCCGCGCAGCTTGATCTGCGTGTTGCCGTCGAGTCGGCCGAGGCAGAGGAGCGTTCCGTCGGCGAGGAGGCGGCCTTTGTCACCTGTGCGGTATACCGTGGCCTCCTTCATTCCCGGGACATCCGTTAGAAAGCGGGCGCGCGTGAGGTCTGGTCTGTTGAGGTATCCCAGCGCCACGCCCGCGCCGCCGATGCAGATCTCGCCTGTTTGCCCCAGGGGTAGGGGCTGCGGGATAGTGGCGGTGGAAAAGGGGTCGACGATGATGACAGTATAGTTCAGGAGGGCTTTGCCTACGGCGTAGGGTCTCCACATGGCCGAGGGTGCGTTAGGGGATGCTGCGCAGGAGGTTGATGATGCTTGGTCGTCGTTGTCGAGAGGGATGGGTTGAAAGGTTGTGGCTGCTGTGATCTCTGTTGGACCATAGCAATTTGTCAGCCGCAGACCTGGGATCCCGAGACGACCGAGTTCGGTTATGAGACGGGGTGGGATCTGTTCGCCGCCGGAGAAGGCCAACCGCCAGGTGCTGCTGCCGTCTCCCTTTTCCGCGGTCGCCTCCGTACTTGCTGAGAGGCTGTCAGCGGCGGCGTGGATCCAGGCGAGGTACTCGGTCGGCGTGGCGATGGTTATGGAAACGGCCTCGCGCCTCAGGAGGGCCGCAATGGCAACGGGGTCGCGGCGGATGTCAGCGGGTGCGATCACCAGACAAGCCTCGTTGGCGAGGGCGGAAAAGGTCTGGACGAGGGCCATGTCGAAGCCGAGGGAGCTCTGTTGGAGGACGCGGTCGGTGTGGGCCAGCGAGAAGGTCTGCGTCTTGAGTGCAATGTGGTTTGCGAAGTTGAGCTGGGTCAGGTGGACGCCGTTGGGTGTGCCAGTTGAGCCGCTTGTGAAGAGGAGGAATGCTGGTGATATCTTGTTTGAGTTATCAAGATCACCGTGAGTGTTGGAGTCGTCTTGGGGATGGTCCACGTCTACCTGGAGGGCTCGTGGTTTCTCATGTTGCTCCCCCACGACGACGTCGTCTAGCAAGGCATTCAAACGCTGTTCCGTCTGCGTGTGGAAAAGCACGAGCGCGGGCTCGCATAGACGGAGCATGTCTGCGTGGCGTGAGGCAGGTAAGCTAACGTCGAGGGGAACATAGACGGCTCCGGCTTCGAGGACAGCCAGCATGGCGACAATACCGTCGACCGACGGCTCGCATAGCACGGCAACATGGCGGGCGTGAGCACCAGCCTCTTTCAGCCGATGTGTCAGGCGGCTCGTCTGGTTTGCCAATTGAGAATATGACAAACTTCCCACGGCGTCAGTGACGGCTATACGCTCAGGATGTAAACGGCACATATCCCGCACACGACGAGACAAACACAGAGACGACGCGGTATCAACCCAGTCAAACTTGGTCTCAGGACCTCGGCCAACCTCAAGCGCGCGAAGCACACGAGCATCTGAATCATCGTACAACGCCAACCGGTCCACAGACACCTCCGGCTCACGCGCAACAGCCTCCAGCAACCTCAGGTACACATCCATAAGAGACCGGCACGCCTCTGGTCCGTACAACGTAGCAGAGCACCATATCTGCGCGAGACACCCGCCCCCGGGCATCTCAAAGAAGCCAAGGCTCACGTCGTACGGGTTCTCGGCCTCCTTGGCGCCGTGCCAAGATAGTTCCATGCGGGCGTCGTCGGAGCCGAGGGTTAAGTCCCAGATGTCGATGCCGCCGCCGCCGGCTGTGCGGTAGATGATGGCGGCTTGGAATAGGGGGTGGGCTTCTGTTGCGCGCGGGGCGGAGGCGAGCGAGAGGATGCGGTCTAGGGGGAGTGTTCCGTGGGCGAAGACGGACATTGCTTTGCGGGAGGCGGCGCGGGCTATGGAGGCGAAGTCGGGGCTGGTTTCGGTTGCACCGGCGGTCGCTGCCACGGTGGCGCGAAGGGGCAGCATGTTGACGAAGCATCCGAGCGTGTTGACGAAGCGCTCGTCGCGGCGGTTGGCGTCTACTACACCGATGCATATGTCTTCTGTGCCGGTGAGGCGCGCGAGGAGGACTTGGAGGAGGGCGAGATGAACGTGGAATGGGCTGATGCGCAGGCGCTGGCTTAGAGATTTCACGGCTTCGAGTTGTGCTGGGTTGAACTCTTGGTCTAGGTTATGAGCACTGATCCGCTGCTGCTGTTGTCGGACCAGAGACGATCTATCGAGACCGCGGGCCATGGGTAAAAGGGGAAGCGTGTCGGGCAGCGAGGAGGCGAACTCGGCGCGCCAGAAGGCGAGGTCCTCGTCCAGCGCGCCATTTTCTTCTTCGCTGAGCTGATGGAGCGAGTAATCGACGTATGAGAGGCCACGGCCGATGGGAGTGAGAGGTTGCATGCGGTATGCTCTGTCGACGTCACGCCAGAAGAGGGCTACGCTCCAGCTGTCTAGGGTGATGTGGTGGTATCCCAGCACGAGGTATCCGTACTCCTCTGTTTCATCATCTTCTTGTTGCAGTTGCCCATTTTTGATACTTAGCAGTGAAACCTCCATGGTCTCTCCTCGCTCGAGATCCCACGCACGCGTCTTGAAGCCCTCGAGCGTCTCCCGCAGTGCCGTATCGATGCCGCCGCGGTCATCGTACTCGGTGTGCGTGAGGCGGACAGCCGACTCGGACGGCGCCGTGATGCCTTGCATCGGGTGGCCGTCTTCGAGGCGCGGATAATAGCACGTGCGGAGGCACTCGTGGCGGGCCGCGACGAGCCGGAGGGCGTGACGTAGCCAGGCCGGATTCACGCGGCTGTGGCCTCGGAGCCGGTAGTAGAATGCGTTTTTGCAGGCGGCCGGGTTATCCGAGTGCTTGTGGACGAACCAGAAGCGGGATTGGGCGGCAGACATGGGCGCTTCTCTGACGATGACGGGGTCTAGAAGGAGGACATCGTTCTTTTTGAGGTCGGGGTCGTCCTTGGGTTGGTCCGGGTGCTCTCCTTCTTCTTCTTCGTCGTCTGTGGTGGCTGTTTTGGGAGTGTCTGAGCCGGATCCAGAGTTCTCGACGATGCTGCTGCTGCTGCTACTACTACTATTCCCTGTCGAGGCCAAGTTGGAGTCAACAGAAATAGGGGTCACAACAACAGGGACTGGAGTTGCGCCGGGAGTCTGTTTGACAACCTCGCTCGAGGCCTGGACAACTTTCTCAACCGCCTTGATCTCCTTTTTCTCCTCACTCTTGGGAGGAATCTCCTTGCGATCTGCCAACATCTTCTTAGCCGCCTTCGCCGAGACCTCCAAGACCGTCTCGCCACCCAGGATCTTGACAATCGGCACCTCTGTATCAAGCTCTTTGAGGAACCACGTCCGGATTTCGACCGCCACCAACGAGTCGATACCCAGATCAACAATCGGCCGCTCGAGGCCGTTGCTCTCGTGTACCGCGCCCTTGGGAAGCTGCAGCATCGTCTCGAGCTTGGCTCCGAACGCCGCCGCCACCGCCGCTACGGCACCGTCCTCAGTCTCGGCGCGAGCAACTTGCTCACGCACGCCGGCGCCGCCGGAGCCGTGTTGATCCTTTTGCTGCTGCTGCGACTCGGTTGATAGCGCGCTGTACGGTTTCAAAGCCATGAGGCGGGGATCCAAAGTCCACACGGCCTTGTTCACCTGCCCGGCCTGCATGGGCGCAGTAGGCGGCGCAAGGCCCATGGTGATGTCGTGCTCGAGTTCAGAGCCGGACCCGGGGGAGGAGTCAACCCGACTCGCACGCACAGCCATAGCAAAGGCATCCTGCACATCTGTCTCGGATAGCGGTGTAAGTCGAATGCTCCTAAAGTGATCGGCCAGCTGCTTCTCTTTGGCAAAACGCGTAATGTACCCTGTGTCGCCACCCACCCAATATGCACCACAGACGCAGCCAAACCCCTGGCGCGCCGGCCCGCGACAACGGCGTTCATGAAGAGGTTACCGGCGTGGTAATTCGCTTGGGCGACGTTGCCGATGGTACTCGCCGCCGACGACGTGACGATGAAGAAGTCCAGCTGTTCAGCACCCTTTCCGCCGTGGAATACGGCATCGAGGTTCTCTGTTCCAACAACCTTGGCCGCCAGCGTCTCGTTGAGCTGCTGCGGGGACATGTCGAGAAATACGGCGTCGTGGAGGACCATGGAGAGGTTACACACGCCCGTAATGGGCGGCATCGTCGAGCGGATGGTTGCGACTGCTGTCTCGACTTCTGCGCGCTGCGTCACGTCCAAGGCGAGGGTGTGAACTTTTGCCCCCGCGTGGAGGGCCTCGGTTTGAAGGTCTGCGTTGGGCTGGGCGCGGCGGGATGTGATGACCATGTGTTGGGCGCCGTGGTGGATCATCCAGCGGGTAAGGGAGAGGCCTAGGCCGCCGGAGCCGCCCATGATGAGGTAGTTTAGGTCTGGGCGGAGGAGGCCGTTCGGATGGATGTCGGTTTCAGGGGGTTGGATTGTTAAGGGGAGGGAATATTGCTGGTGCCAGGAGCAGAGGTATTGTTGGCGGGAGAGAGAGGCTGCGTTCATACCCGCGAGGTCAGCAGCCATGATCGTTGTTGCCGTCTTGTCACAGCCTTCTCCTGTTGAGTTGGCAGCGACACCTGCAGACGCGAACAAGGCCTCGATGGCCTGGTTCTGGCTCTCAGACTGTATCTCCAACTGCCGTGGCAGGAATCTCTGCAGAAGCTCGCCGTCGAGTGCGAATGCCTGGCAATTGAACGGCAGAGATTCCTTCAAATGCCCCCAAGCTTGATGGTAAGCGTGCTCTGACGTCTCCGAGCAGTCTACGAAGAAGTCGACACGGTTCGAGGGCAGACACTGCTTGGCCATACGACGCGACATGTTTGCGTGGACTCGAATCCAGCCTCTAGGAACCTTCTCCAGATTAGAATTGGAGGTGACGCAGTGGACCTCGACACTGACACCCTTCAGCTCTGCCTTCAGCTCTTTCTCGAGCTTCTCAGCCATGTTATATTGCGGCTCGAAGAGTAGTAACCCGACGGTTAAACCGGCGTTGACTACCACGCGGTGAATGAGGGCACGGCGAAGAAGAGCGTCAGCCACGGCTTTAATGGATGCTGGTGTGTAGGAGCAGCCGACCCGGACAATGTCCTTGGGCTGTAGTGACAACTTGGACACATTAGAAGAGCTGATTGCCATGACCCAGTCCTCATTAAGACGCCCATGGACGATGAAGACCGAAGATTCCTCATGGTGAGACGGAACATGCAGAGCATATTCAACGTCCATCTGCACAGCCCCCTGGCTGTGGTCAACAAACCGCCGCAGCTCCATCTTCCCATTAACATTCGCAACAGCCTGAACCGCAACGTCGGTTACGTCAACAGTCTTGACAATGGGCCGGTTGCGCGCGGCAAAACGCTCGTTCAACGCCGTGGCAGGCATCACGCGCGGGATCCGAACCTCGCCGTCAACAAGAACCTCGCACTCGGGCTCAACAGACCACAGTGGAAGCGGAGTCTGCCCCTCACTATCCCGGAGATCAGCTATGTGCCGTAGCCGCAGGAACGCCTCGACACAGCGCCGGGCGTCTACCGCGGGACCGGCGCCAGCCTCGAGCCCGAGAACTTGCACGCTGAGATGGGGAATCTCCTTGGGCACCACGCGCGTGATGCCGCGGATCATGCTCGCGCGGGGGGCTGCAGAGGTGCCAGATGCCGTCACCCAGAGCAGGCTCGCGGCGGAGAGGAAAAGATGCCGGAGGCGACGCAGACGCGTTTCCGACATGGGCAGGTTCGCGAATAGGGGCTGATCAGCGTCATGCAGGCACAGAACGTCGGCTCGGTTGAGGCTGACGTCGTCAAGGTCAATGTCGTCGATGCTGGGAATTACACACAGACGAGACCGCCACGCTGTCGGCAGCATTCGAGTAATCTGGTCGACGACGCGGGTAGTGGCGAGTCGTTGTCCCCCAATAAGCAGCAACGGTGCCGACGAAGGCGCAGGCAGATCAGTCGGTGCAACGAAATCAAGTGGACTACGGAGGCGAAGCACGTCCTCATCAACAGCCTGGCTGACGATGCATGACGTGACGTGGCGGCTCTCGTCGGGACTGTCATGCAGCACCGTATCGGCGCCCGAGAATCCGGCCCGGCAGAGAAGACGGTGCCACTCGAGCGCCGGCACAGTGGGGCCGTAGCGGCGGGACGGCTCCGTGCTCTGCCACCAGCCGGGCAACCCGCCAAAGAGGAAGCCGACCATGCTCTGCGTACCCGTGGTCTCGAGGAGAACGAGGTAGCCGCCCGGGCGAAGTAAGCTACGTGCGCGAGCGAGTGTATCTGCGAGGCTCCGCGTGGCGTGGAGAACATTGGCCGCGATGACGACGTCGTAGCTGTACGGCGTGAACCCCTGCACGGCAACATCCTGCTCGATATCGAGTGTGCGGTACGCCACGCGGTCAAAGGCGGAAAATTTCTCCGCCGCCGCGGAGAAGAAGGCGGGCGAAACGTCGGTGAAGGTGTAGGAGTCGTACAGGTCGTCGACGGCGTGTAAGACGCTCCAGGTTGTCCCGCCCGTGCCGGCGCCGATCTCCAGCATGTTGCAGCGCGGGAACTTGAAGGCGATTTGCTTCATGAGCTGACCGACGGCGCGGTTGGTCGCCACCGAGGTGTTGTTTTGCATATAAAACTGGTTCAAGAGGTCGTCTTGCTGCATTACTTGTAGCAGGAGATGGGACTCGCCTTGGACGACGCGGGCGAGCGCTCCGCCGACGGCGCGCATGAGACGGAACTCGACTGTGGTGCCGTGTTCGCGGTCTAGTGCGGCAATTTCCTCGGGTCCATCTGTTAGCCATGCTGTCTGGACGAGCGGGTGTTTGCCATGGTGGACTAGTTCGAGATGGTGGGCAAATGCCTCGAGCATGCGCCGATGGTGCCATTGCAGACCGTCTATTTCCTGCTCCTCTTTGGCCTTCTCGGAAGAGGGCGGCGGCACCTCGACTTGAGCTACGACTTGTCGGATGTACCACAAAGTCAGCCGCTCCGTTGCCTCGTTGACCCGTAGCGTGCGCTCGTCTTGGGTAGGATCGCGCGGGGGCAGTGTCAGTCCCATGACTGGATGTAGCACGTAGGAGCTGCTGCTTGGACCCAGCGACGCAGCATCGGCTTCGATGTCGATCTTGGAACTGGCGGGCCACATGGCCGTGGCAGCCGCATAGCCGAGGACGCGCTCACAACTATTCGTAGCCGCAAATGCGTCATGGTAATCGAGTCCTATCTGGCCGAACATTTCGTGGATCGCTTCGCCGTCGACATGGACGGCGTTGTCCGGGATCGGCTCCCGGGGTGGCAATACCAGACTCGGCGCCGAAGTGGGGCCATAACCGGAATCGGCGGGTCCGATATGGATGACTAAGTTGCCGCTACAGGTGTGCATCATGGCCCCGGTCACCTCGTTCGGACACACGTAGTACGCAAACTTGGCTCGCACAACCTGTGCAGCCTTGTTTTTCGTACCGAAATCTTCTACCGCCGCCGGCAGCACTTGCACAGTGAACAGCGTCTCGACGCCGTCCGTGTTATCAGGCACAACCACCGGCCGCAGAATGTCGACGTCCTCTACCGCTAGCTGAGCCACAGGCCGAGAACCGGCGACGTATTGCGCCGCCTGGGCTGCGATGGATACGTACGCGGCGCCGGGTAAGAGGACCTCGCGCAGGATCTCATGCCCTTTTAACCAAGGAATCTCACTCAGGCGTAATACATTGCGCCACCGCAGTTCGTGATCGTTGTCGTCAGGCATCCGCCGACCTAGCAGCTCATGTGCTGTGTCGGCGAGTGTGCGGTATCGCGCTGAGATGCGTGATTCGCGCCAGTATACCCGGTCATGATCCCACGCGTAGCCAGGCAAGTCCGCGAGCAATGACTTGGACGTTGTTTGGATTGCTCCTACCTCGCTCCAGATACCGCGGAATCCATCAAAGTCGACGTGCGCCGGCCCGAGCTGGGCCCAGACTGACTGACCCAACGGCCTCCTGAACTACAGCTACGTCGCTCATCTTGCGCTTGAGGAGACTGGCATACGGCGGCGCAGAACCGTAAGCGGCCTTGAGCGTCTGCTCGACAGGACCCTTGAGCGCCGGATGCGACCCCAATTCGATAGCCAGGTCAAATCGTCCGCCGTGCCATACGGCCGACTCAAGCGCCTGCGAGAACTTGACCATCTGCACCATATTGGCAACCCAGTACGGACCCTTGAGCTTAGAAAGCAGCTCCGCCTCGCCGCCACGTCGAACAAGACGGGCGTCGCCCCGGACACTGGAGCTCCACACACATGCGCCTCGCCCTCTGCCTTTGCCTGGCTTGACGGAAATATCGCAGGCTAGGAGGGCTTGCAGGTAGGCGTCGGCACACGCAGCCATGTGATGCGAGTGATAAGCCGTATCGACCACTAACAGACGGGCAAAGATGTTGTCCCGCTCAAGTTGCTCTTTGGCCTCGGCCACGGCGTCCCGGTCCCCGGAAAGCGTGCAGCTCTGCGGTGCGTTACTGGCGGCGACAACGAGCCGGCCGACGAACGCCGGTTGACGACACAGTTCCGAGGCCGCTGGAAGCGAGAGACCTACAGCCAGCATGCCGCCACCAACTTTTGTGCCGGCGCGGGCTAGGTGCGCGTAGAAGCCGCGGTAGTAGGCGATCTGCACGGCGGCCTCACGTGTGATGAGACCGGCGGCGTAGGTGGCTGCGATCTCGCCGGAGGAGTGGCCTACGACGGCGTCGAGCCGGATGCCTGACGCTGTCAAGATGTCTACCTGCGCGATCTGTAAGGCAGTGCAGAGCGGCTGCGCCAGCTCGGCCTCACCTAGGCGTGATGTGTCCGCCTCCTTGGACAGCTCGTCGATGAGAGACCAACTCGGCGCGTGTCCGTGGCCCGCTGGCAAGCCATGTTGTAGGACTGCATCGCAAGCTTCAAGACTGCGCCGGAAGAGCGGAGATACGGCCATGAGCCCGCGACCCATGGTCGCCCACTGCGCGCCTTGACCTGTGAAGACGCCGGGGATGCCTGGGGCTTCGGCTGGGTTGATGAGGCGCGGGACGGTGCCGATATCACCGTTTTTGGCCTCGCCGGCGTGGCTCATCACGAACCAACCCATGGCATCTAAGACGTCCTGCCTGGTCCCGCCGGTGAAGAATGACCGCACGCGGTGCGTCGACCGATGTGTCTGCAGGATGCGACTAAGGTCTCTGAGATCTAGCGAGTTGGCGTGCGTCTCGACGTACTCCAGGTACGCCTGTACATTGCGCAACAGTGCCGGTCCAGACTGTGCGGAAAAGAGCAAAGGACCGACAGCCCCATCGGACAGCTGCTGTCTCTCTTCCAGCACCTCTGCTACCCCTGGCAAAGCTTCAATGATGGCGTGGGCATTGGTGCCTCCGAACCCAAAGCTGTTGACCGACGCGCGCATTGGAGTGCCAGCGGGCCTCGCCGGCCACGCCATGATCTTGTTGACGATCTTGAGCGCGCCAGGGCCGTAATATGGGGCGATCTTGGGGTTGAGCTGGTTGAAGAGCATGTTGGGTGGTACAGTTTGGTGCTTGAGCATGAGCAGCACCTTGATCACGCCCGCCAGCCCGGCACAGCCCTCCGTGTGGCCGATGATAGTCTTGATACTTCCCACGATCAACGTCTCAGGCTTCGTTTTCTCGGGCTTTTCCGCTTGGTCCTGGCTTTCTTGCTCCTGACCCCCGAAGAAGACGTCGTACACGGCGCGGGCCTCGACGGGGTCACCAGCCTGCGTGCCTGTGCCGTGACACTCAAAGTACTGCGGCCGATCCGCCTCACGGAGCGGATCAAGCCCCGCCCGGCGGTACGTACGCCGGATCAAATCAGTCTGTGCCGGCGCAAACGGCATCGTGATCCCGGGACTCTGACCATCCGAGTTGATGCCCGTCGCACGAACAACCCCCTGAACAGGATCGCCGTCGGCCAGCGCTTTCGCGAGCGGCTTGAGCAGTAGCGCAGCGACGCCCTCGCCACGGCCGTAGCCGTTGGCGCTAGCATCCCACATGCGGCACTGCGAGTCCGGCGAGAGCATTTGCAGCTTTGACTCGGCGATGTACGGTCCGGGGTCCATGATGAGGTTCGTACCGCCGACGATGGCGGCATCACAGTCACCCGCGCGTAACCCCTGAACGGCCTGGTGCAGGGCGACGAGCGAGCTCGAGCATGCCGTGTCAATGGTCACGGAGGGACCCTTGAGGTCCAGCACGTATGAGACGCGGTTGGCGATGATACTGGGCGCGTGGGCGCCCGTCGCGTTGTATTTGGGCATCGTCTCCGGGTCGCGCGCCTGGATGACGCCGTAGTCGTTGCTCATGGACCCGACGTGGACCGATGTCTGAGACCCCCTGAGGCGGTCGAGCGTCACACCCGCGCTCTTGCACGCTTCGTAGGATACCTCGAGGAGAAGCCCGCGTCGAAGATACGGCTGTCTTCCTCTAGGAGATAGGACAGGCCTCGGACGTCGGTAGACCCGTGCGTCTGTCCGTCAACGTTATGGAACCGTTCAAGGTTTAGACGCTTTGGGTCGAACTGCTTCCGTACATCGTGGGGCTCGCGAAGGAGCTCCCATAGCTTTGAGGGCGAGCTGCAGCCGCCGGGGAAGCGGCAGGCTGAGCCGATGATGGCAATTGGCTCTTCTGGTAATGAAGCCATCATAGGTGACTTGTGTATATCGTCTTCCTGCTATGTGGTCAACAACTCTGACCTTTCCTCTCAGGCTCAAAATATGTAAGTGGACGTACGATTCTGACTCTGATGTTGACTATTTGTTTCTAGGAGAGACCGCCCACTTAGTGTAGTTGATACAACATGGAACAAGACGTCAAAGATGGGGACAGAAAGTCATGGGCGGGCCGCGGAACAGAGTGTCTGCGATCCAACAATGGTATTTGGTATGGGGTCTTTCCCGTAGTCAAGGTGCCTTGATGTTGGGCTGCCCCGGATAGCCCGTGATCATGACGCTTTATGCGAACAAGAAGCGTCCGTTGAACATTGACCTGGATAGACTCGCTAGACGCAGCGGGAGGGACCATCCGAACCGTCCCGCAACCGCAATAGAGACACCGTCTCCGGACCAGGGCCTCCAACAGGCCGAGAGTTTATCACAAACCCCATGCCGCTCTTGACCTGCCGTGTGGGTCAGGTCCGAATTTTGAAGCCTAAATTCCAAATGTCGCCATAGGGAAGTATCTGTAGACCGCTTCTCCCGAAACTGGCCTTGTATGCGTCGTGTAACTTCTGCTCTTTCCCGAGACCTACATCCGGGGCTCCATGAATATCTGGTTGCCTCAAACTCTATGGTAAATGTCACCGTGTCGACTCAGACCGCTCATTGACTTGCTCCTTTTGGCCTGGTTACAGGGCATTCTCTTCTTTTATGTCAGATTTCAATACAGATGCAGCATAAACTCAAAGTCATGATGCTTGGCTGAGGTCAAAATAGTACTTTCCTCCACTGTGCGAGGGCACTTACACGAGCAGAAGTAAGATGGATATGTTCTAAGAATACAACGAGCGCATACTGAGTTGCCTGTCGATACTGCCGTAGAGACCTTGACGTGGCTGTAGAACATTACTCGATGGCTGACTGGTATATGCCTCATTATCTGAAACTCTAAGTTGTACATCTTTATCCCCGCCGAGCGAGGTCTTGAGATTGGCAGTATCCTACGCCATGGCCCATTCCGGACACGGAGCGAGTTCAATTGGGACACTCGAGGACAACACGATCATGTTTGTCAAGGAGGAACCTCTAGGGTTGCAGAAGTTGTGCCGGGTCTCGCCACAATCACAAAGTTTCTCGTCGGTAGGCTCATGACTGGGTATATTTTACCAGCCGTTACGTGTAGCTTAGAGCGTCTTCTTCTTCTAATTACATCCAAGAGTCTTGTGGATGGCCCCCAAGCATACCTATTCCTTCAGTACTCACTGTACAACCTGTCATTTGAACAAACATAAACGCAACGCCATCAGCGCTGGAGACAGCGGCAAATGCAGCATGGAGTGCTATCCCAACTCTGATGCAAGAGAAACTATCTCAAGCTGCAATTAGCAGTCCTGTCGTCTTAGGCCTTTCGACCATTCTCACCTTATTCTTTACCTGGCTCATCAGGCTCTCTATCTACCGCATCTGGTTTCATCCCCTCAGCAAGCACCCAGGGCCACTCCTCTGCAAGCTGACCAGCACCGTCTGGGCATACCACTTCACCAAAGGTTCCATCCTCCAATGGGAAGCCAAACAGCACAAAATTTATGGCCAGACGGTTCGTCTCGGACCGAACCGCCTGAGCTTCATCGATCCCCGCGCCTGGAAAGACATTTACGGCCACAAGTTTGGCAACGCCAAGCCAAACGTTAAGAACCTCGACCGTGCCGTCAAGAACCTGCCGAGCGGCCGCCTGCCCATGGCACTCGAGCCCACCACAGCCGGGCACGCGGCGCAGCGGAAGCAGTTCAACCCAGCCTTTGGCGAGCGGGCGTGGAAAGAGCAGGAGCCGCTCGTACAAAAGTACGTTGAGCAGCTCATGCGCCGGGTAAGCGCGGAGATCGAAGCCAGCGCCGACGGCGAGACCGTGGTGGACATTGCTACGCTGTACAACTTCATGACGTTTGATGTCATGGGTGATTTGACCTTTGGCGAGGGTCTCGGCCAGCTCGAGACTGGAATCGAGTCCTCGTGGGTCCCGGCTGTGTTTGTCATGTACAAGCTCTTGAGTCCGTCCTAACCCCCCGACCCATCAAACCCCCTTTTTTACAAGCCAAGGATAACAATTCTTATAATATTACAGACAAGAGATCAGTCATCAAGGCCTATCCTCTGGGCGGGTTCTTGTTCGATCTCTTCGCGCCCAAGGGTATGCTGCAGGACTCTGCCAAGCACATGCAGCATTGCAGCGACCTCGTGGTCAAGCGCTTGGAGAAGGGCAACGATGGGAGGCCGGACATCTTCGGCCACGTCCTCAAGCAGCCGGGCGATACCATGTCTCGCACTCTCATGAACGCCAACGCCAACATGTTGATGGTGGCGGGAACGGAGACCACTGCCACTACCCTGACGACCGTGACGCACCTGCTGCTCCGCAACCCGGACAAGATGGAGAAGCTCCTTCGTGAAATCCGGGACGTTCCGGACAGGTCGAGCTTGAACAGCCAGGTAATCCAGAGGATGCAGTACCTGAACGCTGTCATTGAGGAGGCTCTGAGATGTGAGAACTTTTCCGACACGAGCTGTCCTTTCCGCGGCAACAGGCAAGTACTGACTGGAATACAGTCTACCCAAGTGGCCAGGTTGGTCTAGGAACGCAGCGAGAGGTTGCTCCTGGTGGAAACCAGGTTTGCGACGACTTTCTTGCCGAAGAGGTATGTGCTTTTGTGTTCCATCCCCGCAGATCGCCAAACTCCATGCTAGCAACATACGAAGTACTGTAACTAACCTCAACATGTCCACAGACCGAAGTTGCCGTAGCCGCCTGGACAATTTCCAATTCGTCTCTCCACTGGAAGGACCCTGCCAAGTTCGTCCCGGAGCGGTGGCTCCTCGACGAGGTCGACTACTCCGCCTACCACAAGTACGACAACCGCGTCGCCTGGCTGGCGTTTGGCACGGGGCCCCGGACGTGTATCGGCAAGAATATTGCTCTGCATGAGATCCGTGGCGTTCTTGCTAGGTTCCTTTACGACTTCGACCTGGCCCTGACGCCGGACACGGTGGACTGGCTCCACGTCAAGACGCACTCCATCTGGGCGAAGCCGAAGTTGCTAGCCCGCATCACTCCGGCGAAGATGAGTGATATTTAGGCTTTCCTGGGGAAATTTTATCTCGGATTCGGGAACAAAAGCGCCGGCCGAGTCAAGAGTTGCGGGGAGCTCTTCAGGTGGACGAAGACTAGGGTGGTTCATTGTTCAGGCTGAGGATGTGGAGTTGCTGAAGAAAGTGGAAGGTCTTCAAAGTCTATAGGAAAATAGTTAAAATTTGACCTGTCAGATTTTCACTCTAGGCATGTTGCGTATGTGTATTGTTGACTTTGCATTATGCCCTTATACGGAGTATAAATTCACCTGGACTACATGGATTTAGCGAAACTTAACTGCCCAAGCATTTGTTCTCTCGCTCTACACTATTCGGCAACTGAAAAGTGTGGTGATTGTGTTTCCGTGGTTTCCAAACGATTTCCGAGTTGAACACCCATGGAAATTACGTGCCTCGCGTTGTCAAGTTTGTCATGTCACACCTAGTACTTAGAAATGAAAACTCAAAATCGCCATGTCTTAGTACAAGGCTTGCCCATTGGTTGATGGAACTCGATTTTCTGGGCAAACTGCAGTACCTATCACTAACTGATGTGGCGGTATGCCGACGGGATTTTGAAGTCCATGTACAGTGTACTACAAAATGGGCACGGAGGCGTTAGTTCTTCTGGTTCTCTCGGCACTTCGGCGGGGCCCGCGGGGCTGCTCTCGGCCCCACTTCCGGCATTCACGATTTGACCTCCACTTACACGGTTACACCTGCATCTTCAACCGGGGGGACTTTACGGATACATGTAGAATTACTCGCTCAACTCGAATACGGAGAACACCTATACCGCAATATCGGCAACAGGATACACAAGCTTTCTGCCCTTGATCAAACCCCTTCGCACATCCTGCATACCCTCGCCGACGCCCGCCAGCCCCCCGCGGCGCACCTCCAACAGCTGCGGCACAACCAGATCCTCGTCGAGTAGCCGCTGTGCGAGCACATACCACGCCTCGGCGCAGATCCGGTCGTCGACGCGAGCGTCCAGGTCGAACGGCGGGGCCCAGGCCACATCGTGCCCGAACTGCGTGTAGCAGCACACCCAGTCCGGCTTGACGCTGCGGCGCGTGTGGCCGCGCAGGGGAAAGGGGTCCAAGGCGACGTAGCGACCGCCGGCGGGACCCAGGGCCTTGTAGCATGTCGAAATCGAGTCCGAGTCCGAGATACAGTCTAGCGCGAGCGTGAGAGCTCCCTGCGTGTAGCTCAGCACGTCGGCGCCGCAGCTGGGCGAACGATAGTCGAAGGTCGCGGCGGCGCCGAGCTCCAGGGATCGTGCTGCTGAAGATGCCGAGCACGTCGTGACGGGTGTGAGGCCTAGCAGCTTGAGGACCTGGATCGCCATAGCCCCTGTTGCCGTGCCACCTCCGTAAACCAGTACGTAGGTTGCCGGGCTTGCGGGTGCTGCTGCTGTTGAATCCTTGATCGACCTGAGCTGCAGAGAGCCTGTTGCTGCATCTGGCATCGCCATCTTCATGTACTGGAACAGAGACAACCCGACAGTAGCCAAGGCGGCAGGCAATGAGGCGGCAGTGGCAAAGTCCATGCTGGCTGGGACTTTCCAGGCCAGGCGGGCGGGTACGACGGCATGTTCGGTAAATGCACCGTTGTCCTGCTGAAGAGGGTTGTTGCCAAAGATGCCGGCCATGATTCGATCGCCCACATGCCAAATCTCTGCGTCGACGCTGCTGCCTAGAGCGACCACGACGCCAGAGAAATCGGTGCCGCTGGTTGCGCCGGGCGTGGGGGATAGGTCGGCAGACTTGCAGTCGACTTGGGAGATCGAGACACACGCCACGCGTACGAGCAGCTCGTATCGGTCCGCTGATGGTACCAAGGCATCCTCGGACACGGTGACATGTCCAGGCCCGGATACTTTGAGTGCTTTGTGGGTGATGGGAAGAGATTCCGGGGCAGTCATTGTGCAATGTATAGTGACATGCGCCGTTGGAAGGCGGGCCACTGGGTGTAAATGATAGTGTACTATGAATCAGAAAGAGTCTGGATGAACCAAAGGCTCCAGATATCTAAGTGCGAGGTGAACGGGGATACTTATGGTCTTAGAATGACAGATTCGCTGGGAACCTTGGGTTCACCGACACAAAACCCCCTTCAGTCAACTCATGACTGACCATAGACCTCAGCTCCGCCAGATGAGAAGACCTGGAATCTCTACTTGGGAACTCAGTGATGATTGAGACGCTTGGAATGCAGCCGACATAAGCCATACAATTTGCAATGATGCAGTTTCAGTGAGTACGGCATACTACCTCATTAGAAGATACCAGTGTCCACTATTCGAATTTCAAGGAAATTGATACATAGAACTGTTACCAATCAAAGGCCTTAGTGAATACACGATAGATCATAGGCTTATTATGAGACTCAATTTACTACGCAGTATAAGGCCTTGTATTCTCATTGAACGCTGATTAAGTCGCGTTCAACCAGTCAAACTTTGGGTACAGGGCCGCTAGCGCTTCCGGCATCTGATTGCCCACCATCACATTGCTTTCTTCGTCGTTTTCACCCTTGTAGACGATGACCAGGTTGTGGTAAAAGGTCATAGACACAATATGCTCGTCAAAGTACGTCGGCTGGTACTCGGGGATCTCAAACTCCTTGTAATTCAGTCCGTCGAGCAGACTCTTGAAGAAACCCATGGACGAAGTCGTAGCATTCAAGTCAGTGCTGGAGCCACCAGTGACCTTCCAGTACGACGTCTCCAGGTCTTCCACGGCATAGATACCACCGCTTCTCAACAGCGGAAACAGAATCTTGAATGAGGTAATGACATGGTCGCAGCAGTGACTCCCATCGTCGACGATGATATCGGACCCGCCGCACTCTTCGTGCATTCTCTTCAGGAGAGCCGGGTCGTCTTGGCTCCCGCGGTAGATCCGAATACGATCCTCTTGCAGCGCCGTCTTGTCGTAGTAGTCAAGGCTCACAATCTGCGCCTTGGTGAAGTACTCTTTCCACATACGTAGAGACTCGCCTCCAGCTTTGGGGTCTTCGAACCCGCCCACGCCAATCTCCAGGACGTTGATCTCGCGGTGTCGGAAGGGGCCAAAGTGGAAAGTCGTAGTGCGGTGCGTACAGGTGTCCGCCGACTTCCATGGTGGTGCCCTGTCGAGTGATAGACACCTTGCCTTCTCTGTGCTTGTCCGTGCCGTGCTTGAAGGCGAGTTCAGTGAGAGGCGGGTCCATGGTACGAGGTTTATGACCAAAGTAACGAAAAACGACTAAGAAGCGCAGCTCTCAGTTGTAATGAAATCCGCCAAAGTATCGAAAAGTGTGGCAACTGTAATCGTTGGGCAAATTTGAACGTCGGTGAAGTTCAATAACACAAGCAAATTGCGGAGATTCCAGGAAACTAGACGCAGCATAGCTGATATAGGGGACATCATTCACACTCAGAACTTGGGAGCCAGAACCGCCAAGATTCAAAGTACATCTGCCACCACTTTAGAAGCTGAGAATAGGGTGGCCGCAAGTGACAACAAACAATGTGTCACATGCAGTTCGACTCTGCGTATTCCACAAAGCAAAGCTTACACGGAGGTTTCCCTATCACCAGCGGGGCCTCATCGCCGACACCGTTTAACCCGCAAGAGCGGTCAGTCCGGCGCCGAACTCTCCGCCGGGAGCTTTCGAATTCCCCGCTCTTCAGGACCCTAGGTAGGATTGTAGAAACGTGTCTTCATTGGAACTTCTATTTGCTTGGCGACAGAGACGAAGCCTAGATTACTTCTTCGCTTCGGGGTCAAGCAGAGTCAAAGTCTCCTGAAACTTAGACGACAGAGACCCCTCCATTTTGCTGGACGCAGATGCATCGCAGGCAGGCCAATGACCATGAAAAGAGCCATGTGGACGACCAGCATCGAGTCCTGTAACAGACAGTTGAGTCCGCAGATGCCCGATTCTGTTACCAAGACATCGTCATTGGATGAACTGTTTAGGGGTCTTGGATTAAAGTTTCGGACCCGTCAAAGTCAAAGGCAAGTTATATGAAGAACAGCAATCTTGCCCTGTTGTTCCCGTCGGACCGTGCCTCCTAAGCCGTTAGTAGTCGCCAAGGTGCTTCCCGTTCGGCATCGCCCGCCTGTACCGATGTTACATCCCGGTATGTCCGGTTACATTCATGGCGATGTTGTCAAATTCGCTGACCAACCACCTCACCCTGTGTGAAGTGGCACATAAACTTCAGCTAATGTTGATCACAATTGACAAAGTTTTTTAAGGTTTAGAGATCAGATAAGATGACTTTTCTTCGTCAGATCTTGGGGAAGGAGCAGAATTAACAAAAAGTACCCAACGGCGTAATTGCAACCTACCTAGTTGGAAGACCGAATGCCCGCAAGGGCTGAACATTCCTTGAGTCATGCTGCAAGAAGTGACACTTCTCGAAACTTTAGACAAATATCACACATTCATACCTCGTATACCTTCGAGACGAGTATGAATACTGCTAGGATGATTTTCTACTGACTGGTCCCTCAATCAACTATGGGAGCGACCACTTGAGAGCACGCGATTTCTAAGCTTTGCCCTTACATCGGTGACAGCTCACGCTCAATGGTTCTGAACCGGCCAAGAGCAAGTCTAACCTCTGGTATCCCAGAGTAAACCTGCAATAAGTCTATCTCAGGCGGTGAGGGATGTTACGCCAGGCTATCGACGCATCATAGGTAGTAGTGAACGGGAAACTGGTTGTCCGATTCTCATTGTTATCTCCTCAGAGAAACAAGCACCTTAAGCCCCCAGCATTCTAGGCCTCAAGACAAGTTTGAGCATCCCGACAGTGGCAAAATCATTCTGTGTGCGCCTTTCGTCGTATCCATCCCAGGACTGATTTAATACCCTTCTCATCACGATTTTGGAACGGTGTGCAAAATGGCTTGGTTCATGTCAGGTCTTTTGCTGGCTGTGGCCTATGTTGGCTCTATCGCCGTCTACAGGTTGTTCTTCAGCCCGCTTGCCCGCTTCCCAGGGCCCAAGTTGGCAGCCCTCACATTTGCTTATGAGTTCTACTACGACTTTCTCAAAGATGGCGGCGGTCGAGACTGGGCTGAAATCAACCGCATGCATGATACATCAGGCAAGTGACGACGGTGTTCCTGCGATCCAGAGCGACTTTTTAAACCTGAAGATGCTAATTTGTCCCCAAAATCAGGCCCCATAGTCCGTATTAACCCGTGGGAAGTGCACATCCGGGACCCAGAGTTCACCGAGGCTTTCAAGATCTCGAGAAAGACTTCCAGGCCGTGGTGGTATTATCGGTCCAATGGCCCGCCGAATAGTGTTCTTCAAGCCGAGTAAGTGTAGACTACCTCATGGACGTCTCTCATCCTCAACTTCTAGTGTTTTGCTGACCCTTTGTTCTTCGAATCTTTACTCAGACCTCATGAGTTGCATCGAATGCGCCGCGAGGCTATCCTGCCCGTATTCGCCACCCCTCTTATCATGTCTCGTGAACACTTATATGAGGCGTTGGTGCAAAGGCTACTTGCGAGATTCCGCGCCGCCAAAGGCACCGGCGTCGTGTTGACCTGTATTTCAAACCCCCTTCTCATTCATCCAAGTCCCCATAGTTTAACGATTGTGCGTTCCTGGCAATGACTGACCCGTTCTCTATCTTATGATTTCTAGTGGGACATGCTTTTCGATGCCTCGCCATCGACCTGACGTGTACCACGAACCTCGGCTATGATTTTGGGTTCGTCGACGTCGAGGACTTTGAGAAAGACATGTTCAATATTGCTAGGACTCTTGGTCGTATGAACATGATTTAGTCGCCACATCGGGCACTGGTTCTTCGCAGTGATGCGAGCTCCCGCGCGCTGAGCTAAACGCGCAGAGCCAGTCAGTCCTGGAATGATTCGCGTTCTACGCTTCCGGAACGTAAGTCTTTCATTAATTCTCAGCGCCGGTCCGGACACAAGTCTCCATATATCTGACACGAAGCGTGTTGCGCCCATGTGCAGTTGATCGATCAGGCCGTCACTGAACAACATCGTGCTGCGACGACCAATATCACAAGTACAAGCGGAAAGACTGGCGGTAGTGGCGCCGATGATGGCTTTAAATCCACCGTCCAGCATATTCTCAAGTCGAACCTTCCAGCCGATGAAAAGGAGTTGAAGCGCGTGGTGAATGAGGTCTGGCTCTGCATCAACGCGGGCATCGACACAGAAGGCCAAGCCATCGCGTTTGCGACGTTCATGCTCCTAAGCCACCCCGAAGAGCTCGCGCAACTCCGTGAAGAGCTAGCAGAATGCGAAAAGAAGCTTGGCAGACTTCCAACCTACCAGGAGCTCAAGGAGCTAAACTACCTAAACGCAATCGTTCAGGAATCGTTCCGCCTGAACCACCCCATTGCCGGCCGGTTACCCAGGACTGACCCCGATAACGAAATCCAGTACGGGAATGTGGTGTTCCCCAGGGGCGTCACCGTTTCCGTGTCCACGTACGACATCTATCTCGACCCCACGATCTTCCCTGATCCGCACAGATTCCAGCCTAAGCGATGGCTTGACCTGGGTGAGCGAAAGCGCCTCCGCAAGTACATCAACAACTACGGCCGCGGGACCCGCAGCTGCGTGGGTATGGACGTGGCCAACATGGGAATCTACTTGACTTTAGGACGCATCTTTGCTCCGTCGGCTGGCTTTGAGCTCTCGTTACATGATACGCTGTATGAGCGCGATGTAGCCTTTGATGCTGACTTCTTTGGGGCCTTTCCCAAGAGCGGTTCCAACCATATCAAGGCGACCGTAATTTAAAGGACTAAACCCCAGAAATATCATGTTGAGAGAAGCAAGTGGGTTTCGAATCAGTACATGATCTAGTCTACTATATTAAGCCAATAAGCAAAGCCACTCTGGCACAAGATTCGTTTTTTATCCTAATAATCTGCGTCCGTTATCACACCAAAAGTGCGCAACGCCTACTTTAACCAGGAAATCTCAGTCTCTATGTTCATGTATCTTTCCACCCTGACTTAGTATGTTGACGTGAGTCATCTTTATACAGTTTCATCAAGCAGACGGGCCATTCATGAACCTAGTCCTTATGTCGTAGTCTAGGCTCCGTTTTCACTACCGAGCTGAGTCTTGCCCGTCCGGCCACCGATGGCTACCGGGAGTTGTTGGATTGTGTTTCTCATGGCGGAGACGGTCCCTTTGATAATAGTAATCCGATCATCCGGCCTCCACCGTCTCGACCGTATTTCTTTACGTTGATGGCTTACGACTGTGCAAGTAGACAGGCGATTATTGTGAGATGTTATGCTTCTTTTGAAGTTTTTGGAGGCCAATCAAGCAAGCAGCGCGCTCGCTGCGTTATGTAACAGCAGACTTGCCGCCCCTGCCAAGTCTCTTTGGAAGATGTTACCAGAACGGGAAGTAAGAAGTATCGTGGGGCACAGCTGAAGCCGCCAAGCCTTGGAGTGAACAGTTTTTGAGTTGCCCAGTACATTTTGTCTTAATCTTGGCTTTATGAGGGCTTTTATGCTACGTACGACGGAAGTCGAAAAGATGATGGAAATCACAGGATTCTCAGTCACCTTACCTTGGCAAGGTCAGGTGACTGATCATTTTTCTTACCGAGCCATATGCAATGTTTAGATGACGGAACAACTCCGATAGGAAGATGGCTCGACTAACAGTGAGACAACTTCCATAGCCGCTTGGAAAACGATGGGCCGGCGGGAAGGACCGCGACTAGCTTCGAAATGTAGGTCAATCCGATGTTGCATTGTTGTCCGAATGCACGACTACTGCTTACAGCCAAGTCCTTGGTTCGGTCGTTTCTGGCAATTTAGAGACACATCACGTGGGTTCTGAAGTCGAAAGTTTGGTATCATCAAAACTAAATGGAGAGTCCACCGTCTCTATTCTCTTCGTGATAGTGAGACATCTCGTCTGACGTGAGGTGGACATATGTCTATCCACCTCCCTGCAGAATATTGGTAACTAAAGTGCATCACACTCCGTAAAATACCAAGTCTCTCCTCTCAATAAGGCAATCTCTAGGTTATCTTGACGATGATGAGAAGGAACTCAGGTACTAGTTGAAAGACAAGTTTACTCGCTGGCAAACGGGAACTATGTAAGGATCGCAGGTGTTTAGAGCCTGGGCTTCAAGTCACAACGACATATACTTACCTATTTAGATCAAGTCCAATACAAAGACATCAACGTCAAGACATCTAGAGTTTCTGTCAGATCATCTCGAGAGCCACTCGCGTGTAGGTCTCTCTGGCACGCCGATGCTGTGTGGGTATACGACGTGACAGATTCTGATGAAGCAGTCAATGCCTAGGTAACTAGGTAAACGGATGATTATCACACAAATAGGAGTCTCGTTGTGATTCTGTTTGCAGTCTATAAAAGGTCTATGATGCTCCCAATTCTGATGCCATGGTATCTTTTTCATCCTCAGCCACCAAGCAGCACAGAAGCAAATCACCACATCCCATCCCATCAAACTCCCACTACTCCCAATCTCAAACCCCTTTTCTATCTCTCATAATGCACTTCTTCAAACTCATCGTCAGCTTTGCTGCCGCCGTCTCCGCCATCGACATTCAGAAACACTTTGGCCAAAGCTGCGGCGGCAACTTCCGCGTCTGCAGAGCCATCGACCCGAACCGATGCTGCGTCGGCGCCACGGCCGAGAGCATCCGCTTCCGCTACATCCCGTCCAACTGGCGCATCGAGACCCGCGGCTACGACGGCGGCGACTGCCGCAACCGCCGTGCCACCATTCTCTCGGCCGGCACCACGTCCGTCTGCATGCGCTCCGGCGGGTTCCTCTTCACCGGCGGCGGCTACGGCTTCGTCAACCGGAAGAGGGCGCCTCAGGAGGCTGGCGAAGAGACGTGTGCTGCCGTCGGCGGCGAAGGGCAGGAGCAAAAGTGCGAGTCTAGCCAGAAGCCTGATACCCTGGTGCTTGTTGACGGCTCCGAGTATGATCTTGTTGGTCTCGAGGCCGACAAGCTTGATAGACTGGTATGAAAGTGCCCTGAGAGACCCCAAAACTCAAGAACATGGACACAGCTAACACGAGCATTCTTTTCCGTCTAGTATGCGCTTCCATGGATTATCTCCTTTGCCTTTTGAACAACAGATACATAATTCCTTAGAACTTCATCACCCCTCCAAGCGCGGAATGGTTTTGCTGACTACTTTTCTTCCCCCTCTAGCTTTACTATCGCCGCCGATCCCAACGTGACCTCCGCCGCCGACATCCCTGACGAGTTCACGCCTCTAAGGAAGTAAGGGACGCGCGAATCGACCAGCAACGACGTTCATGGTGCCCTACCTTAGGTACTGTCTCTCGCAAGGTGGGAGGGGGAAGGGATGAGGGACGAGGAATGGTTGCCCTGCTGGCGATGTTGAGTTTGGACCGTGGGAGAGACGTGTGCTTCTGAAATATTCTCTTCTTATCTCTCGGCTGATGGGTCATGTCTTTCTTCTTTATGCTTTCAACATTGTTGAGTAGCATTCTCCGCTCCCTAACTGAGAGGGCTCTGGCGCCGGATGTCCCTTTTAGAATAAAAGAATGACAAGTATTTTACTAATCGAGACCTTTTGCTTATGACTATGAGAAACATATGGTTCTGGTGTTCGCCCCTATCGAATATCTTATATCTCTGTAACTTAGTTAAAGTTGACAGGAAGAAGCTTGAAGTGTGGGCCGTGCCCCTAGATTTGCCGTATCTGGTAGCTATGCTTTGAGGAGTGTTATACCGAATTGACTTGTCATTTAGTGAGGAGTGTGGGATTTTGGGAAGGAAAGTCAGGCAATCGCTGAAGGTCGGAAAATAGGTGTTGGGTGTTACACACCAAGCTGCCTGACATGGCCGAGGGCCTGGGTGTCAGAGTGTATCGACATTTGATCGGTAATATCAAGTAAGGCAAGTTTGATCACGGCACTGTCTAGGCTCAAAGTCAATGTGATTAAAGAAGGCAAATGAGACTAGGTTGAGGTGTCATCAAGGTATCTGGTGTGATCAATTGCTTTCTCAGCTTCTAATAGTTTTGACGCCTCTATTCCAGGCCCACCCACGTCTACACCGCAATCAAGCCAGGTAGCCGTAATGTACATGATCATCAAGCCTGGATTTCCCCTTTTACTTTTTGTTTTTGATTTCGTGACTCATATTCCCCTCCTTATCTGGTGAGGGCGATGTCGTCTATTCTGAGGATCATCTTCACCGTCTCCGCGGCCAACTCGATGGCGCTGGTGCTCACCAACAAAGGCTGGAGGACGTTCTCCTTGGAAATGTTGGTGTTGACGCCGCCGGACTTGATACTGACACCCGCATTCTTCTCACCGAGCTCGTGTCTGTGACGAAGCTCGGTCACGACCTTGATGCTGTTGAGTCCGGCATTCTCAGCCAGAGTGGTAGGTACAACTTCCAGAGCGTCGGCAAATGCCTTCCAGCAAATGGCCTCGGTACCCGTCAACTCACGCGCGCGCTTGGAGAGCTGAGACGCGATCTCGATCTCAGCAGCACCACCACCGGCGATCAAAGCCTTCTTCTTCACCAAGCAGCGAACAACGCAGTGGGCGTCGTGCAAACTGCGCTCAGCCTCATCAAGGATGAGAGAGTTAGCGCCGCGAACGATGACGGAGACGGTCTTGCCAGTGGCCTTGGCGCCGGTCACCTTGACCATGCGAGCTCCGTTAGACTGAACCTCCTCGACGAGATCAGCTGCGCCGAGCTTGTCCTCTGTGAAGGAGTCGACATCGGCAATGGGCTTGCAGCCGGTAGACTTGCAGATGAACTCGATCTCATCACGCTCGATATCCTTAACGGCAAGAATGCCAAGCTTGGCGAGGAAGTGCAGGGACAGGTCGTTGACAGCATCGCGAAGGATGGACTTCTGGATGAAGAGAACGTTGCACTTCGCCTTCTTGATCTTCTTGACCATGTTGAGAAGGTAGAGACGCTCCTCCTTGACGATCTTATCCATCTGTCTGTAGTCGTTCACTTGGATAGTGTTTTCCATCTGGATTGGTCAGCAACCGCAAAAAGGGGAATCTGAGGGGTAACCTTACATCGGGCTTGGGAGGGCTGAGCTGGAACTGAATAAGACCGATTCTGGCCTTCTCGATTCTTGCAGGACCACCAGCACCCTTGAGAACAGGCTGCGTCAAGATCAAGCCATCTGAAAGCTCACTGTCCTCGATGGTTCCGCCAACCTTCTTGACGATTCTGATGTTCTTCAGGTCGACGTTGTCTGCCGTCTTGAGGTCGATGGTCTTGACAACGGAGTTGACAGCCATGGGGCCGAGGATGTTGGAGTATTGCGACACAATCTTGGAGGACAGAGATGTGTTGGCTGCCTGGAGCAGGGATGCTGTGTCGGTGAGGGAAATGGGTTGTGACATGTCGTGGAGAACCTCGACAGCTGCGGCAGCAGCTCTCTGGAAAGCCTCTGAGATGACGGAGGGGTGGATTCCTTTTGACAGCAGTCTGTCGGCGGCACCAAGCAAGCTACCGCAAATGACAACCACGGATGTTGTACCGTCTCCCGCCTCCACGTCCTGTGCCGCCGAAAGGTTGACCAACATCTTTGCTGTCGGGTGCATGACGGACATGCTCTTCAACATTGTGTTGCCATCGTTGGTAATGATCGTCTCGCCCTTTCCACTTCGAATCATCTTGTCCATGCCGCGGGGGCCCAGAGAAGTTCGGATCGCATCGGCGACGGCTAGTAGTCAAGTCGAGTCAGTTGATGATCTAGAAAGCTTGCAGGTCTGTTTGTCTTGCTCACCTCTCGCAGCAACAATGTTGGAGGAGCGGACGGCGACGGGCTTCTCCTTGTCCTGTAGGTGAAGTATTAGCAATAGCTCCCCCTCTAGAAGCTTCAATATGGGCGCGCAGTTCGTACCTTGAAAGTGGCATTGCCAGAGCCTCCTCCGACCGGGGCAGCTGCAGTGGTAGCCATTTTGAAGAATCTGATTTGTGTTGTGCTTGTTATCGAGAGTTCGGGGTCGGGAAGACAAGCTAAACACGGGGTGCAAAGGTATCGGTATCGTCGTGGGCCTGTCCCGCTGTCGCCTTCTTTTGCGATCGCCCACTTTCTCTCAGGTAGCAACCCCCCAGCGGCGGTGGGATATTTTTTAGCGGCCGTCAGGTTGTTCCTGCCCCGGTACCTCAAGGTACCTTGCGTCAGTTCTGTTTGCATTTTGCCCACACCGGGCCTAGCTCCACAGCAGCCTCGCATCTGTGGCCCGTGCTTTGGAGCTCAAGGCAACCTGGATTACGGAACCGTCTTCCATCACCACCTCCATCCCACGATTCCACCCCCAAGCACCATACTCATTGACGACCGACGCGACCACTTCCTCCAAACCCCGCGATTCTATCTCGATAAACCTCCGAACCGAAACCTCCAACGAACCCACCCCAATCATAATAATCGGCAGTAGGACGTCCAGTCCTCATCCTACATCATGGTATGGACCCTGCGTGTCCACTTCCCTCGATTGCAGTGTTAACTGGAGCATTAGCCTTCCGCTACCGGCCAGAACTGGGAGAAATACCAGAAGACCTACGCAGACGATGAGGTCGAAGAGAAGAAGATCACACCGTTGACCGATGAGTCCGTCACCGCACCAAGTCCGAGTTTCGATTCATTGTCGACTAACAATGCCCAGAGATATCCAAGTGCTCAAGACCTACGGCGCCGCCCCGTACGGTGCTGCCATCAAGAAGCTCGAGCAACAGATCAAGGAGAAGCAAACAAGCGTAGATGAGAAGATCGGTGTCAAGGTAGCTGCGCCTGCCCCTCCTTGGCTGATGCAACTCGGTCTGACTTAACTAGGAATCCGACACGGGTCTTGCCCCTCCTCACCTTTGGGACGTAGCAGCAGACCGGCAACGCATGTCGGAAGAACAGCCTCTCCAGGTCGCCCGGTGTACAAAGATCATCCCCGATGAGAAGGACGACTCCAAGAGCAAATATGTCATCAACGTCAAGCAGATTGCCAAGTTCGTCGTGCAGCTTGGCGAGAGAGTGAGTCCTACGGATATCGAAGAGGGCATGCGAGTTGGTGTCGATAGGAACAAGTACCAGATTCTTCTGCCGCTGCCACCCAAGATCGATGCCAGCGTTACGATGATGACGGTCGAGGAGAAGCCCGATGTTACATACGGAGATGTTGGTGGTTCAAAGGAGCAGGTCGAGAAGCTACGCGAAGTCGTCGAGATGCCCCTGCTGTCGCCAGAGCGGTTCGTCAACCTCGGTATCGACCCCCCGAAGGGTGCCCTGCTGTACGGCCCCCCCGGTACCGGAAAGACCCTCTGCGCCCGAGCTGTCGCCAACAGAACAGACGCTACCTTCATCCGAGTCATCGGCAGTGAGTTGGTCCAGAAGTACGTCGGTGAGGGTGCAAGAATGGTGCGCGAGCTTTTCGAGATGGCGCGGACGAAGAAGGCCTGCATTATCTTCTTTGACGAAATCGACGCCATTGGTGGTGCCCGTTTCGACGACGGTGCTGGTGGAGACAACGAGGTTCAGAGAACTATGCTGGAGCTCATTACTCAGCTGGACGGTTTCGACGCTCGTGGCAACATCAAGGTCATGTTCGCAACCAACAGACCCTCCACTCTCGATCCCGCCCTGATGAGACCCGGTCGTATCGACCGGAAGATTGAGTTCTCCCTGCCCGACCTCGAGGGTCGCGCCAACATTCTGCGTATCCACGCCAAGAGCATGTCAGTCGAGCGGGACATTCGGTGGGAGCTCATCTCGCGTCTGTGCCCCAATGCCACGGGTGCCGAGCTTCGCAGTGTCTGTACCGAGGCCGGTATGTTCGCCATCCGCGCCCGGAGAAAGGTGGCGACGGAGAAGGACTTCCTCAGCGCCGTGGACAAGGTCATCAAGGCCAACCTCAAGTTCAACTCGACGGCCAGCTACATGCAATACAACTAAGATGGGCAAATCCAGAGGTTACGAGATGGAAGGGGGGGTCACGGAGTTTCGTCATGTCCCTTTTTTCAAAAGGCTGTAAGAATAGGCAGGCTTCGGATCGGGGAAGGTTCTAGAGGGCGTGATACCTTCCGAGAGAAAGGAGAAATAGATCATGCTTTTCATGTGCCAGTCGAGGTTTACAAGCGTGCTTTGCAAGTGACATGATGAGTCTGGCTGCCAGGCTAAGGTACGTAGGGAAATGACCGCGCGTAACGTAGCTTTTCTTGTGGCAGTTCGGTTTGCCGAGGGGCACATGCTGCAAGTAACATTACTAGTCTGGCTCATTGCCTGAATCTTTGATCCCTGAATCGTAGATGATGGCTTCGTTTGATAGAATTGGTATTGTTGGCCGTAGAATTACATTGAACTACAGCTAGACGAAGCTCTCTAGCCTCTCCAGCCTACCTTGCGCAGCGAGAATAGGTACGTGAACGCGGAGTATTTTCAACCCATCCCTCTCTTCCGCTACTCCCTAGTGGTATCTTCCCTCCGATGCGAAAAACAACAACGTCCCATGCTGCCTCAGCATTGCCCAGATTGCTCCATTACCAAAGGATATGCATGCCTTCATTAGCAGTGCCGTACGCTCCACTGTCTTTCGTGGGCGTTGTGACTGTTGAAAAAGAACCTCCTTGAACGCTATGATTTGAAAACAAGAAAACGAAAAGAATAGCCCTTCCACAGGGCGTCACAGTCACGCTAGACTGACACCATGCGTGATAGGCAGCCCAGGCAAACGATGTCGCCCTCGGCGCCCTTCTCGATACAGCAGCGACTGCAGACCATCTGCCGATGACCGCCTCCCGTCCAGCTGTTGTGTCGAGTGGCTCGGCCAGTCCTCTTTGACTCTTCGTCTTCTCTTGATTGTCGTTGCCTGTCGTCATCCACGTCGTCCATAGTACACGACCGTGAGAGGTCGACTCCGTCTTGCTCTTGGCCTTGTTGCATACTGTTCATGCCGCCGTTGCTACTCGGCCGTCCGTCCTTCTCCCAGCCCTGGCACTCTCTGACGCAGATATAGCATGATCGTTGTCCACAACCCTGGCAATCTGCAAACGAATCGAGGTCTGATTTCTTCGTAGGGCGGCGGTGGCAGATGTGACAGGGAGCCAAGGATGAGGGCGTCTTAGTTCTGTTACCAGCTGCATCCGCATGGTTCTGTGCCGAATGAGAGGTATGATGAGATCCCGTCGACGACTTGCTACCCCGTCTTTGCTGCGGGTCATACTGTGACGTAGAACCACCATTCGAGCTACCGAGATCCGCATCATTGTCGTTATCGTCGTCGAACATGCGTTGTCGTTTGGGTACAGGGAGTGGCGCTATTTTACGAGGCGCCGAGTCGATGTTCTGGCGTGAGGCTTCGGCGGAGGCAGCGATATCGTCGGAGAAGCCAAATTGATATCTCAACCGGTCATTATTACTGGAAGGGAAGCGAAGGGCATTGCCTCCCAGGTGCTGCTGTTGTTGCTGCTGTTGAATCTGCTGCTGAATGGGCCTGCCTCCAAAAACGCCGTCAGCGTTCCAGTTGTTCGTTGCGGCCTGATACTGGGCGAGTTTCTCGTACAGGGGACCTGGCAACTGCAGGTCGTTGGTGTTGGCGTCGTTGACGTCTCGTCTGCGCTTCCTGCCGGACGCCATCGCCATCAGCCGTGGATGCTCCTCGGCGACGGATGGCATCGGGTTTCTGTTCTGTCTGGTTCGATTTAGGCAGGGGCTGTTGTGAGAGTCATCTGTGGTATTAAGCTCGTAGATCGATGCGCAGGGGTTTTCTCGTCGTTGGAAGGAGGCGAGAAACCAAGCGTTGGTGGTGGTTGAATTCGTGGTCGGCAAGGCGAGGTTCGCTGATAAGGTTCCCCGTAAATCTTTCTTGTCGATAAGAACCGAAAGGAAAGGGTATGAGATAACGAAACAAACCGTTGAGGGCTTGCTTCTGGTCAAAGATGGAGAGCAAAAGACCTCACAAGAAGAGGGAGGACTTGATGACGAGTGAAAAACGCTCCTTCCCACTCGCTCTTCTTGACTCGGCAGCTCCTTCGTGGAGGAGGAGGGGGGTAAGGTGGTGGTGGTGGGAGTGGTGGTGTTGCTAGTTAGCTGCGGGCACATACGTCCATGTGAGCAGGCTCTGGCAGCGGAGGCACTGGAGGGTGCCTTTGAGGTGGCACTGGTGGCCAGGCCCGGCTCGGAGCTTTTGGGCCTGACGAGAGTTGCCCAGTTTAATGAGTTGAGGTGGACACCAACGAGCGTTGAATGGAATAATTAGATTGGTCAAGGTCGTGCTTTCCACCTGTTCTGTCAGCGCAGTCATCTCAGCGGACTCAGCGCTGGACCCAACTGATCGGAAAGCGCGCCGTCCGCTGGAAAACCGGTCGTTTCCTTCCTCCGCTGTTCCTTTCAACTCGCCCAGGTCTTTGGAGCAGGTTGCTGGAGCACCTCCAAGAGACCCACCAGATGCGTCTTCCCACCAATGGACACCCCCTGACTACCTGCCTGAGTTAGATGCAAACCCCGGCCGCTCACTCATCGTTGCTCAGAAACTGGTGGTCATCGGCGACAAACGATACTGGAAATGCCTGCAAAGTCACAGAAGTCTGTACGAGCTAGGGGTCTAGAGGGAAAACATGGGATGAAACATCGTTTTTTATCCAAATATTTATGAAGATGGGGGCGAAATATGCCTTTAAGTGACAAACCTCGCATTGTTCCATCACCTTACCTAAAGGTACGACTGCGCCTCGGCAAATCAGTGACCGAGACAGTGTAGAAGACAACGTTGTTTCCACCAGCCTACGGTTGCATCGAGTTTTTAGTCACATCTGTGTCTATGACTCCGTATCTAACGAGATGCTCTCTGTTGATAGCAGTCATAAATCATCTCGAAATAATAGCTTGCTCACCAGACTCTTGTAGTACGTTGTTACGTGGCACATCACTGAAACATGGGCATGGCACATTGAATTGTAATCTTGTCTTGTCATTATCAAGGAGTCAGGTATTGAAAAAGGACCATCTGATTTACACTCTATCGCTCCCCATATTGCTCCCAACGATGAATCTCGTCTCTGCCGCCTCCACTAACAAAGGAGCTGTTTTAGAGAGCCTAGTATAACATACACAGAGACAACCGAAATGTTGCCATGCTAATTTAGTGGCGAACCTTGGTCTCCTTGGGAGGGTCGTAGGCGAGCTTTCTCGACTTGAGCCAGGCCCACTTGTACTTCTTGACCCAGACGCTGAGGGCCCAGAGGGAGGCCGAAACCACGAGAACCTTCATACCCATGCGCTTGCGGTCGTCCATCTCGGGCTCAGCAGCCCAGTTGAGGAACTCGACAACGTCCTTTGCCATCTGCGAGGTGGAGGCGGGGGTGCCGTCCTCGTACTCGACGAGGTCCTCGTAAAGGACACGGGCCATGGCGATACCGGTACCGGGGAAGTAGGGGTTGAAGTTCATGCCGGGAGCGACGACGGCGCCCGCGGGGGGCTCCTCGGGGTAACCAGTCAACAGGCTGAAGATGTAGTTGCAGCCCCCGTGGCGGGCCTTGACGATCAAGCTCAGGTCAGGGGGGAGGGCACCGTTGTTGGCGAAACGGGCAGCCTCCTCGTTCTTGTAGGGGTCGGGCATGTAGTCGGAGAGCTTGCCGGGGCGCATCTCGATGTCACCCTGCTCGTTGGGCTCACCGGGGTACTCGTTCTCCTCGGCCATGGCCTTGGCCTCGTCGACGGTCAAGACGGTGCCGACGAGAGTTCGGTAGGGGACACGGCTGAGAGAGTGGCAAGAGGCGCAGACCTCGCGGTAGACCTGGAAACCACGGCGGAGGCTGCAATTCAATGTAAGCGTCATACATCCCGGATGGTCGGAAAAATGAACGTGGTGTTCTACTTACGCCTGGTGGTCAAAGGTCTTGAACCATTGCTCGTGAACCCAAGGGTAGTTGGTCGAGTGAAGACTGGAAGATGATAATTTAGCTCAGTGATCGTTCGTCGTCGGTCGGCCCCGGTTTCATTGTCGATTATGCCTCAACCCAAGGGATTCGGCGGCATTCGAGCAATTGTCCCGCATCGACCGCGTACGGATAGGCAAAAACTCACCCCTCCTCAGCCGGTGCGGCAGCATTGGCGGAAGGTCCGTAGAGGTGGTAGTACCAGGCCATGGAGCCCAAGGCGAGAGACGTCGACGTGACGGCGGCGAGGTTCAGTCTAGAGGAAGCTTCGGCACCAGCGCCGCTGGAAGTAGAGGCGGCACGCTGTATCAATCATTGTCAGCGAATTTCCCCCAAGTCCTTGATGTCCATTGATGTCCGTCGACGGGCATTGAGGCCGGGCTCGGGCGTGTTCGTTGGCGGTCGGTCGGATTGCCTCGGGAATTTCGACTCGTGATCAGCTCATCTGCGTACCTTTGAAATCGTGACAGCGCCATTTGTGAAAGTGCGCGCCGAGCGCAAGCAGGACCTTGCCAACATGATGGGCGAGCCGTATCCGCAATCCGCAGCTACAGAGACAGCCGCGAACAGTATGATGGGGCAATTGGTGGGAGGTGGTCTCGTGGCGGAGATCGTTTCTATGGTACAGCAGTCGAGGCAGGAGAAAATCGCTTGAGGCAGTTTTCGAGTGCCTTAGGTATGGGACGTCTCTGATTGGCCGATGGGCACGGTCAATGACATCTTCCGTTCCGGCGACTTTTCGCTTCCTTCCTCTTACCCGTAGTTGCCCGGTTGCGCTCAATTGACCACACGTATTTCCGATCGCCCGTCTCACCCAAGTGAACCCAACAGCTGGCATCTGCCAACCCTCGGACTGAGAAATATCACCCCCATGATTGGCCTGAATTGGATGCAACTGCAGCGATCTACTACATGCATCACAACACGACATTGGACGATGAATTGTTTATTTCTAACATAACTCACTACCTCAAATCGAGGGCGCGACAGAACTTGAGAGACAATTAAAATGATTGAGTTAGTTCCGAACCTCTCAACAGCTCAGCATCTCACATGCCCGAACGACATGAATAGCGAAGGACTTGGGTATCAGGTGGACTTTATTCAACAAAACTACAAAACTTTTTTACCCTCGCCAAACCGAAGCCCCTGCAACTCACGGCAGGTATGCTCTCGGTATATGCACACTTTTTCCCTCGTCCAAATCGTCAGCCACGCCTTGTGGCCGATCTACGTACCATGGAACCGACCACATTCGCAAAATCGTTCGAAACCCAACTGCCTTACTCAGGTGCCGTTCTTGCTGATGACCTCGCGGCGCTGCTTCACTGCGTTGGCCAACTGATCAAGGACAGAAATGGTGTCATCCCAGTGGATGCATGCGTCTGTGATGCTGACTCCGTACTTCAGGCCCTCCTTGCCCTCCTTCGGCACCTTCTGATTACCTATCAAAAAATTAGCATCTGCAACTACATGCAATGACCTAGACAGGTACTCACCCTCGTTGATGTTGCTCTCAATCATGACACCCATGATGCCAGTCTCGCCGCTGGCAATCTGGCCAGCGAGGTCGGCAGCAACCTTGGGCTGGTTCTTATGGTTCTTCAGGGAGTTGCCGTGGGAGCAGTCGACCATGAGTCTTTGGGGGAGGCCGGCCTTTTCCAAGGCAGCCTTGGCCTCAGCAATGCTCTTGGCATCGTAGTTAGTGCCCCGAGTACCACCTCTGAGAATCGTGAAGCAGTCCTCGTTACCCAGCGTACCGACGACAGCGACGACACCGGGCTTGGTAACAGAAAGGAAGTGGTGGGGGTGTCTGACGGCGCCAATGGCATCAATAGAGACACCAAGCGAGCCGTCAGTGCCGTTCTTGAAACCGACGGGGAAACTGAGACCGCTCGCCAGCTCTCGGTGCAGCTGACTCTCAGTGGTTCTCGCGCCAACAGCACCGACGGACAGCAGATCGGCAAGGAACTGGGGCGAGATGGTATCGAGCATCTCGCTGGCAATAGGCATGCCCCTGTCGGTGAGGTCGACGAAGAGCTGTCTTGACAGGCGCAGACCCTTGTTAATCTTGAAGCTGTTGTCGATATCCGGGTCGTTGATCAATCCCTTCCATCCGACTGTTGTGCGCGGCTTCTCGAGGTAGGAGCGCATCACGATGAGGAGCTCGTCCTTGTGCTTCTCCTTCTCTTGCAACAACATATCGCAGTACTCGAGAGCAGCTTTGGGGTCGTGGATGGAGCAAGGGCCAATGATGACCAGCAGTCTCTCCTTCTTGTCGGTGCCATTGACAATAGCGACGGACTCGTCACGGCCCTCGATCACGGTTTGCTTCGACTTGGGGGTTTGGGCAATCTCGTGCTGGAGCAGATCGGGCGACGTCAACGGGTTGTAGCCGCGAACTGGTACGTCAATTAGCTTAAAGTGACCACTGAGAAAGGACCAATGCAGTTTGTACTTCTCCAATCTTCGCTGTCGGCCTTGTTGCCGACATTCTTGTTCTCGATGAAGAAGCTCTGCGGTAGAGTGGTGAGTCAGAGGTCAGTGTACTTGCGCGCGCGCGCAGTGGCCGGGGGGGTTGCGAGAAGTGACTTACAGACATGGTGGCGGCGAAATATTCAAAGCCAAGACACAATTGGACGCTGAACGCTCAGTGAATGCTGAACGAGTCAATTGAAGGAACACTCAGGTTGTTGACAAGTGAAGAAAGTGCAATTGGAAAGAGAAATAGACTTTTTTCTTCTGTGTTTGTAGGTTGCTGTGTCTGAAGGAGGGCAGCTTCGAGGACTGGAATACCTTACATCAGACCTGAGCACAAATGGGCGAAGACTCATTCGTCCCCTGTCCAGTGCCACCCCGGCCGGCAGTACCCCGCCGAAGACGGACCCAGAAAAAAGTCAAGCACCACCTTGACCACCACCACCACCACTTCAAGACTCAAGTCAAGTTAGGGCCGCCTCATGCAAAAGAGTGCAAGCAAACTTCCAGGTTGCCACCAGTGAGCCAATGGGCCAACAGTGAGGGGTATCCTTGCCGCACCTTTCTCGCTGAATTAAGGCTGTGACGTGAGCGTTACCCCCCCTGTGGACCTGTCCAGCCGGCCTTACCTCAGTCCATGGCGCCACAAGATGGGTCTCACCGCCTGGGAAATGCCCGCGACAGCACCGAGGAACGGGCATTTCTATTGCAGACTGAGAGTGCAGTCAGTGCTACGTCGACTTTGACGTGCCCTGAGCTGAGGTGGTATTTATTGGATGCCTTCAACTCTTCTGATCCAACCTATCGGGGACGAATATTCGGAGCAAATGGTTTGGTATGTACCGTAGTCTTATTCCCAAGGCGCCCTAGTTTGACATGTCATCTAACCACATCCAATCTAATACTCCAAATACTTTAAAAATCTGCTCTAAACACCACCGATGTCGCTTTGAACCCCGCGAACCCTTGGTACCAGTCTTACAATACAGCACCTATACATCAAAGCTTAGATCGTCTTTTTCAGGGGCTTGTAAGCCTCTTTTTCCATCTTCCCATAGCCATTGAATCGGCCATACACCCACTTCAAGAGACTCGTGCTCGCGGTCATAAGCGCAGCCGAAAAAGTGAACAATCCCACACGCTGTACGGTGTTGAGAACATCGAAAATAGGGTAAGGGTACCTGCAGCTGGTTAGCGGACTAGAAACTCAGTCAAGGAAGACGATTGTTCATGCCATCCGTTTCTGCTGAAGCACAGCTCAACCCAGCCCCAGTACAGGAAGGCAAAGATCATACTGATCGCCATGGCCGAGTACGCGCGAATCGTCCATGGCGGGCTGAACAGGACGAGGTCCAGAGACAGGACGACGGCAGGGACCAGATGGAATCCAACATCCGGTAGCCAGTGAAGCTCGAATCCCTCGGGAATTAGCAAACGCTTGTCGATGGAGCGGATTCCCCAGTACAAGATGCTGATGAGAACCTCGAGCGGTGCTGCCGTGGTCGCCAGGGCATTCTTCACAGCAAACAACGAAGGGCTGAGGGTGAGATCAGCCAACAGTCCCGTCACGAACGTCACAAACGAGAGAATCAGTCCGATGTTGGTGAGGTGCTGGTAGTTTCCTCCAAAGCCCATAGAGATGTCGTGAGTGAGTCCATTCAGGAAGTTGAAGGATGCGATAAAAGAAACGATGCCGGTAACGTGTAGCAACAGGGACGCTGTTCGGGAAGGCGACTGCAGCCGCTGTAGCTGATGTTTGGCCATCTTATTTTGCCTCGATTTTTACAATGATGCCGTGTGTTCCAATGTCGTGGGTTTGGAGTATTTTTGCTGTAAAATAAGGGATGAGTTGGCAGTTCCGCAATGAGACGGTACCCAAAGGAGAGGAATTGTTGAGGGCAGGGAGGGAGAAGCCCGAGGGATTGGGTCGTCGTATTCGTTGATGCCTTGAGACGAAAACCTTGTGAAGATGATTCCGGCAAGGGAGCGTCTTATTTATTTGTTTTCTTTAAGAGAAAACTTCGTCGCCGACTAATCAAGGTTCCTATCGATGCATCGTCAGGCTGACGGATCGCGGCAAGTTGCAACTGTCCGGTGCCTTCGGAAGGCTTCGTCATGAGGTCACTGATGGATCCCGGCGGCGCGGTGCCCCGTACCTGATCGCACCTCAAGGTCACCAAAGATCCACGCAGGCCCCCTAACCTGGAATCCTGGAAGCCCCATCGCAGCCCGCGGCATGTGTTGCCGGCCGCTAAAGCCAAACTAAGAAGAAGCTCAGGGTGGGTCCAGTGCCGGCAGCAAGGCTGCTTTACGTTGGCTGCCACTTCCCCGGCACCATCATCTGATTGGATCAATTGAGAGAGCTTCCTGCAAACCACCACAAGCTTCCTGGATTTCCATCTCAGCCTTACCACGCGACGAGCACTTGCACTTACGGTCACCACACTCGCCGTCGCTGTACCTTTGAACTTCGGCATCGAAAACATGGCCGACGACGACGTCAAAACCAACAAGCGAAGTCATGCGGACCTCGTTGCCCAAGATGACGGTAAGCACACGCCATACAACATGGGACTCTCTTCTAGCACGACTATGTGACCATGGTTGGACTGACGGCGTGCGTAGACAGCTCCTCCGATGACGATATGGGCCCCCAGCTCCCCTCAGAAGCACCAAAGAAGAAGAAGCGCCGCGTTCTCCCATACGAAAAGCTCTACATTGCTGCGCTGCCCAAGTCGACCCGGTATTCCAAGTCTCTGATGCACAAGGAGCAACTGTCTTTCGTGACAGTGACGCCTCTGACGGACTTTATTGTGACCTCGTCTGTAGACGGTGTTGTGAAGTTCTGGAAAAAGGTGGCCGAGGGGATCGAATTCGTCAAGGAGTTCAAGGCGCACGCGGACGAGATCAAGTCCGTCTCCGTCAGCCAAGACGGGAGAAGCTTTGCAACTGCTGGGGCAGACAAGACTGTCAAGATCTTTGATGTTATCACGTTCGATCTTCTGGCGATGCTGAAGTTGACCTTCGTACCGAGGTGCCTTTGCTGGGTTCACAACCGAGGGGCTTCGCTGCCTCTCCTTGCGGTGTCCGAGGATGCCAACTCCAATATCCACATTTTCGATGGCAGGGGAGAGAGACAAGACCCGATTCACACAATCAAGTCTCTACACAGAAGTCCGGTCTCAATCATGGCTTTCAACAGTGCCTATGATTGTGTGCTGTCTGCGGACGAAAAGGGCATGCTGGAGTACTGGCGACCGAGCGGCGACTACGAGAAACCAGACAACGTGTTTGAGTTCAAGGCTTCGACGAATCTGTTCGATTTCAAAAAGGCAAAATCAGTACCGACATCGATCACGATTTCACCGACAGGCAAGCAGTTTGCGGCGTTCTCTCAGCCAGACAGGAAAATCCGAATCTTCGACTTTGCGTCTGGAAAACTGTACCGAACATATGACGAATCTCTTCAAGTAATTGAGGATATGCAGCATGCTGGGTTGGCGCTGAAAAAGCTGGAGACTGTAGAGTTCGGTCGCAGATTCGCCGTAGAGCGAGAGATTGACTCGGCAGCGTACAGAGACAAGGCAAACGTCATCTTTGACGAGTCTGGCAACTTCGTTCTTTACGGCTCAATATCCGGCGTTAAAGTGTTGAACACTTACACCAATCAGATTGTCAAGGTTTACGGCAAAGAAGAAAACTTCAGAGCCGTCAACCTGGCGATATATCAAGGTCAACCGCAGAAGAAGGGCATTACTACCGTTGAGATGGGTGCTTCTGCCAACCCCCTGCTTCAGGAGTCCGAGTCCAGAGACCCTATCTTGATAACGACAGGAGTCAACAAGCAGCGGTTTTACATGTTTACCAATGACGAAGAAATCTCAAAGTCGGTGCGAGACGTCCAGAACGAAAAGCCTACAATGCTTGGCCAGAAGAAGGCAGAAGAGGCCAAGAAGGCAGAGACTGGAACGGCCGCTGTAATCCACACCAACTACGGCGATATTCACATTCGTCTCTTCCCCGATGCGGCACCCAAGGCTGTTGAGAACTTCGTCACCCACTCAAAGAGTGGCTACTACAACAACACGATTTTCCACCGTGTTATCCGCAAGTTCATGATCCAAGGTGGAGATCCTCTCGGCGACGGCACGGGTGGCGAGAGTATATGGGGAAAGGAATTCGCAGATGAATTCAGCAGTCTGAAGCACGACAAGCCATACACAGTCAGCATGGCTAATGCAGGCCCAAACACCAATGGCAGTCAGTTCTTTATCACAACGGAAAAGACGGTGAGTACAGCCCAACTCGGTGACTTAGATATAATGCAGTCCTAACAGTTGCAAACAGCCTTGGCTGGACGGGAAGCACACTATATTCGGGCGAGCAACCCAAGGGTTCGACGTTGTCCACAAGATCGAGAATGCGCGGACGTATAAGGAAAAGCCAGAGGAGGACATCAAGATCCTCAACATCGACATCGTATAGCCCGTTTTGTCGAAAGACGCCAAGTAATGAAAGAGATGAGACCAAACTGCTCGAGACGCCCCCACATCAGGGCACAAGTGAAATGGAGCGGAAAAAGCAATGAGAGGACGCAGCATCCCCGCAAGCCTCGCTGCTGATACAGACATGTCTCGCGATGCAGCTGCATATCAGCTCAAGTCCACTCAACTAAGTGAGGCTGTACGTTGTTCACGTGGACGCAAAAGGCCAGCATTGGGCCGCTTACGATCCCGCAATCGGCGCTGCATCACCGCAACCCAATTCGGAGCCCGATCTCGCCCGCCAGTGACCACCCCGTACTTATAGACGACGTTTGGGCGTACCTCATGTCTAACGGCGCGCGCACATCCGTTCTTCGAAGTGGGCGAGCCGGCGTTATCGCAAGCGATCTCAAACGTAGTCTACAACTTACCTCCGCCATTGATAGTGAAAGACAGTGCGCTCAAGCATCTCACAGATGGATATTTCATAGACGCGGGCCCCCGGATTCCGTACCTGCGCTGCATGTTCGCGTAGCATGAACTAGCCAATCAACCTGCTTCGACCCCGCCCCTTTCGGTTCGGCTCGTCCCTTTCTCATTGCCAGGATCGAGGTTTCCGGTCCAGTATGCCACGTCCGAAGAAGCCAGGGGCGCCGGAGCCGAAACGTCGAAGCCGAAATGGTTGTTGGTGAGTTGACTATGCTCTGTGACGTTGATGTACATGGCTTGGTCTTAGTCTAATTGTCATCTCCAACTGACTAACACGCCTATAGGCCGTGCAAAGCTCGGAAAGTGAAATGTGGTGAAGAGCACCCGACGTGTATCAAGTTCGTACTATCTACACTCAAGTGATATGCTTTTGGGACGCCGCTGGCGCGAGAGACTGCAGTCAGTGGACGGCTAACATACACACACACACACACAGTTGCCAACGAACTGGGGAGCCTTGCGATTATAGTGTACGACTAAATTGGGAGGGCCGTCGAACGAAGAGATCTCTTTCTTTGGGAACACTACTAGGGACCGCCCAGCCATTCAAAGATTCCTCCCACACAGAACAGCCATCGTTCAATCATACGTTTACCATTAACAACCCGACCCAGGGTTTAGATCCGAAGCCTATAGCGAAACGCGTCCAGACTGCTCCGGTCAGCGTTGAGACAGGGAAGAGAAAGCTTGAACAGCTAGAGTCTTATAATGACTGCTTGAGTCGATCTCAGGGTGCCTCTTCCCGATCGATCCAGCAACAGCATGGCGGTCATTTTGCTCCGCCACTTAGCACCCCAAACCACAATGCTCGAAGCCATTCCTCGACGTCAAGCCTACGTCGAATCGTTCCCGCAACTCCAAACACTTCACAGAGATTATACAAGAGGTCCAAGTCCCTTGCTGAATCAGGTAACCTGGATGCGTTCAGCCAGTATGGCCCTATATCTTCGCCAATTTCTCTAATGGGGAAAAGTCCTCCCGCGTCTCTTCTCCGCTCGGGCACCGTTTCAACACCGATCGGTTCTCCCTTGACGCCCGTCTCGTTAGGAATCAAATCTGACGATGAGATGAGGTCGCCCAGGTTAAGCCTGCCTTCGCCAGCGTCCCCAGAAAATAGTCGACTATCTGTAGACTATCTGCTCTCGAGCTCTCCCCGCCATGTGTATGGTGTGAACAAGGGACTGGTTCCGTCTTTTGGTCCACTTTTATTCAACTCTGGATTCAAGCAGGGGGTATCTGAGGAGGCTACATTTTACGGCTTTGATCTTGGCATACCAGATGCTGACTATGCCCAGAATCATGATATAGGGGCCATATCTCAGACCGTGGCTTCTATTAAACATTCTGGGCATATCCTCCAAGCTGTGGGTGTTGGATTTGATTCCCAGCAATACGAGAGCAGCCATGTCACGGTGCCTGGGGTCGGGTACTATGGCCAGCCTATTCCGATATGGATACCGCGAAACATTGAGCCCCTTCCTGCCAAGTGAGTCTCTACTAATCTTGACTGGTTCGAGGCTGAATGATAGTAGACTTCGCGAAAACTCCATGAACCTCCTTGTAAGTCAGACTTTGAGTCTTCAAGTAGATGTTTACATAACACTTGTGACTTTGGTAAACAGTACTTCGTAAGTAGTCCCGTCGTTTTGCTGCCTACCTTACAGTTGTGGAATAACGTCCGAATGACAGCATCACTTCCTGAACCACACCGCCAAGGGTAAGAATGCCCATGATTCCTGTCATCAAGCCTGCTGACCCAAATATAGTTCTCGTACCATACGACGACCCCAAATCCAACCCCTTTCGCACGATTTTGCCACAAATGGCCGCCGGTAACGACCACCTACTTAGCTTACTCCTGGCCTACTCGGGTAATTGATCCCCACGCGCGCGTTCTGTCATTCCTCATCTGACGTAGTGGTTCGTAGCCGCCCATAGATCGAGACTTCTCGGAAAGAAGGAACCGCAGATGAGGATAGCGATCTGGGTGCAAGACATATTCCCCGCCCTCCGGCAGGCCCTCAATGACAGGGACAAGATCATTTCAAACACGAGTCTCGCCACCGCCATCATGCTCGCCTCGCTGGAGATTATCTCGCCCACCGCCTTCGGGTATGATATTCCATGGCAGCGGCACCTGAACCTGGCTCGGACGCTCATGTGGAGGCGGCTGGCCGACCTACGCAGGACAAACGAGAATGGACTGCAGGAGGACGGCTCGTGTGCCTTTCTGTGGAGCTGGTTCGCGTACTTGGATGTTTTGGGGAACTTGAGTGGTGGTGTGCCTGATGCGGAGTCTTCGCGGCTCTGGCTGCTCGAATACACGGTTCATAATCCCGGCTATCACCGGGATGAGATTGACTGTATCATGGGGTTCACTACGCGCTGTGTCCAGGTACTAGCCCAGATCGCAGAGCTGGCGCGCCGTTGCGACGAGCAGCGGTTCGCTCTGAGCGGGCACTCGCCGCAACTTGTCTGGTCTCCGAATGCAGCTTGCGCCGAGCGGGCTCAGCTCTTGGAACAGGAGCTGATGTTCAGCATAGCGCAGACGTCACGCCCGTGCAGACATATTACCGTCACCAACCAGAACTGGAGTCGAAGTCAGGACAACGGCGTTGAGGTTGATAGCCAGGATAATAGGGAAGAGATGGTTCTCTTGAACGAGGCGTTCCACTGGGCTGGGCTCGTGCACTTACACAGGCGCATCCTAGGCAAGCCACCGGGCCACGAGGACGTCCAGGGCCCGGTGACGAGGATCGTGGCGTGCTTGGAGGGTATCGTGCCGGGCGGGTCGGCGGAGACGGGGTTCCTGTTTCCCATGTTTACGGCTGGGTGTCATGCGCTGGATGGGGCGCAGAGGAGCAAGATATTAGAGAGATTTCGGAGCGTGGAGAGGAATGGGATGACGCAGGTATGTCTGAGTGTTCCTTTGGCCAAAACCTACCCACTTGAAAGGTTTCGTGAGTGGTGAGTGTTGAGTGAGGAGAGATGAACTAACTTGATTTGTTAACAGGTTCACAAGGCGAGAGTGCTCATGGAGAAGGTGTGGGTTACGGGACAGCCGTGGGAGCCTTTGCTGTGTACGGAATTCATTGGGTGATTTTTATCATCTTTCTTTTCCCCTAGGGATGGAAACGGCCAGCAACCGAGATTAATGTGTTTTCAAGGCAAGGCGGTTCCCTTGTCGCACATTTACGAATGGAGGATGGTGTTGGATAGAGATATTGACGGGGGGTGGGCACATCAGGGAAAGCATTTGTTATCTGCATTTTCCATCTTCACGACATTTATGAGACTATGATCTGAATGAACTTTCTACATTGGGAGAGAAGGCTCGCGCTGGATATATCAGAGCTGATGGGAATACACGTACTTTGCTTGAATTCCTCGATTTCCTTCGTGCAAGATCGTTAAGGCATGTACATACACATACGTCAAGACATCTATTAGGTACCTTATAGTCTATGGATTAATTGACAATGTAAAGAAAACGTGCCAGTATTTAGCCCCGGCTGAGCAGGGACAAGAGTGTGAAGAACCTTGCCGCAGAGATGAGATGCATATTGCGATACGGAATTTGAAGTATTCCAAAGTCCAGAAGGCTAAACCCCCCCCCCGTCTCGCAAGTGTTGTCGGGGCGCCCGTTGACCAGCGTGGAAAAGCACTTCACAAAGTGGTTGAAGGACTCGAAAGGATTCCTAGGAAGGAAGTCAATCATCCCGTAGATGTCATACCACTTATTGGGGAAGGCCGTCCCCGAGTCTTCAAGGCTTAGAGGAGCATCTAGTCGAGGCTCCTTTGAGCACCGGCAAACGTTTCTCGATCGCTCTTCTCGCCGACGTATTCTAGCACGAATACACTCCGACAACGACCCAGACAATAACAGTACGGCGGCCTTTATAAAAGCGGTAGAAGTAGAAACATTAGCGGTCTCTAATCTCCTATCGCGAGAAGATTAAGAAGAGGACATAAAGGCTTATAAAAGCTAATATAAAAAAAAGATATTATAATAATAATAACTATAACTAGTTATACATAACTATTATATTATATATTAAAGTTTTTTATCAGCTAGTTATACCTTTCTGTTTATACGAACCTAGTGACATATAACTAAATATATTTATCCTTTTTAGCTAAAGAAATAAAGACTTTATAGGTCTTATAATAGGTAAAAAAGTTTTTAAAAAATTAAATAAAAATAAAGACAATATCGCTTATAGTTGCTATTAGGATTTTATACGAGTACATATCTATTATTAAACTCTAAACTAATAGTTTTTATATACTGTTATAGAATAATCTACTAAATAAGAGAGTTAGGGAGACTCCCAATTCTTACATAGATACAGAATAGTATATATATCCTGCCATAGAGGTGAAGTAGTCTATAAATGAGTGCGATGGCAACAACGCTAGTAACGGTCTAGTCAGTAACAGTATGAAAGAGATAAAGGACAGGCCTCAGCCTTGTCAAAAAGTAGTTTATGGGCTCTTATCAGACTTCCGTGTGTTGACACAGATAAAGGTACCCAACTTTAGCAAAGGACGTGAGAAAACATGCTTCTACACTGCTCAACATAGTAGATGGCTCACAAGACTTTGTCTGATGATCGGTGTTAACGTACTTCCCACTGGCTAGTAGGTTACTGACTTGATCTTCCTCACCGACATACTTGATCAAGGCGGACAAATCCAACGCGAAGTGGTAGTTGATCCAGTAAAGCAGGTCATCGACCGCCAAAACGCAAATAATTGAAAACCCTTTTAATTCGCAATCCCAACCTAGCTCCGGAATTTTGTTATTTTACAAAGTACAACTCAGTGTGCCCGATGATTATGCAACGCCTGTGTTGCAGAGAACATGCCCTCGAGGAGAGCGCGACTCTGGGCGCCATGACTAGTCGCCCGAGTCGAGGGTTGCTCGATAGCCTTAGCAACTACTGATTCGAATTCTCCTTGACCTCTCCTTTGCGACGTTCCAAGCGATGGGAGTAGTTCTTGTCCTAATAATTCAGCTCTCCGCCGCCGCCGCCAGCGACATGATCGAGATCCTCGTAGCTCTTGAGGCTACGTCCTTGAGTGGCCTCTCGTGGGCCGACAGCCGCTCCTCCACCAGCGGCACCGTCTCCCCACTTGCCGGCGCCACCGCGGCCTCCTCCCCTCATACCACCATCCCAGCGGGGATTCGGGCGTCGGTCGTAGGGACCGCTTCGGTAGTTGCCACGGCTTCCACTCATGCCTCCTCGGCGAATAGGACCGGGGCCTCCACGGTCATCGCCGCCGGCATTCCAGCCGGACTGCATACCGGGATGTCCACCACCGACGAATGGCGGGAAGCCGCCAGGTGGCATGGGGAATCCAGGGATGGGCATCATGCCATTCATGGTGAAGTTCTGCAAATTGAACCCACGGGGGGTTCCAGTTGCAGACGAGCCATTAGCAGGAGGGAAGTGACCGTTGGAGTTAGCATCCGTCCTTGATGGAGCAATGTGGGATGGGTCCATGACATAGGCATTGATAAGATGGAACTGTAGTTGGTTAGCAGCTGGCATAAAGTAACTGGGAAAGGTGACTTGCCTCTTGCTCAATGGTCTCGAGCCATTCGTTGTGGCGCTTCTCAACGTGTTTGCGCCAAAAGTGCTCTTCCTTGAACAACTTGGCACAATCGGGAACCTTGCATCTCCACTTGTGCTCGTCCTCCTGCTTGACGTATTTGAGCAGCTCGTCACCGACGGCATCCTCAACGTGGCGGCCTCCAAGCTTGCGCAGATCTGCCGTTTCGGGCTCGAGGATTTGTAAAATCTTGTCTTCGAATGTCTTGACCCAGTTGTAGGCGCGAAGCAGTTGTTGTTCTGCCTTGCCGGTAGTGCCGCGGAACTTCTTGTCCTCGGTCGCTTCGCCTTCCTCCTCAATCTCGCTGCGCTTCTTGCCAGGGAAAGGCTCCCCGTTGGCACTAGCGCGCGCAACAGCCTTGGCAGAAGTGCTGAGAGTGGTCCTCGGGCGACGAAGGTGACCACCGGGGCACTTGCGAGTGAGCTCGTGAATCGAATCGCTCTCAAAGACGCAGAAGAAGCAGAAGTTGTAGACGCGTCTGAGGTACTCAATCATGAGATCCAGCTGCTTCTTCTTGACCAGGAGGTCTTCGTCGTCAACGTCGTCCTCCTCAACAGCACCCTCATCCTCGTCATCATCGATAGCACCATCCTCTCCGTCTTCCATGCCGTCATCGACGTCGAGGTCACGTTCCTTCTTGGCCTTCTTCTTGGGTGCAGTGGCTGCGGGCTGGAGGCGGCCGCCGTTCTTAAGGTCGTCGACACGTTCCTCGATCTTCAAGACGGCGTTGAAGTCAGAGCCGAAGTCTTCCTCAAACTTGTTGACAAGTCGCTGAACCAGGCCCAAGTCCTTCTCGACCCGCTCGGGCGCAGAGAAGAGATCCCAGAGAGCCTTCTTTCTAGGGTGACTAGGCGGGTTGTGCACACCGACGTGGCAGACAAAATCGCCTCTAACTTCGTCCTTGACAGTCTTGCCGTTGACAGCATCAAGTGCCTTCTCAGCAGTCGACACAACCGCCGGCGATTTCAAGGGCATGTCGCCATCCTCATCCTTCGGGTCGATACGGTCCACGACCGCAGGGGCAACTTCTGATGAAGGGTGAAGCATAACCCAACCAATGCGATGATACCGCTTGCTGGGGTTGGGATCTGACAGAGAAAGCCACTTGAAGCCGCCCTCTTCTTCGCCGAGGTGCTCCTTGCAGAAGGTCTCGAGGTTTTGTCTGCTGACATGGGGCGCAATGGTCTTGATGAGAAGGGTGGGCTGATACAGGTTCTCGTCTCTGATATCACCACCATTGGCTGGCACAAGGTCTCCCACGCCAAGGATCTCGTTGGCGGCGGTTGCTTCACCTTCCTCCTTCTCTACGAGGCCTCCAAGGCCATTGGTCTCGCTCTTGGGGATTCCCTCCAGCGAAAACTCGTCAAAGGTCCCAGACTCAAGATCTTGCTCCCATTGGCTGTAGGCGCCGCGGCGGAACTCATTAAGCTGGGCTCTGAAGCCGTCACGAATCTCAGGGACATAGCGTTCGCGAAACCACTGCTCCTTCTTGTGCTCGCCAACAAAGGTGCGAGCCATCTTGGCTTGAAGTTCTTCCTTGTAGGCGTCATACGCGACCTGAATCTTGGCCTTCTCCTTTTCGCGCTCTTCTTGCGCTTCACGTGTGCCTCGGGCGCGTTCGGGTTCACGACGACGACCAGTGCGCTGACGTTCCTTCTCCTCCTTAATCTTTTCGTTCATCCTCCACCATTCGCCAAAGTATGAGAAGCCGACTTGGTATGGAAGCTTGACGGGATCGGCGAGCGGGTTGACGGTCATCGGCGCAGAGGCGCTGCTGTCCTGTCCAGGGACGTAGCGATCAATGTTGGCTGGCGGTGACTGGATTCTCCTCTCCCGGCGATCATCGCGGTCTCTGCCACCGGCGTAGTCATCGCGACCACGGCCCCTTGGCTCGTAACGGTCGATAGCAGCCGGGGATCGTGAACGACGTCTGTCACGGTGCTGACGCTCATGGCCTGAAAGATTTGTAAGTAATTGGCCAGTAAACCCTTGCAATTGCGAGGCTCAGTATCCTGGCAGAAGCCTCGTCACGGAACGACTCAAGCCATTGAATGATATGATCAGAGATCCTACGCACCAGGCGATCTACCACGGTAGAATGTGTCAGCTCGCTCCTCCTTGACTCGTGTGTCGTCGCGACTGCTCCACGTCCTGTCGCCCGGCGAGCGCGCGGATGAGTCTCGGTGAGAAGAGTAGGAGTCCATCACGGATATGTCGCGCCGAGTCTAGTGTGTGGGAAGGTAAATGGCGTCTTTGTTGAGTTCAATTGACCTCTTGAGGCTGATTAAGTATCGCGTCGGCGTCGGGTAGCTGCGTGCTTGCTGCTCATATGATTTCGTTTCGCTTGCTCGATCGAAGGAAGGAAGGAGGAAGCCTGTTGATTGGCAACATGATTGCGGTTAGAGAAATCATTCTGCAGGCGGGATACGGGACGGCTTCTGAGGGAAACGGAAGAAGAGAAAGAATTGAGAATTCGGGAGGGAAGTAGCAGTAAAAAGTGGTGCAGCTGCCAGAGGGCAAAGATGATTTGAAAACCGACTCGTCACTCTAACGACGACGGTACAAACGGAAGAAGAAAAAAGATGGAATGCCAAATGAGGCCTGCTGAGAATGATTGACAAACGAGGATGGTTGAACAAGGAGTTGGGCGGGAGTAAGATGGATGGTCTGGGAGAGGGAAGACAGGAATAATGGGGATCGTATTGAGGTGATGGATGGACAATAGGTTGCGGATGAGTAAAGATAATGCAGAAAGAAAGGGAAGAACGAACTATTCCGATGGCGAGGGCGTATGCCTCGACGATAAGACGCGTGATGTTGTCGTGATCCAAACGGTAGAGGGTTTTGGGATGCACGAAAGAGAGATGGAGAATGTGAAGGCTGACCAGACTCCGTACTCAAAGGGCGACGAGATGATGGGAGCGAGACACGAACAAAGGGTCGGCTGGAGAGGTCCACTGTGAGCGAAAGGGGTTTAGTGTTTACTCGGAGGATCCTCGGCAGCTTCGGCACTCTTAACTGCATACGTCTCTTTTCGCATATGTACTTGCCGGATACGAGTCAGTGATTGACCTGGACCTTTGCTGTGAAGTCAATCACTTGCAATAAATATACCAGGCAATTGAGCTCCAAGAGAGTCTTTCCGAGTATGCCTTCTTTAAACAATGCGTCCCGGGTACCTGGCAAGCGCAGTAGTTGTAAATGCCTTCCTCAAGTGCTGCCAACGCCGTCGCAGCTGCCCCCAGCCGTGACAGGCGGGTCAATGTCCAGTGGAATTCAATTGCTGGAGAGCTGCAGAACAACGGCGGCCGATCCCCAGCGATCTCCAGAGCTTCACCCCTGTAGCGGCAGAAGCATGCCCATCTGAGGAACGGGGGTCCCCATCTGCCCAGGCTGCCAAATCAGCTCAGATAAAATGGGCGACAGACATCTTGACAGTGTTACCGTCAATCCGTAGATCCAATCGTCTGTCGAGAATTGACAAGCACCGCATGCACCTTTCGACCGTAAGTTTGAGTCCCTCTTGCCAACATAACGAATTCGACAATTAGGGAAGTAAAGAAGTGGCCAGATTGAGGTGGTTCCTGACTGGCGACTGTATACACATTGCGTCATAGCTCTCCTGTAAGAGGATAGCTTCCTCGCATGTCGGACTGGGACCCGCCCCGAGGTTGCCTCTCACCATCCGCATCGCATGTTCCAGACGAACCGTTGCAATTTACTTATAAACACACCACACGCCATTACCGCATTCGCATCGCATTCGCGCAGCTGATACGTTTCTTACACTTCTAGTCAATTTCAACAGACTCCATTATTGAAATCGGCCACAATGACAACCTTTATCCCGGCCCTGACCTTACCCCACCAGGTCTTCGAGAATGCCGCCGCCTCGATCCTGCTCCCGATAGCTCTCGGGACGGCCGTGGGCTACTCTTCGCGACGTACGTTCCCCCTCGAGTAACCTCGCAACGTTGTTGAATACCGATACTAACAACGGTCATATAGCCAGGGACACTAAGAAGACCTACGCCGCCATCAAGAACCCCCCAGGCCGCCCTCCCGCCTGGGTCTTTGGCCCGGCATGGACTCTCCTTTACGGGTAACCCCACCAACTTCCTCCCTTATCACAACCCTTCCCTCCGCGCCTGTGTCTAAATCTGACAACCGTCCAGATTAATGGGCTACTCCGCCTACCGCGCCCTCCAAACAGGCCTCTCCCCAACCTCCACCCTCTCCCAAATCGCCGACACAAAACACGGCGCGACCCTCTACACAATCCAACTCGGCCTCAACCTCATCTGGATGCCCCTCTTCTTCCTCATGAAGCGCCCCATCGCCGCCACCGTCGACATCGTCGCCCTCCTCGGCATAAACTCCTACCTCACCTACCTCTGGGGCTCAGTCGACGCCGTCGCCGGCGCCTGCCTCGTCCCTTACCTCGGCTGGCTCTCCTTTGCGACCTACCTCTGCGCCGGAGCGGGTTACCTCAATGACTGGGACCTCAAGGGCGCCGAAGAGCGGTTCGAGGCCGAACAGGCCGCCAAGGCTGGAAAGAAGCAGTAGTGTTGCGATTGTTACCGCTGTCGTGCGGGTGTTTGTGACACGTGCAATGGTGTAGAGAAGGGAGAGGAGGAAGAGTGGACTTTGTGGGCGTATCTGCGTGCTATGGCGTTCTAGTTGGTATTGGCTGGCCTGTTCCTTACGTTGAGCGTTTATTAGGAAGAAAACTCGATATTCCAGGCTTAAACAAACAAATGCTCGTTGTGTGATTTGAGACCCGTTGAGCGTGAAGACTATATCAGACTGGTACTGAAGGACAAGGTACACGGAACGAGCAAAGACGAACTAGCAAGGTTTTCATCATTATGAAGCAGAAGGCGGGACCACGCAGAGAGATGGATGATGGTGAGAGATCCAATGTCCCTTAGCCCCCTATCCTGTCCTTTGACCATCACAGCCAACACCTCGCAGACTTGCGCGGTAAGCTTATCATCCCAGTAACAGTCTCCTAGTAAGACAGATTTCTTCACAAACAAAGGCCGGTTTGGCGGTGGAAAGGCAATACATCAATATGTCAAACTGTGTAGCCTTTGATTCAAAGTTGTGTATAAAAGACTCAATAATTTACGCTCATGTCTCTTTCAATTTTTGGTAAAAATCCACATCCTTCTAGCCGGGCCGATCCAGCCCAAAGTGTATGCACATGTATAAATATATATACTTGTTTCCGAAATTGCATCCCCGTTTACGCCTTCTAAATGCCAAATTGTATAAAGCCACCTCCCCGTCTTCCAACCACAACAGCAGCCACAACCACCCAAGTCTAGGATATCTCAAAGGGTTTCGACACGTGTAAAGGGAAAGGAACTCTATTGGAAGGGGAAATGTCGCTTGAGGCCGTCAAAAACAATGAAAATGAAGGCAGAGCTGGGCGCTGAGCGAAGACACGTAATACCGCAGCCCCGGTACAGCCCCCTGAGCCCGTGTTGCCGCCAGACGGCGGCGCCCTCCTGCCAGAATGACCGGTTCTGTGCCGCGTCGCCAATAGCTGCCGTCTGCATGCGCGACTTGATCGTGTCGGCCGGGAAGAAGAGGAAGTTGTACGACACACCGCCCGAGGCACCCGCCAGCGCCTGCTGCCACAGTGGCAGCGGCTTCGCCGCCAGCGCGTCCCTCTCACCTTGGGTCTTGGCCGACTTGGCGTTGAGCACGTTGAACATCTTCGTCACCGTCTCCTTGCTGCCAAACCACGCGGCGCAACCACCGGACTCGCGGATCAGGGTGCCCATCTGTCCATGCCAGAAGCCTCTGATGCCTTGGTGGCGGTAGATTTCGCGGACAACAGACAGCGGGCGCAGCTGCTGTGGCGCCCCCGAGCCGTCGGCGCCGGCGGGGGCCTGGATCTTGCACTTGACGAGTTCGACGGGCGTCAGGACGTATGACGTGAAGAAGCCGGAGAAGGCGCCAGTGAACCACAGGGCTGAGAGTGACAGCTCCTGGCCTTGGGGCGTCCAGCCCGACTGGTATACGGCGGCGCGACCGATCCGTTCGAAGAAGAACAGACTGCTGTTCTCGAGCGCAGCTCCGACGAGCGGTGCGCTGATACCGCGGTATAGGCCGCGGAGGCCCTCGGCCTGGAAAGACTGGCGGAAACAGTCGACCGGGCCCTTGTAGCGGAGGGGCTGGTTGTCGGGTTGGGATTGGAGGCGGACCTTGACCGTGTCGAAGGGGTACTCGATGTATTTTCCGACAACGCCGGCGACCTGATGGGAAATGGCTCGTTAGCGAAATTCGCTCAAAGCTTCATTGGCAAGCGGGCGACTTACTGATCCGTAGATTATGTCCTCCATGGCCTCCAGAGCCGCGGTACGGCTCTTCTTCAGCGACACGGGTGCGTCATGGTGGGGAATCTCCATCGCTACTGCCGCCGAGTCCATTGTGATGGCAATTGCGAGTTGCGATGGCTAGCTGATAGCTGCCTGAGCTATTTGGAGGTCGCCAAAGGTATGCGTAAGGTCGGACGAAGGGTCGAGCACCCTCGGGTTATCCCTCAAAGGTTGGTGTGACGAGGGGAGGGGGTTATTGTGTTTGCGCGAGTTGGTCGCTCGTCGAAAAGTACCAGCCAGGATACCGCGCAGCTCAACAGCTTTTTGGATTGCGGCCGTGAAACTTCGAAACCACCAACTACACCGAAAAACAAAAGTAGAAGCAAGTTTGCTCAAAAAAAGGAGCAAGTGTAGGACGTCTGGTTGAATAGAAGGCTATTCAGCACTGCCCTCACTGCTCCCCCTCGGACTGAGTTGAATCAGGGAGGTGGGATGACCATACAGGAAGACGGAGTACGGACGGGTACCGCGGGGCAAAAGCGAATGTAGCCGGGCAGTGTCTACGAGTGTGTCACCCAGCAAGCGCGCAACGCCCAAGAACTTTTTTTTTCGGGGGTGGGTGGTATTCGATCAAAAAATACCCACCGATACCGGGGAGGGTTTAGGTCAGTTTCCAAGTTGGGGATTCTCTGCACCAAGCTTGCAACCAATTCGAAAGGCTTGTTTGTGTCAGTGTCGATCCCGTTGGGTCAAATAATTCTCGCAACGTTAAAAAGCCCGCGCGCTAGAGAGAAAGAGAGAGGGAGTAAGGGAGGCAGCCAAGAGGTTCAGAAGAGGAGTAAGAGAGAGAGAGAGAGAGAAAGAGAGAGAGGGATTTAACAAGACGGTCGTCAAAACGGCCAGCTCATGACTTGAAGAGGCGCATGGCATGGGGTTTATACTAGAACCATGTGAAAGAAACGGTGAAGGGCGGGCGCGCAGGAGGATTGAAGCGCGGAATTGCAAGTTGCTGGTGGAGTTTTGGGCGGCACCAGCAAGGCAAGGTCAGCATGGAAGTAGGTACATTCCCATCTTCCATGACTGAGGTAACTTAGATGTACCTTCCTTACCTAGAGCGAAGGCACCTTGGGTCGGGTAGCAGAAAATTCTCTTATTCTCTTTCCCGCTTGTGAGTACCTACCTACCTTACCTGGTCCATTTCGTCGGGCACTGCTTTCTGCGTCTCGCTGCGGGACACTAGGCGCACTTTCCAAGCCTAGAACATCCCGGGGGGCCTGACATCAGACCGAGGGAGGAACATTGCGTAAAAGTGCTCTTTATGGTGGGGTTAACTCTGAAGTGCCCTGCCAGTCTTGGTCGGCGGGAGCTAGGCAGTCGTGTGAGTTCTTGGAAACCCCGAACCGATGAGGGCGGGAGTTGAATCCTTCCCCGCTGTCGGTGTCAGGCACAGCAACATGCCCCGCCATCTGGGCAGGAACCAAGATGCATTCATCACCTTACTAGGTACCACTGAGAAGAAAGATACTTGAGGTGGCCAATCTGTTGGAACAGATGTCCAACAACGAACAATAATTTTGGGGATCAAATAAGGTCTTGGGTGGCGTACATGAACACCCACAATGATCAGACACAACTTTTGTCAAAAACAACCAACATGCCATGGTGTGGAGGGTAACAGCACAAACGGCACAAAAGTAGAGACGCTAAAAGAACCGAGGCGCCGACGATAATGGCTCGGACATAAGATTTTTATCAGATCAGATTATCACGATAATCTATGAGGCCGGACCTAGTCCACTTTCATCTATTCAGTCTCTTTTTCTCATCCACTCGCCATGCTACCGTCACCCATTACCCTACATTAGGCGCCCCACTGACCCCCCTTGCCTGACGACTGCTGCTCCTCTCCACCGGCTCTCTTGTGCCCTCGCGTGGGTTTCTGCTGCGCGGCCTCGTGCCGCCGAAGCTCCTCGGGCACACGCGAGATGGAGCTCTTGGAGAGCATCTGCTTCAGGTCGTAGAAGAGGTCCGCATCCTCGTTGCCCAAGAACGTGATGGCAACACCGCTCTTGCCCGCGCGACCCGTACGACCGATACGATGCGTGTAACTCTCGATGCTGGTCGCCATGTTGAAGTTGATGACGAGACTGACGTCTGGCACGTCGATACCTCTTCCTGCCAGGTCCGTTGCCACGAGAACCTGCGTCTGCCCGTTGCGAACCGACGCCAGCGCCGCCTCTCTCTGCTCCTGCGTCTTGCTTCCGTGTAGCGTAACTGCAGAGTAACCCATCTGCTTGACGTCTCGCGCGACAGCGTCGCAATTGCGCTTGATGTTGACGAATACGATGATAGGCGGGGCAAATTCTCCAGCGGCAAGAATCTCCTGCAATCGCTTCTTTTTCTTGTCCTCGCCGGACACCATCTCGACCCTTTGCTCAACCGTGTCGACGGCCTCGCCAGCATTACCGATTGTGACGATGGCCGGGCGCCGGAGGTACTTTCTCGCAATTTTCTCGACAGTCGGCGGCATCGTGGCCGTGTACATCATCGTCTGTCTGTACCTATCCCTGGCGCCGAGATAACTCTTCATCAAGGTCGCATTTTCCGCATCATCCGTGTCGGGCTTCTCGTTGGTCACCGGGAGGGCATCAAGAATCTTGTTCACCGACTCCTCGAAACCGAGATCGATCATCCGATCTGCTTCATCCATGATGACGTAGCAGCATTGAGACAGGACAAGGACGCGTCTTTCGATACAATCAACCAGACGACCGGGAGTTGCGACGATAATCTCGGCACCTTTGCCCAATGCATGCACCTGTTCCTCCATTGAGTGACCACCCACGATGCTGACTACGTTGAAGCCAAGCGGGTCGGCGAATTTGTGCGCTTCAGTTTCAATTTGCTGGACCAATTCACGCGTAGGCGCCAGAATAAGGGCGTACGCTCCGTCGTTTTTGTTGATTTCAGTCAAGGGCGGCAGATCCGAGATGTAGACCAGCAACGGCAGAAGAAACGCTGCAGTTTTACCCGAACCAGTGACAGCCACACCGATGAGATCTCGAGCCTGCATCGCGATAGGAATGGCTGCTCTCTGAATGGGCGAAGGGTCCTTGTAGCCGACCCTGTCGACGATCTCCAGTAGCCTTCGCGGTAACCCTGACTCTTTCCAGCTGCGCATCGGGTTGGGGATGAGGCCACCCTTTGTCGCAATGCCAAAGTCTTCCTTGAAAATTCTCCAGTCGCGTTCTCGCATGTCCTCGAGTGTCTTTTTCGACCAGTGCTTGCCCAGGCCTGACCGGTCTGCGCGCTCCTTTGCCTTCTCTCGTGCTTTGTAGAAGTCCTCCATGAATTCCTTTGCCCGTTGCTTTCCGAATTCGCGGTCTCTCTCCTCAATCATCCTTGCCCTTCTTCTCGCAATCTCTTCGGCTTCTTCAGTGTACTCGCCAGACAGACTGCCGAATGTGTAGGATTTCAGGGTTGTCGAGTTGGATTCGTACATCGGGTCGTTCTCGAGTGTGGTGTCTTCTTCCGCGTCCCATTCGAACTTGAACTCGGTTGCCCTCTTGCGCTTCTTCTTAACCGAGAAGTTGGACTGTTTGTTCACCTCAGGCCCGAGATACCGGTTGCGCAGCAGGTCGGCCTCGATAGCTTCCGCCGTCTTCTTTTCCTTGCCATCCTTCGTTGTCGTCTTGCGTTCTGGCTTTTCCCGCCCCCGGCCTCCGGCGCCTCGACCATCCCTGCCGTTTTCCGTGCCATTCATGGCCTTTGGTCCGGTAGGCACTCTGCTCCCATATCCATTCTGCGCTCTGTTATCGCCCGCGCCGTTCGCCTCGGATGCCCATTTCCTTTCGAGATCTGCCTTCTTTTTCGCATCCTCCTCGGCCTTGCGCTTGCGCTCTTCTTCTTCCTGCTTGGCCTTTTCTGCTGCTTGGCGCTCTCGCTCCTTCTTTGGGATGAATCGTAGCTTCGATGATGCAGCGTCGGCGGCCTTCTTCTTCTTGAGAATCTCTTCGAGGTCCAAAGGAACCTTCTTCGCTTGGTTGGCGCTCATGGTCGGGTTTGTTGTGGTGTTGTGACGAGCAAACAAAGGAGAGGATGCTGACGGCAGAGATCTTCGTTGCGATCGCCTGCCTAGTAATCGTATGGCGATGCGTGTCAGGTAGATGCCGAAACCGATGGAATTTCGTTGCTGCGAGGTCCACGGTTTCACTGACCGCTGTGAATGTAACAAATGAGGAAGTATTAATCTATCCCCTGCGAAGCCTTCGAGTACCTGGGATTTCGGGTGGCGTCTGGTGACTGTGTATTCCAGAAGTTGAAGATGGGCGATTTATTTCAGATACCTCAAGAGAAGGCTGCGATTTGCGCCACAAGATAGAAGGCGCCACACAAATGCGACCCAATCAGATCGCAAACTTTCCGGCAATTCTTTCCCAAGCTCCCACCCCTGTCAGTCGTATGCACCTACAGGGGTGGATAAGGCTGGTCGCTCCCAAATTTGTCCAGCGTATCGATTGAGAGCATCCCCGAACGAAACCGACGAAGAGAAATCGCCCGACGAAACCCTCCACTCCCGTTCACGACAACGACCTGGCAATGCCACAGCGCCTGCATCGGAGGACATAAAAAAAAGTAGTGTACTGAACGAACGAACCACCCACAATGGCCGCCGCCGAGCAATACATCCAGCTGGCAAAGACGCTGCCGGCACAACTCCAGCGCTTCTTCGCCCGCTGGCCGCCCGCCGCCATCCTGCCTCACAACATGGCGGCGACGACGCCCAAAACGGGCTTCCAGGAGATCACCCCGAACCCCTTCAAGTCGCAGAAGCACGCCGCCACGGGCAAGTGGCACGACCCCGTCTACTCCATGCGCCGCCAGGCCGAGATCGTCAAGCTCGCGCGCCAGCACGGCGTCGAGGAGCTGCTGCCCCCGACGGTCAAGGGCACCGAGTACAGGATCGCGCACCGCGTCGAGCACGGATTGAGGGTCAAGGGTACCGGTGTCGGACAAAAGGTCAAGGGAAAGATTCACGAGAGGATGGTGCAGCCCAGGTATGGTCTCTTACCCCTACATTTCGCAGTCGAGGAAACCTCTTTGGGCTCTTGAACTTTTGGTCAGATCAGGCAGAAAGAAATGCTAACCATGTGCTTGCAGAATGGAGAAGAGGAGAGCAGCCGTGTTGGTGATGCCGAAGCTCATCAAGGAGTGGAAGAAGGTAAGCGTACAACATCAGGTGTTTCTAGATGTGGTTTACTAACAAAGTTGCACTAGGTTGGAAAGAAGAACTGGACAAGATTCCCCAAATAAGCGCTCTATTCGGACTATTCCTTTGCGCTGCGTCAATACCATAGACGATGTACATATACCATGTATTATCATGTATAAGAAACGAACTCGACCAACTCCCGCCGTTTGAATGCCCCCCCCCCCCCCCCCCCCCCTGGTGATGTGTTGGGGATTTCCCCAAGTCTGGGCGACGAGAGCGACATGATAACTCCTCCACCACATTCTCATATGTTGGTGCATATTGACAAGAATTTCTAGGACAACTCGACAAGGAAAGACTCTACTGGTCACGTCTTGGAAGGCGAATTCAGAAGTTCAATTTCCAGTTAATCCCTCAACCACAAACCACTCACGTGATCCCCGCAGAAACAAGCTTCTCAAAAACTCCAATTCGCCAGGGAAATTTTCACTTACAATCCCAAAACGACAGCCCGCAATCCAAAGCGGCCCTGTCCGCCGCCGCCGCCGTCGCTCTGCCACAAAACTTCCCCTCTGGCCCAAAATGACTTCTTCATCTACGGCTCCGGGACAAGGGCACACGCACTACACGATCCTGGGTATAAGTCGCAAACTCGTCCAAGAACAGTCAACCACGGCGGGGCCGCAGCAAATCATCAAACGGGCCTACCACCGCGCCCTCCTCCAAAACCACCCGGACAAATACCCACAACTCAAGAGTATTCCTGCAACTGGCCCAACTTCCCGAGCACCATCTCACTCCTCTTCTTCTCCTTCCGCCACCTTTTCAATCGACCAAATCTCATCAGCCTACAAAGTCCTCTCAGACCCAAAGCAGAGGGCAGAATACGACCGCGCCCTGGACCTGGCACCAAACAACCAAGGCCTCCAGCGCGGCAACGGCGACGAAGAAAAGTCCTTTCAGACGGGCATCGAAGTCGTCGACCTCGACGACCTGGAAGTCGAAGAGCCTTCCTCAGAAGACCCCGAGGCTGCTGAGTGCTGTTGGTACCGCAGCTGCCGGTGCGGCAACCCGCGCGGCTTCCTCTTCACCGAGGCGGACCTGGAGGAGGCGGGCGAGAACGGAGAGCTGCTCGTCGGCTGTCAGGATTGTAGTCTTTGGATGAAGGTTCACTTTGCCGTGGTCTCGGATGATTGATAATGTGGGAAGAAGTTTTCAGACGAAGTTCAAAATGAAACACAAAACAAATTTGAAAAGAGGCCACGAGTCCCTATTCGTTGGATTGATAATGTGTCAATGCTATTGTCTCGTTCACTCATAGCTTCAAATGAGTAAAGTGTCAACCGAATCGATCCCTCATGTGAGCCTTACAATTAAGTAACGCGCCTTCATATCACACGACTCTTACCGGGCCAAGATGAGGACCTTCCTCTCAGCCAACCTCAACTCCGTGGCCAGTATCATTCTCCTTCACATCTCGGGTATTTAGAAGCCTCTCCCTAACAGATCACCACCCTCCACTGTCCAGTATTTATGTCATTGGCAATGATCTCTCCAGCCAATCCCATGAGTCTGGCTTGCATATTGGTCTTTTAATAGTCTCTAACCTACTCCTCAACCTGTATGCGGGGGCCTTGGCCATCTATACTAGAATTGACTTCTCAAATTTGCCCATCTACATCTCACTTTAGTTCGAAACTGTCGAGTTACCCCAGTTCACCTGTCAACCCAAGTGGGCAGTATCCCAATATTACAGAACACTTTTCAACAAACTTCCACCATCACCAGGTCAAAGATAGTGGCAATACCAAACAATTGTCACACGATTTTCAAAACTGGTTTGCCGGATGTGCTTCTTTGAAAGCAATTTTAGTCTTTTTTTGTTGTTGTCCAGACGGCCTTGCATTAGAGTCTAAAAAAGCAAACGTGGAATCAACCTCCAAAATGCTCTTCTTTAGCCCCCAGCCAGCCCCGTGCTAGGAAAAATCAACCCCTTCACAATTCTTGTGTGTATTGCCTAAACGATGCCGATTCGCAAAAACGAAATCTCCAGTCCACACTCCGTAGACACCAGTCCACCCAAATCCGGCGATGAACGCAGGTTGCAGAATGCTACGAGACCAATCACACCTTACTCAGCCTTGGGCTCCTCAGAGGCAGCAGCGGCCGGCGCCTCGGCGGAGGCACCCTCCTCCTTGGCGGCGGCGGGGGCCTCGGCAGTGCCTGACGCCGCGGGCTCAGCCTCAGAAGAGGTCCAGAGGGTCTGTATTTCGTTGTCAGCGTAAAGTCTTTTGTATTGCTGGCCGGGTCATCTTACCAGGTTGTCACGGAGAAGCTGCATGATGAGGGTAGAATCCTTGTAAGACTCCTCGCTAAGGGTGTCAAGCTCTGTAGAGGAGTTGTCAGTGAGTTGCACTTGCTTCGAGTGGGACGGTACACACCGGCAATGGCATCATCGAAAGCCTGCTTGGCAAGGTGGCAAGCCTGGTCGGGGGCGTTGAGGATCTCGTAGTAGAAGACGGAGAAGTTGAGGGCGAGGCCGAGGCGGATGGGGTGGGTGGGGGGAAGCTCGGTCTGGGCAACCTCGGTGGCAGCCTTGTAAGCCTCGAGGGACTTGTCGGCAGAGTCCTTGCGGCGATCGCCAACGGCGAACTCGGCAAGGTAGCGGTGGTAGTCACCCTTCCTATAGGAAATGTCAGCACAGCGTTCGATACCGAGAGAGACGCGAATCCTTACATCTTGTGGTAGAAGACCTTGGACTCGCCAGACTTGGCAGAAGGGATGAGGTGGGCATCGAGGACATCGAGAATGTCGTCGCAGATCTTGGCAAGCTCGGCCTCAATCTTCTGGCGGTACTCCTTGATAAGGCCAACCTGGGAGGAGTTGCCCTTGGACTCCTCCTTCTGCTCGATGGAGGTGACGATTCTCCACGAGGCACGGCGGGCACCGATGACGTTCTTGTAGGCAACAGACAGGAGGTTGCGCTCCTCGACGGTGAGGTCACGGTCCTCAGAGGCGACGATCTTCATGTTCTCGACCATCTCTGGAAGCCCAATCATCAGTATAATCCATCGTTTTCGATGGGCAACGGCCACATACCCTCGTAGCGCTCAGCCTGCTCAGCAAGCTTGGCCAAGTACACAGCATCATCCTGACCCATTGTGGCGGTTGGTATCTAGAGCGTCAGGATTGATTAGCACGTGTCAGGAGACGAGACCAAAACTGCGTTCCAAGTGTATTGTGAATGTGAGATTTGGACAAGTCGGCGAATGGAGGCGCAAATTGATTTCGGAAGAGCGACGGGGTGAATTCAACGGGAGAAGGACGAGTTGCGGCGTATGCGCCTCGCTGACTTCATGACTTGGCTTCGGCCCCCCGCTCCTGGTGGGGTTTTGCGCCTGACCGATCAAGATAGGGCGCGCAGTGTCGGTGAAGGTCTCAATCGATGCAGAAAGAGGAGCGGATGGCAGTTTCGTGAAGCGGTCGACGCAAGTCGGCAAGAGGCGGTTGTTGGGAATCGGTGGAAGGAGATTGCGGCGAGGGATGCGATGACGACAGAGGGGGCACGGGGGTGATGGGGGGAGGGGACCACGTACCTTGGTGCGATGTTTTGAGGTTGGCGGGGATGTTCAGGTGGAACGATGAATAAGTTGTCAATGGAAGATTCCCGTGTCGAGACTCGAGCTGGATCGGAGCAGGGGAAGAGAGCGTGACGAAGGGTAAATAGAGGCGGGTGTGGGCGGTTTTGCAAAGGTAGTGCGAGAGTTTTGTGAAGTTGAGAAATGGATGAGACGAAAAGGTGATGGATTGAAATTGAGGAAGGGGCTCTGGGCTGCACAATACGTGAGGTGGCCCAGGCAAGACAAGGCAAGGCGACTGGACTGACTGGGGGGGGGGGAAACGCCGGGGCGGTAGGTAGACGTAAGTTAAAGCAGGTAGGAGGGGGGGGGGGTGGCTGCTGCCGCACCGACTGGACTGGACGGGACCCGACTTGAGTGGTTGACTTCCTGCCCAGTGCCAGGTTCCATGGGCAGGGACACACTGGGCTGGTGAGCCACGCTCTGGCCAGTCACCGTCGAGGGGCGTCTCAACCAATCCCCATCTGCGGCGTGCTAGCCCTGGAATGGCCGGCTCACGTGAATCATCCCGGGGTAGCGTCAGGTATTGCGGCTGTGCTCTGCGGCTGAGAGGTACCCCTCGAGAGCCCCCAAAGTCTCTCCAAACGTACCTTACCATCCCACGCATCCTCAATGCCTATCCAAACTCCCGTGCCTTCTTCTCCTGCCTTAATTTAAGGTACGTTGCCAATGGAACCTGACTCTACGACAGAAAGTGGGGGATACGCAAAGGTACATCTCATGCCTCTTTCCGCTTCCTTTCTTCGGGTCCAATTCCCCGGTGCCGTGCTCTCTCCCCAGGGCATCTCACTCGACATGGTCTTACTCTCGTTGCTCGTGGATGGCCTTGAATTCAGGTACGGACATGATCAAGGCACTCACTAGATAGAAAGCATGCTGCGCCACGGGCAACCTGGCACCAATCCAAGGCCTCGAAGAAGATGACTTCTGATACCAGCTCGCTGCTGTTATCCAGCTTCGACTTTCCTACGCCCAGATCACGTTACTATGTTTGTTGTTGCTTCGCTTTTCATGGCCAAACTCTGCTCCCAGGTTCAGAGTTTAGATCAACTGGGTAATATACATACTCGCTCCAAATCATACAAGCTGCAAGATGATGCGAGGCCAGACCCCTCTTCCCGTCTTCTCTCATCCCACTTCGTCTCTTCTTTTCATGCAATCGCCGAGCGGCCACCGTGCCCTCATTCATCCTTTGAGTTCAGGCACTTGTTCCGTTCTTTGGTCACATTAGACTGCCCTGCCTGACCCAAGGTCTTTCAAAGCAAAAAGCATCTTACCTCACGTCAAGGTAGGTTGCATACTGCTGTTCGTAGCCGGGGCCCCTTGAACTAAGAACGTGTGTTTCCTCGGCTGCCGTTGCCTGTCTTGGCAGGAGGGGATGGCAGGAGAGTTGGGAAGAAATAAAACCGGCCTTTCCTCTCCGTCGCTAGTAGTCTGAAGCCACGAAGCCATCTCAGGTTTGGCCAAGGCAGCACTTACACGCGGCGTAGGTAGGTACTCTACAGTCTGTACACTGGAGAGGGCAGATGCCTCCTCTCCACTAAAAGGTACCTCGGGTTGCGAGACAAAGACGAGAGACGTCGCACCACAATGACTACACACCACCGGCACCCCATCGGTCGCCTTTGAAGCGACGGATCTCCCGCATCTCTCTCTCCCAGTCCCGGGGGCCATCCTAGTCGAAAAAGGAGATTCAGCCTTGCCGGAGATAACAACAAGGGCGGATAAGGCTACGTGCTTACCTGGAGAATGTAACCCGCAGTGGACTACGAATACGGAGCAATACCTACGAAATCATCGGGATAGATCATGGAGATATGCGTGTCCCCATTTTATGCATAAGCCGTTTCGGAGCAATAACACCGGCACACCAGACGAAGCACCACGCAATTCACAACCCTTAGTAGGAGCTGAGAATCTTTCGCAGCTCAATCCAAGCGTACGAATAGCATCTCCCATCTTGAAAGGTGCCTAGGATATGGAAGCAGAATATCCTGTCGCGTGTTGGTCGGGACGGGATTATGCGGATGCTCACAATTGCATCACAGCTCCATCGACTGCTTGGCCATCTTGTACACAGCTCAATGAGTCAGCGCGATTTGGCCGCAAGCAGCTGACCATCACTGAGTGGCCTGTGGAAATCATATCCAGGCACTCCAGGTAACCTCAGCGTAGCTTGTCTACGTCTGCTCACCTTAGTCAACGCAATCCACCGAACCCGAGAAATGCCGGCCCGTCCATGTTAACGATATACCTCGCTCACGCCGGGTATGACGTATCACATCCTCGTACCCCCATACTCGGGTGAAGAAGGACGGACCGGAGTAAGCAAAAGCTCCCTCCCCCGACCAAAAAAGTATCTAGGCACCTGGTTTGACAGGATCAGATCATCCCCTCCTTGTCCAATGAGCTAGCAACTTGTCTCCCCTTCCCCGAGCAGGAGCTATTCCAGGCATTACCAGCACCCCAATCCCCACAATCCAACCTATCACAAAACCCGCCCAACTTGCACCATCGTCATCGGCCAACTTGCTTCACTACAAAAACATAAACACCTCCAATTGGAAACCCCCAAATCCTCTTCCGACACCCTCTAGATACCTCTTCAAAATGATGCGCATCGCTGCTACCAAGGCCGCGGCCCGTCCCCTCACCCTCGCCTCGAGAGCTTGCTTCAGCACCACTGCTCGCACCATGAGCGAGGGCGACACTGGAGCTCCCTCCAAGTACGGAGGCGGGTAAGTCTTCTCTCTCCCGCCCTTTCCTCGCAACCGGTCATTCCCCGGGCTCTATCGTCGACCATGTCAATCGACAACGACCAGATCAACAAAGAAATGAACTCAAGGCTGACAATTGCTCTGCAGCGACGCCTTCCAGAAGCGCGAAAAGGCCAACGAGGACTACGCCATCCGCCAGCGCGAGAAGGAGAAGCTCCTCGAGCTCAAGAAGAAGCTCAGCGAGCAGCAGGCCCACCTCCAGCAGCTGTCTGACCACATGTTCGTCCACCACCTATCCTTTCCATCCATTTCCCCGTCCCCATCCAAACCCGCTACATTCGCGCTGCAATGACGTCGCTTTCCATATGGCTCAATTTCCCAAGACTCTTTTGCTAACGATGCTCAAAAACCAGCGACGAGATCACCAAGAACCAGGGTGGCGAGAACAACTAAATCAAAAACAAGATGCAACTTCCCCCGCTTCAGTGAGGAGGTCCTTTCAAAGCGATAATACCAATGGAGAGAAGGCTTAGTTAAGGAAGCCGGACAAATGTACCAAATCTGGAAATGGAAGCAAAGATTGATGATTTCCGCGCGAGCAAATGTCTGAACTTCGAAGCTTTTCAATCTTATGTAAAATCATCAAAAAAACACCTGGTATTCACCCACATGTCTAGGCTACTATTACAACGTACTCTTCGTGGTTCAATGCACCATTCTTTGCGGTGCCGAAACCATCCAACTCAATTCTTGCGAGGCGACCCATTTCTGTTCAATACAGTCTACCTCAATTTGAGCGATTAATGACACCCCCGATCTTTCCGAGTCGTCTTTCGTTGTTGCAATTCCTAAATCCTTCCTCTCGTAACCTAAGCTGCCTAGCAAAACACAAACTCTTCCACGAACCCTTTGCCGTGTATCCTGTTCCTAATCAACGCCGGCCCATGTAAGATCTGTAAAAGCTCTCCGCGGCGTCGTTCTCCGGCGCTCCGTACTGGCTGCCAAGGTTTTTGTTCGCCTTCTGCGCGGATGAGACCTTGGCCTGCAGAGATGCGGCGTTGGAGTCGATCCACTGGAGCTGGCCGAGGTGGCCGTTGAGAACGCGAACGATCTGGCTCAACTACAGATGGGGGTATTAGCTTTGTAGGCGCAATATTGGGTAAATCAGTATCACTTACGGGATCTTCAGGCTTGGTGCCCTTGCTAAGAGTACCGGAAATATCGTTGATCTCCTTGACCATCTTGGACAGGTCTCTGCTCTTCTCGTCGAGATTCTGCGTGAGCTTCTCGGCGAGCTTGTATGTCCGCTCGCGCTCCTGGTCGGGTCCGGCAAGGGTCTCACCCTGTCCCATCTGGCGGGAGAACATCTCCTTGACGTCGGCCTCATAGCGGTCCAGCCAGTCTTCGAGCTCATCCTGCTGGCTCTCGACGGCTTGGAGCTGGCGCTCAATCTCGTGGCTCGCCTTCTCGGCCTCAAAGGTGTTGAGGTAAAGCTTTTGAATCTTCTCACCGTTGTCGACCAGGCCCAGGTCCCAATCGGCGACCTGGTTGGCGTAGTGCTTAAAGTCCTTCTGGTACTTGGACAGGTCCGAGGCCCATCGTGTAATGATGTCGTCCATGGACTTGTTCTTCAGGCGAGGAAGCTGGGATGTGGGACCGGTTGTAGAGGCAGCGAGAGTATTTGAGGTGCCAGTTGTGGCAGATGCGGCAGCAGGTGTGGTGCCGGCCTGAGCTGATATTCCAGCAGCCAGTGTAGCTGCTGGCTTGGCTCCGAATAAACCACCAGCCGATGCCGCTGTGCTGGGTGCGGTGGCTGATGTGGTTGCAGCGGCAGTGGTCGCAGTCGCCGCAGGTGTAGATGCTGGCTGAGAGGTACCGGCAGCCGGAGTGGCCCCAAAGAGTCCTCCGCTCGCAGGCTTGCTCGCGGGTGTTGCTGCAGCTGTACCGCCGAACAGCGATGAAGGTGCCGCTGCGGTGGTGGGTGTAGAAGTTGAGGGAGGAGCAGGCTTTGCGCCACCAAACAGACCTCCTGCACTTGCGCCAGCCTGTGTCGCGGCAGCCGGCGTGGAGGATGTGTTGCCGCCGAACAGGCCACCAGCAGGGGCAGCAGCTGGTGTTGAGGTTGTAGGAGTGGCAGGCTTCGCGCCGCCAAAGAGCGCACCGCCAGCGGCGGAGGGAGCGGCGGGAGTGGAAGCCGGCTGTGCTGAGGTAGTGGCGGCAGCTCCTTGGCCGAATAGACCACCAGAGCTAGGAGCGGGCGCTGCCGGTTTCTGGCCTCCGAAAAGACCACCAGCAGCCGCGGGCTGCTGTTGTGTTTGTCCGCCGAAGAGACCACCGGCACTGGCCGGCTGCGCTGTAGATGCAGCCTTGGACTGAGCCGCACCACCGAAGAGACCTCCACCGGTGGCAGGTTGGGCCGTGGAAGCAGCCGTGGACTGTGCGGTGCCGGTCGCAGCACCGAAGGGAGACGGCGCGGCGGATCCAGACGGCGCAGCACCGCCAAACAGGCCCCCTGTAGCTGGCTTCTTGTCAGCAGGCGGAGCTCCGGCTGGTGTCGTAGATCCTCCTAGAGAGAACATAGGCTTTGCGGGAGTGGCCTGGGTTGCTGGAGCACCAGCGGCGGGGTTGCTTGAGGCAGCCTTGTTGCCAAACAGGCCTCCAGCGGCAGGAGCGGGTGTGGTTGACGAGCCCGCGGCGGCATTCTGACCGAACAAGCCTCCACCAGGAGCAGGACTGGCAGTGTTTCCGCCGCCGAAGAGACCTCCAGCTGGCTTCGCCGCTGCGCCTCCGAAAAGGCCTCCTGACGATGCGGCTGGTGTGCCGGTCGAGGCAGCGGCGCCGCCACCAAAGAGTCCTCCAGTCGGCGTGGATGTGCTAGGCGTAGAAGCACCGGCTCCTCCAAACATGCCGCCAGATGCGGGAGTCGAAGAAGCACCGGCAGCCGGCTTGGCGCCAAAGAGACCTCCTCCAGCCGATCCAGGTGTTCCTGCAGCAGCGGCCGGCGTGCCACCGCCAAAGAGGCCGCCTGCTGGTTTTTGTGCAGTGTTCTGCCCGAAAAGTCCTCCGCCTGAAGCTGGTGTGTTGGCGCTCGATCCAGCTGCCGCTCCTCCAAGGTTACCGAAAGAAAAGCTAGGAGTGCCGCCGGAGGCAGCAGCGCCGCCAAAGAGACCTCCAGATGCAGGCGCAGAGGTTGCCGGGGTCGAGCCGCTGTTCGACGTCGGCGTAGACGTGTTACCGAAGCTGAACGACATTGTGTGGAAGGTTCGTGAATCGATCGCGGCTTGTCGAGATGAAGCCTGACAAAGTCTCGCAAGCTATTTGCGAGCTACGTACAACAAGCTGGTGTCTGGGAAATCGTATATCGTTGGGTTCAGTGTCGTCGCATTGAGGTGCGAATCGACCACCTGAAGCTCTGTTGGTCGTCGATGAAGCAATCGGATTTGTCTCGTAGATATGCGCTGACTCGTTGCGGCGTATGGTTGCTACCGGTTGTTGGGGGAAGCTGCAACTGGTGATGATGGTTGGCAGCTTTTTTTTTGTGATGCTCCAGCCTTTCAGGCCTTGCCTCCACGCGACTGGCGCGCTGCACCTGCCCAAAGACCCAGGACCAGGGACAGGTTGCCTATCAAGTACTAGCGCAGAAATAACCGGGATATGCCCCACGTGATGCTTGGCGGGCGAGTCTAGAAGCTGCAAGAGGTGCTTGCTTGATGCCGTCTGCGAGCCTGCTTTTCTCGTGCCATCCAGCCCAAGAGCCTTAAAATCCGCTTACATTCTTCCTAATCGTCTTTGTGCTAACAAGCCCTTGCCTTTGCTTGATTCCTTCAAAAGTTGCGGTTGCCCTCAAATCATCGAGTTGGGGATATCGTTCTTGCTAGTTGCTACCTATTCGGCCCACACAATTACGTATCCGCTAATCGACAGGCTCCCCCTCCACTGCCCACTCCTATTCTCTCCCACCATCGATAACTCCCTAAGCTGCCTCAGCTTGTTGTAACCTCAAGAAACATTACCCTATTATTCCTACAGCTCTCAGTTGGGCTCCCAACGGAATCATGTCAGACGAAGAGGCTCTTTCACCGCCGAGACGGTCTGGAACTAGCGACCCTGGCGCACACGATCTGGGTAAGCACCCCCCACCCCTTGTCAATGTCTCCCTTGATGATCGTGCAGCCGTTTTTGTCTAACAATCTGCAGCCAACGCCTCCGACTCAGAAGACCACTTCTCCGATGCGCAATCCGCTCCCCTTAGCCCCGGAACGTCACCGATTCCCAAAACCCGCGTAGAGAAAGTCGACGATGAACCGTCCTACGGCGAGGTCCCTGGAACGGAGGCGTACCGCTTGAGGGAGGGTGATGCTGAGCCGGACGAGATTGCAATCCAGGAGAAGGGCAGTAGCGAGGCATCGTCGACCGCAGACAGTGCGCCCAAGTCGCCAGTCATTCCCAAGACTGTCGTTGAGGAGGCCCCGGGCGAGTCAGGGCCGCACTCAGAGGAGTTCTTGGAGAAGCGCAAGGCAGACGCCCCAGCCGACTTGGTTGTCAAGCCAGATGGCGAGACTGAGGAGGGTGGCAGTTCCGGTACGATGTAGAGATCCCTGAAATCAAAGAGCACTTTGTCGTTGACCTGGCGTCATTTTTCGTAGATTCCCCCCCTGTATCACCTGCGCTATCGTCAACACCAAGTTCGCCTGCCGTGAAGCGGAAACCCTCCAAGACGGCTCTCTCGTCTGCTCCGTCTAGCGCCGGCCTTGCACCGCCTCCCGATGCAGCTGATAACGATGACGATGACGCTGAAGGCGGTGACGAGGTTGATGATGACGACTTTGGTGACGATTTCGACGACTTTGAGGAGGGTGCAGAAGCCGACGCCGACTTTGATGACTTTGAAGATGGCTTTCAAGAACCCGAATTCCAAGCTCCCGCTCCAGCTCCAGCTCCAGCGCCTAGCTTACCACAAGTACCGTCACTGCCTTTCGTAAGCACCCTGCAATCAAAGCTTGGTTTGGCCTTTCTAACACCTCAATCCAGGATATACCAGACTTTGACGGCTTAGACGGCGAAGACGTCCTACAAGCTATCGACCCATACCTCAACACCCTCTTCCCCCCAGAAAGCCTAGACGTCGACTCCCCGCCACCGCTGACGAAAGAAAACCCCATCTTCCTCACACCGCGCAGTGCTTCACTATGGTCGCAGCTGGTGGCACCTCCGCCGCTAGCTCCCCCGGATTGGATCCGCTCGCGAATCCGCCGTCTCTTCCTCGTCTCGCTTGGCGTGCCGGTCGACTTGGACGAGATCCTCCCAGCCTCCAAGCAAAAGAAGCTCGTGCTGCCCTCACTGCAAGTCCCCTCCGGCTCACCGCGGACATCATCAGATTCTCGGTCCGTGTCACGGGTGCGGGCCGACGCCAACGCGTCGTCGACGTCTGTCGACTCAAAGGGCAAACCGACAGCGTCATCCAAGAAGAAGGGACCGCCGCCGGTGCCGGACCTGGACCTCGTATCGGCCAAGCAGCTCTGCACGACGACGGACGAGGCCCTAAACGGCATGACGGACGACGAGCTCAAGGCACACGTGGACAGGCTAAAGGCGATGGAGGGAACGGCCAAGGAGGTATTGGAGTACTGGACCAAGAAGACGGACGAAAAGATAGGCGACAGAGAGGCCTTTGAAGGCGTGATAGAAAACCTGGTCAAGCATGCACGCAAAGTCAGGAAATAGAAATAATAGAAAAGTAAAGTGGGCTCATTCATCGTCCAGGCCTATCTATCAGCATACACCGTCTAGCTTTTCCTTGTACGTTGTTTTTCTTTCCCTCGCGAATCCCCCGCCGTCAAATGGACCTTGAATCTTGGACCTTCAAATTTCGCGAATTTCGAAGTCTCTCTCCTGGTCATTTGAATCTTACGCGGTAGTTGGTAACCTCGTTCATGTGCATTCATTACCCGCCTGGTACTCAAAAACTTTGCCGGATCCGCGCCTTCCCCCTTTCTCCCGACGACTGACTCCTCATTCGGCTCTCTACCAGACTGACTGATTCTTTTTTTAGACTCCCTGTGATGCTGAAGAATGGGCTTTTGAGACTTTGTGGTTTTTTGATTTGATTTGGGACAGTTGTCGATTTAAGACGAGCTGGGCTCGAGAGTGACACCACTGTATAAACGTTAGCTTTCTTTTGCAACTTAATTATATAGAATTGTGAAGTATGAACTTACGCAGCGATGGTGGCCCAACCAATCAGACGCCAATGCTTCTCAATACGACGGGACAGAGCGACCTTCTCGCCAATGTTTGTGCAGGCGGGGGAGGTGAGGACGAGCTTGGCGGCATCGTTCTTGATGGCGGCAACCTTGGCACCGGTGGACGTGGAACCAATGTTGACCATGATGACCTCGTTCTTGGTGAGCTTGGCGACCTTGGCCTGCTTGCCGTCGGCGGTCCGGACACCGAGGAGACGGCGCAGGAGGTAGAAGTTGACCTCGATCTCGCTGTAGATCTCGGGCAGGCGGCCCTTGAGACCCAGGACGAAACCGACGAGACGATCGGCTCTGCAGAGGGTGGGGTCGATGCGGGTACCGACACCGATGAGACCACCGGGGACGGCGTACTTGAGATCGTTGAACTCGGAGTTGAGGGAGACGATTCTGCTGAAGATGGGAGTGCACTTGAGGGCACCCTTGTCGTCTCTCGTGACGATACCGGGACGGATCTCAATCTCGTCGCCGAGCTTGAGGACACCGTGCAGAATGGAACCACCAGCGACACCTCCCTTGAGGTCGTCAATCTCGGCACCGGGCTTGTTGACGTCGAAGGATCGAATAACAATCATGTGGGGGTCCTGGGTGAAGTCACGAGGGGGCACGGGGATGGTGTTGACGATGGCCTCGTTGACGGCGTCGATGTTGAACTTGAGCTGGGCAGAGATGGGGATGACGGGAGACTTTCCGGCAACGGTACCTCTGATGAACTTCAGGATAGACTGGTAGTGTTGCTGGGCGGCCTCCTCGCGCATAAGATCGACCTTGTTCTGGAGGATAATGATCTTGTCCAGCTTCATAATCTCAATGGCAGCCAAGTGCTCAGAGGTCTGGGGCTGGGGGCAGGTTTCGTTGCCGGCAATGAGCAGCAGGGCGGCGTCCATGACGGCGGCACCTGACAACATGGTGCTCATGAGAATATCGTGACCGGGGCAGTCGACGAAGCTAAGTGGAGATATGATATTAGCCACGACTCCTTGCAATTCACGATTTCCGGGGTAAGCTCTCTCTCCGAACTTCAGCTACTTACGAAACGTGGCGCAATAATCTGTAGGTGCCGCTGCAGCCCTCGCGCTCGCAAGGGGGATCGACCTCCTTCTCACTCTTGTAACTCCTGAAGCATCCCGGCCGAGGGCACTCCTGGTTGTCGCACTGGTAGATCTTTGCATTGGCGTAACCAAGCTTGATGGTGATGTTACGGATCAGCTCGTTCTTGAAACGAACGGTCTGAACGCCGGAGATGGCCTTGACGACAGTAGACTTTCCGTGGGCCACATGGCCGATAGTACCGATGTTGATTGTTGCTTGGCGAGCGATAATCTCGGGGGTGAGGGGGCTGAGGGTCTTGACGTCGAGGTCTTTGGGATCGGTTTGCGGGGGCAGAGTAGGGCGCTGAACTGTGGTGTCGGCGGTGACGGGGTTGGAGGACTTCTTGAGGGCGGGCTTGAGAGTCTTCTCCTCGTTGAGCTCGGTCTGCTCCTCGACGGACTCGCCAGAGTCGGACTCCGACTCGATGTCGTCGTACTTGTTATCGCCGTTGGCAGACATTGTCGCGACGGGGTGTGGGTGGATGGCGGGGTAAATTCGTCTAGGTTGACTTGTGTCGGGTCGGGGGACGTCGGACTTTTTTCTCGAAGTTAGATCGCCTGATGACTGAATAGGTGATTATTTGTAGGTATTCGACGGTACCGGAGAGGGAGGATGGGGCCTCTTGTTCGTGGGTTTCGTGACGTCGAGGTTGATCCGCGAAATTTGCTTCCGATGAGTAACAACCTGGAATTTACCTCGCTGAGGGTCGATTCGAATTCTGTGGTCAAAGTCGGCGCTAACCTCTTTGGGATCGATAAGCTGATAAGTGCCCCGCCTGGCCTTTGCCCGCCCAACCCTGCCGCCCTCTGCTCTCCAATGTACCTTATTCGTACCTTTCCTGCCTGGGGAAAGGACGAACTTGGTGACAGCGTCACATGAATTGACTCATACCTTCAAACTTACATGTGCGACATGTTCTCATCGACCTTATGCAGCAATCCCCTTGTTGAAAACTGTATACCATCTTGTAGGAGCACCTCATTATCAATTGTGGGAAGGAAGGGAAGGCACGAGGTTCGTACTCGTAACCAGTAGACTAAGATAGTGCTTGCAAAGTCAATAAAGTCAACCTATACGAAGCCGTTGCAAATACTGTCTCGAACGGAAAGTGGGCTTCACATGCCCTATCAGCATCAAGACTTGACGCCAAAGCTGCTCGCGATATTCCAGGTTAAGTCCTTGTGACGCTGCCAGAGATTCCATAACCCTGAGATCTCGACGTTTATCTTAACTTGATAGAGCTTAACCAATTTGTACCTCGAATGCCGCAATAGTGTAATTGTTTAACATGCAATCGTGGAATTCTTTTTTCTATACCTCTAAGCGCCCCGCTACAATCCCTAGATCAACATAGCCTTGACTAGCTGGATCTGCTCCAGCACGCTTGATTTACTGGTACCGCCCTTAGCATCCTTCGCCTCGACACTCGACTCATACTCGAATGCCTCCGCAATGTCTGCTGTGAACCGAGAATCAATGGCTTGCAGTTGCTCAAGAGTCAGCTTGTCCATCGAAACTTCCGTGTTTTCAGACAGTGCAACGACGCGTCCAGAGATGTGGTGAGCCTCTCTGAACGGACATCCCCTCCTCACCAACCACTCTGCGACATCAGTGGCCAGCATCGTCTTGTCCAGAGCAGCCCTCATCCGCTCTGGCCGCACCTTCAAGGTAGCAATGACACCGTTGGCTATGCCCAAACTATCCGACACAGTCTGAACCGAATCCAGCATGGGCTCCCACCCTTCCTGGAGATCTTTGTTGTAGCAAGATGGCAAGCTCTTCACGGTCTGGCAAGTAGATAGTTAGTAGCTACTCTCAATACGCTCCTAGTCACCCTCAAAGCCATAGCAACTGGCTGAGGGGTTGAAATGCGGACTCACCATCATCAAGCCAGCCATTTGACCGAAAGCACGCCCTGACTTGCCGCGCAGAAGCTCTAATGAGTCTCCGTTGAATTTGTTAGGCATCAAAGAGCTACCTGTGCAGTAGGCATCGGCCAGCCGAATGAAGCCAAACTCTGATGTCGAGTATATGATGAGGTCCTCAGCCCATCTGCTGATGTGGTTGGTGAAGATCGAGTTCCAGGTAAGGAACTCGATGATGAAATCGCGGTCGGCCGAAGTGTTCATGGAGTTCAAGGTTATTCCGCTGAAACCAAGCTCCTCAGCGATCATGTCTCGATCGATTCGGAATGGGTTACCGGCCAGAGCGCCACAACCAAGGGGACTCAGGTTGACCCTCTCGAAAAGTTGGCGTAACCGCTCGAGATCCTGCTTGAACGCAGCAGCATATGACATGAGCCATTGAGACCACCGCACTGGCTGGGCACGTTGCAGATGGGTGTATCCAGGCATGAGGTATTCGCTGAGGTTGTCAGTGAGCAGGGGGCCGCTTTTGGCCAGAGGTGGGGCTAGACTTACATCTCATCAGACCCGGCACGTGTGACAATGACCTTGAGGAAATCAACGAGTTGGCTGTCGATTTCGCGGATCCGATCGCGCAACCACATGCGCATATCAACGACAACTTGCTCGTTGCGGCTGCGACCTGTGTGCAGCTTACCCGCGGTGTCCTTGCCGATGACCTCTCCCAGACGACGTTCGTTTGCCGTGTGAATCTGGCCCAGCGTGTTAGTCTTGAGCAGTTGAGGTGAATTGAGCTGCCACTCACATCCTCGTCATTCGGCATGATGGCGAAAGTTCCCTGCTTCCATTCTTCCATGATTTGGAGCAAACCACGCTCAATCGCCTGGAATTCGTCTTGGCTGATGATGCCAGCCTTGGAGTTGGCCCTGGCAAAAGCAATCGATCCAAGGATATCTTCTCTGTAGAGAGCCTTGTCGAATCGGATGGAGGCATTGTATTTGTACATAAGAGGGTCAATTGCACCTGCGCACCGGTAGGTCAGTATACTGCATCCGAAGCTTGTTCCCGGAATATTCGAACCTGTGAACCTGCCACCCCAGAGCATGCCCTCCGCCGGGGCGTCTGCCTTTTTCTCGGCCATGTTCGTTGCGTTTGTCGTGTTCGTTGCGCTTTCGAGGCCGATGAAATCAATGGAATCGATGAGACCACTGGAGGATATGGCGGGTACTTGTACCAATTGATGTTCGAGATCAAGGGCGTGAGTCACTAACACCGAGGATACTAAGGAATTGAAATGCTCGAGAGAACTACGTAAGGGCGGGAGTCATCAAAGTCGAAAAGTTTATTAAGGAATTCAAGGGTCGATCAATTGAGAGCAGTCATAGGAGGGGTTTGTGGGGCCGATACCGGCATCACGTGACACGGAAGGTATGGGTGTTTGGTGGGGCACAACCCCCGGAGAGTACCAGAAGGGAAGAGCTCTACTGCACAGTACAATGCCAGGTCAGAAGTTTATGCGGTGTCAATTTGTTCCGAAAGAGAGCAAGAGAAGCGAAAGAGACCGCCAATAAGCATGATTGGCTGCGGATGGGCCACTATGGCCACGGGAAACTATTGAGCATCTCGGTCGAGATGTTTGTGAGCAAAGACAACTCTCCATACCTTAACGTGCTCCTTCTAGTAACTCCAGATCATTAAGCCGGGGTGCCGGGCTACCTGACTTCTCGAGGAGTCCCATGCCCGGTCATATCCAAGGTACCAACATCCATCCCGCATCCCGTCATCCGGGACTTGAGCTCCGCCGAACAGGATCGGGATGGCCGTAGCCGCAAAGGAGCGAAATGCCCGGCGGTCCGTCACACTCACCAAGTCCCGGCACGGCTTGTAGAAGTTGGGTAAAAGTAGGCTGGGCAGACACCAAAGTAAGGCAAGGTAACCCACCTCATTGTCACTGATGGTCTAATTAGCCACATCTCCTAAAAATAGGTTTGTGAATGCGGGCTAAACTTGACTGCATCCTGCATTCTTACTCTCCCACATTCTGCAATGGAGGGTTAAAAGATGGCAGCACGGTCGACCCTCTTGGTTCGCCTAGGTGGTTATTAGACGAGGGCGGGAAGGAAAAGTGACGGCACACGGGCCATGCCTTACTTAATGTTCCCTGTCATTACCTACTGTAATTATCCGCGTGGGCTGTAGCTCCCTCGCACCATCCATCTGCACAACAAGGACGATCGCTGACGGGGCTGACAGCTCTCTCAAAAAGGAAACTCGTCAAGATGAACTCATCAAGAAGAGAGCATCTTCACCCAAATTTGCCTCTGCTTTGCCGCCGCATCTCGAGATTACACGGCAGCTCTTCTCTCAATTGCATAACCAGGCTTAGCAAGCAATTTATCCCGCTTGTGTACCAGTACTTCGGTCAAGCTTACGGATCTGCGGACTACTTCTGCGATTCTCGGCTACTCAAGTGAAAGATGGCCAACGTGAGATTTTGGGCCCGGTAACAGCGGACAAGGGGGGCGAAGTTGCGAACAACGCTGCTACTCCGAGCACCTATATCACAAATGAGCACCTTACAGCCCAGCCTGCATACTTCATCACTCGACATATGAACCACCCTCACCGAAAACTAGGTATAGGCGAGTAGAGCAAACACACTTCCTCAAGCAGTTGAAGGACCCACCGTGAAGTTCATTAGTGCCCGAAGTCGTTGACCACGCCAGAAGGAAGTCAAAAATCAAGCTCATTGTCCGACTCCCTGTCAATGTCAGGAACAAGGGGAAAAACCCAGAAACTAAGAGACTCGGGTGACTCGAGCGAAAAGATACACCAAAAAAAAAAGGCCGCGCCATGCCACCTCGCCATAGCTATTGTGTTTGCTCATTCACCCACTTCTCCATCCCCCCGACTTCTGCTTACCGCCCACTCTGCATGTGGCTGGAAATCCATCACGCACTTTTGACCGTTGATTGGTCGCAGGCCGTTGCGCCAACGTGCAAGCATGCGGCATCCGGAGGCGGCTGCACCACTTGAGCCTATCACAACCGCAGTTGTCCGACAGGGGTGAGGCGGGCGGCAGCAAGGGTTCGAAGTTCGAACGTCGATTTGGGAGGAGTTGGCGCCGGTGGTTGATCAAGGACCCGTGGACGTGAGCAAGGGTGGCCGCAAGCCTCTCTCCTCTTTCCAAACTTCCGTCCAACCACATCTTTGTCCTCCCATTGCTACTTCACCTACCTCCTCTCAATTTGGATAGCCATGTCCAATCACGGGCCTTACGTGCATCGTCGAACCATGCGGATGCTACGACAAATGCCGCCAAGCTCCAGTGAGCCTTTGTCGAGGCGAGGAGGGCACGAGGGTCGTTAGAGAAGTGAGGAGGTATCTTGTCCTGTCTGTAAGCTGGAAAGGCCGGCATGCTGAGGAGGCCGGCTGGTCACTCTGGGAGATGGACGAGTGTGCATGCTCCGAGTCCTTGTCTCTCGCTCGCTCTATCTATCTCCTTCTCTTCCCCTCTCTTGAGAATGCCTATTTGGGGGTTGCTTTCAATATTCTATATTCGTCTGAGTGTTGAGAAATGCGCGCAACTCTTGGCTTGACAAATCTCCTCCTCGCAGTGCTTTCGTCTCCTCGGTCTTGTATCTTTCTGCCTCCGAGTAGGAAATCCGTCTCTGGTGTTGAACTGTTTTACACACTTCCATCATATCCCGATATATCCAGTAACCGCCGTCTCGTACAACAAGAAACTCACTACTATCAAGGTCTCCGCTCGGATCAGTGATCCGCGAGCTAGGAACTGGCGACTTTTAGAATACAGAGTGAGAGACAGAGTCTCGAAGCACCTGCCACCGAGCCAACCAAAGCTCGGCGCCACCTCGTCCACTCTCGTGGGCGTCTATTTCCATCACGACCGAATCGCCGGCCTGGAACTTCCGCCTCTCACCTATCAGAGCCCAGCTCAACCTTCGCGCCATCCTACCCTACCACGCTCCATGTAGGAATTCCCCCATTCCGCTTCGTCCCACTTACACCTTGCTGATCTGCCCGCCCCCATGCAGTACTGCTGCAGTGAGAGGGCCTCTGCCTTGGGTCCCTCATCTGTTCAAGGTTGCCGGCGCCAATTCAAAACTACCTGCTCCCCCGAGTGACCGAGTTGTTGGACCTCTTTTTTCTCCCTTCCGACAGCTGGTCTCTCCGAAATCTGATTCCTATCGTGCTTCATTCTTGCTTTGATCACCGAAATCTGTTGCATGTCCCGAAGTCGGTCTTACTGTTGGCGACCCAAAGTCTAAGGGGTGCCTTTCCTATATACTAGACACACTTCTCTTGCTGCCACCTCTTCGTCGTCCGGAACACAGTCACATAGCACAGCCATGGCTTCCCAAGGTATGTCTTTTGCCTAGGTTTGGTGATTTACTTCAACACTGAATGCTTACTTACACCTTTGTAACAGAAGATAGGAGGCGGCCTGCCGCCCTCAACCTCGCCCCGGCCCGATCAGCTTCTACAGACTCATCCTCCTCAGACTCATCACTCAAGCCCCCTCGCACTCCTCGCTTCGCAGAAGCAACATCAGTTCACTCTCCCGTCGACGGCGTACGGTCACCATTCGCCGACCCCGTCAGATCAGAAGTGCCTCAGTCCCAGCCTGGAGATATCGGATTCGGTTACATCAACAACAGCGGCGGTAACCGCGAGTCCGTCGCCGTCCCCATGACGCCCAGATCACCGCTCAAGAGCGCCATGAGGGTGCCCGGAACACCAGCGAGGAAAATTGTCGAGAACCCGCTCAGCCCGACTTTCCGCGAGGAGGACATCTTGGAGAAGCGTGAAGCGGCGACCGACAAGGAGCAAGCACGCGACTTGGTATGTGTGCTCTTAGTCTGTTAGAGACTACATGATGTTAACTTTGACGGTGCAGAAAATCAAGACTCGCGTCCGCATGGCAAAGTTCGCCCTTCGTGGCGTCAGCTTCAGCTGCAGTTTGATCATCATCTCCATGCTTGCCGCCTCTTTCCAAATCTTCAACGCTACCAAGCGTCTCCCTGCCCAAAGCGGTCTGCCATCATGGGCTGAAGGAACCGCCATCTGGCCCCAGGTCCTGGTTATCACTAGTAAGTCAATGCCTTGAGATCTGGTCTTTTGCCATTGCTAACATCCTTCGCAGTGTCTTCCATCTCCCTCGCTGTCTGCATCGGCGTCCTCCTCGCCTACTGCCGCGGCGGCCACCAACGTGCCGAAAAGGTAGCAACCTACTACACCCTCTTCGCCATCGGCTGGTTCATCCTCTCCATGGTCATGTGGGCCATCGCCGCCGGCCTCTTCCAGTCGAGCCGCAGCAACGGTGGCGGCAAGGACATGTGGGGCTGGTCGTGCAAGGAGAACAAGCGCGCCGAGGTCTTTGGCGAAAAGGTCGACTACGCTCTCATCTGCCGCCTCCAGAACTGGGCCCTCATCTGCATGGTCATCGAGATCGTCATCGACGTCATCTGCGTCCTGCTCTACAGCATCGTCTTTTACCGCTACTACACCAAGCGCCGCCTCCACAAGTCCATGGACATGCGCGACCGCGCCCGCTCCGACCTCTACCTCGCCCAGCTCCGCACCCAGTCCGCGCCCAATACCCCCGGCCTCAAGTCCCCAGGCCTCTACTCCCAGTACGCCCTGTCGCCCCGCCACCCGGACAAGACGTTCGAGAGCCTGTCCCGCATCGAGGAGGCCGGCGCCTCCCCCTTCACGCCCGGCACCCGCTTCGTCGAGCCCGAGTCCAGCTTCGGCAAGCCCAAGCCCGCCTTCCAGCTCCAGGCGCCCCCGACAAAGGCGCGCGCGGCGACCAAGCCCGGACAGGAGGCGTACACGCCCACGTCGCCCGAGGGTCCCGGCCCGGCGTTCCCCTTCCAGCAGCAGCAGCAGCAGTCATCTCACCAAGAGCAGCCCCAGCCTCAGCAACACGCCCCCATGGCCGCGGACGAGCCCGTCTACGACGCCGTGCCGATTCCCGGCGCCTACGCCGACGCGCCTGTCAAGAGCCCGCCGCCACACCAGTACTCCTTTGGCCAAGCAAGATAAAGAAGGCCAAAGAAGAAGAGCAAAAGGAGGGATGCTGAAAGGAAGAAACGGTGTGATGATCATGAGGACGAGTGAAAGAACGTTCGAAACGAAAGCAAAGAGTCTGTGTGTATGTGTTCCTGAAAGGAAGAGCTTTTTTTTATCCTTTTTGTATTCAGCTGAGCTGGCTCTTTTTTTTTTTTTTGAACAACCACAAGACACCACCCCTTGCGCCATTCTTCCTCTCTTTGATAGGATTTACTTTATATACCATTCTGGGCGTTGGGAAAGGGGGAAATCTCAAGAAACAGGGTCTAAAGACTTTGACCTTGTTGCAATTTTGGGACAGGGATATATTTTCGGTGGTTTTATAGCAGTAATTTCAACCCCAAAACAAAACTGTACAATTTGGAATCAGACCTTGACACTTCCCTTCGCTCTTTCATGTGACCTGTTGTTTGCTCTCTAGTCCATCTTCCTTCAAGTCATGGTTGTAAGTCACGGCGGAGACTGGTGATTCCCCCGGCCCCATTTTACCTACCAGGTCTTCCGTGCCCTCGGAGACCCTCATCCACCACAGACCCCACGACGACAAATTCCACAAACACAACCCGGTATGAACCACTTCGTCGCCGTTCACAGTCACCAATCTTCAAAAGCCTGCCCGGCTAGCTCAATCGGTAGAGCGTGAGACTCTTAATCTCAAGGTTGTGGGTTCGACCCGTAAGCGCCACTGCCTGTACCAAAGACACTACATCTGAACTTGATAACTAACATACACCAGCCACGTCGGGCTCAATTCCCGTCCGCGATTGACGCAACACATCTTTTTTTCCTTCTTTTTTGTAATTTTTACTTATTGAATTGGTTGTTGGCTCTCGATTCTCCTCATTTTCGCTGTGATTTTAGTCCTGGAGATAATTCTCTACTTTGATGTGGTTTGGTGTGTTGAGATTGTACTGGTGAAGGCTAATGATGAAGTATGAACTATGCCATCAGGTGTCATGGAGTATCAAACTCCTTTCAATCGATGTCACCATCGGGGTTTACTTATACACAGCATTCACTACCATCACTCGACCTTATGCGCCTCGTCCAGCACAATTATGGGGAATTGGACCCCAAATGTGTCCATCGTCTCGGCATAGAGTGGGAAACGGACTCGCCAAGGCCGCCGGTACTTGATTGGAAGGACGATATCCTTTGCTATACGCAGCTGTTTTTGCTATTATATTAGCAACTTGATTCTTGTTTTCGCCTTTCTCGGCTTCTTAGGATATATTATCAAACGAATATACAGGAAGTGAGGTAGAGAAACAGGTGAGAAATGGTTTTGCTACTTACATTAGTTAGGTATAACCTTAATCTCGAGACCGTCTTGCGCCTGTGGCAGAAAGAAGGCGTTGAGCTACTGTGCCACATACTCAACGGACCTCTACGAGGCGCAGTCCTAGGTGATGGAATGGGACTGGGCAAGACGTTGTATCACCCATTTTGTAAAGAAGCTAGAGGCTATGCCTATGAGTTCCTGCGCTAAGGTATGGATCCTTCATATATTCTCAGCGGGTCTCGGTTGTCAACCAACTATCACTGGATGAAAACATCCACACATCCCCGATAGTCTAGTGGTGAGGATATCTGCTTGTCATTGAATTTCAACGATTTTATGAGTTATCGTGAAGAAAGGGTGGCATTTGTGAAGTTTTTGTCATGGTTATGAGTCGTGAGAGTGAGTATCGCAGGATCGCGAAACTCACCTGCGCTAAGCCACAGGCAGCGTAGCGCGGTGGGGTACCAGTCTGGACCTTCCTTGTAAGAAAGGTAAGCACCACTGTACTTCGGAGGGCGTGCACCTCGGTTCTGGGTGCTTGGCAGGGCGTTTTCTCACATCGCCGTACTCCGTTGCTCTTGAAGCTAGACAATCATCTTATATGTTGAGCACCCAGAAAGCTCAATTGAGTCGTGTTTAAAGTTCAGCGGTATTCCTAACCTTCAAACTTTTGTGCTGCAAGCTTGACGGCAAATAATCAATCGAGGAAACAAGACGTTGATCAGTCCATTCACATTAAGACAACCAAGCAACCAGGGGCACGGCACAACACCGTCGTCTATCAAACATGATTGTCCCACGCTCATCTTGCCGCTTGGCAAGACAAGCTCTCTCGCAGCTGCAGCTTTCACGCCAAACTGTTGGTAGCAATGCGGCCCGTCGTCACATGAGCGCCGCCGCATACCAATCAGGCGGACTGAAGAATCTCCTGCGCGTTTCTGAAGAGGTTGCCGATGCCGTTGCCACAAACAAGCCCGTTGTGGCTCTGGAGTCAACGATCTACACACACGGCGCGCTGGGCAACGATCTCGGGCTGGAGGACATCGTCCGTCAGGGCGGCGGTGTCCCTGCTGTGTGTGGTATCCTGAACGGCGAGCCCATTGTTGGAATGACGGAGGCTGAGGTTGCCTTCATGGTCGATTCTGGCACAGCGGGCAAGGTGTCGAGAAGAGACGTTGCTCACCTCGTTGGCCTGGTAAGTCTCACTAGATAGAATTGCGCTGTTGTACAAGTTGATTCGTTACAAGATGTCTGATTTTCATGTTCCGCGCTTCAGTTCTAACACATCCCAGGGAATCACTGGAAAGAAGGTCCACGGCGGCACAACCATTGCCGGGACAATGCTCCTCTCAAGGCTAGCTGGCATCCGCATCTTCGGCACCGGCGGCCTAGGCGGCGTCCACCGCGGCGGTGAGACATCCCTCGACGTCTCCGCAGACCTCACGGAGCTCGGCCGCACGCGCGTGGCCGTCGTGAGCTCAGGCTGCAAGGGCTTCCTCGACATTCCGCGCACGCTCGAGTTCCTCGAGACGCACGGCGCCTTCGTCGCGACTTTCGCTGACGGCCGGACCGGCAACGTCGACTTCCCCGCCTTTTGGGCCCGCGAGAGCGGCACAAAGAGCCCTGCCGTCGTTCAGACCGAGCGCGAGGCCGCCGCCATGATCCTCGCGCAGGAGAGTCTGGGCATCGAGTCCGGTATGCTGTTCGCCAACCCCATCCCCGAGGAGTACGGCATCCCGCGCGCGGAGATGGACGCCGTCATCGAGACGGCGGTTACGGAAGCCATTGAGAAGGGCTTCACGGGTGCCAAGAACACGCCCTATGTCCTCGGCAGGATCAGACAGTTGACGGAGGAGCGAAGCACGCTGGCCAACAAGGCGTTGGTTAGGTCTAACGTGGCGCGGGCTACCAAGATCTCGGTGGAGCTCTCGAAACTCTTGACAGAGGGCGTTTCGAAATCGTAAGTGTTGACTTTGTTGTATATAGCTCGGCCGGGGACTTCAACTCTGACTGTGTAGATAGTTCTTCGAGCACACATGTTTCTGGTTACGATATTGCCCCTAAACCTGCAGTCAAAGTGGAAGAGCCCAAGTCCAGCAAGGCCGATGTTCTCGTGGCAGGCTCCGTGGCGATTGACCTAAGCTGCGACTATCATCCTATCGGTGACAAGAAGGAGGTCGCGCCTCACATGCAAACCTCGAACCCTGCTTGTATCAACCAGTCTATCGGCGGCGTTGGTCACAACGTCGCCCTCGCCGCCCACAGAGTAAGCAAAGACACAACAGTACGCCTGTGTAGCTTGATCGGTGACGACGTGTAAGTTCGCCTCCCCTTTTGCGCCTGTCACTGTGTCCTAAACCAAAGCAAATAGCGCCGGCGCAACCGTCCTGTCCTCCCTCAAGGCCTCGGGCCTCGAGACAACCTACATCCGCCAGCTCACCTCCGAGTACCACGTCGCGAACCGCACGGCGCAGTACGTCGCCGTCAACGACGCCGAAAAGAACCTCATCATGGCCATGGCCGACATGGGCATCTTTGCCAACCACTCCTTCCCAGACTACTGGAAGTCCGCCGTCGCGGGCGCCAAGCCGGCGTGGCTCGTCGTCGACGGAAACTGGAGCCCCAAGGACGTCCGGGCATGGATCGACGCCGGGCGCGAGCAAGGATGCAAGGTCGCCTTTGAGCCCGTCTCGACGGCCAAGTCCATCGGTCTGTTCCCCAAGGAGCACCCGCACCTCGGCGTCTTTCCCAGCCCCGGCATTGATATCGCGTCGCCCAACAACTTTGAGCTCAACGCCATGTACAGCGCGGCCAAGGAGAACGGCTTCTTTGATACGCCTGAATGGTTCGAGGTCATTGACGCCTTCAACATGCGCGGTGCCCGGGACCGCTTCGTGGCTCTGACGTCCAAGGAGATGACGGACGCGGGCATCCCCGTACAGACGGTCCACCTCTTGCCGTACATCCCTACGCTGGTCACGAAGCTGGGATCCAAGGGTGTTCTCCTGACTACGATTTTGGGCAAGAACGATCCTAGACTCAAGGACAGAAACGAGGAGAAGTGGCTGCTCACGAGGGGGTACGTCGATCATCCCACCGTCGGCGGCGTCTACATGCGGCTGTTCCCGCCTGCCGAGAGGGTCGCCCTCGACGAGATTGTGTCTGTCAATGGTGTTGGTGATACGTTCTTGGGAGTCCTGATCGCTGGCCTGTCTAAGGGAGGCAAGGTGGAGGACTTGATTGACGTCGCGCAGAAGGCGGCGGTCATGACGCTCAAGAGCCACGAGAGTGTGAGCCCCGATTTGGAGAGGCTGGATGGGGCCCTGAAAGCTTCTGTGAGGAGTTAAGAGAACATCGTGAGGTTACCCATGTAGAATAGAAAAGCTGGCGGCGTTCAGTGAAACTTGAATTTGAACCTAGTTCATTATACCTACCGTCCGTACTACGTGCTTTTATTTGTGATACTAAATTCACTAGAGACGAGCGACCCTGACGATCAAAAAAATCTCTGTATGGGATCTACCTCAACTTTGATAGACTGCTAGGGTGCTTAAAGGGGCCGATGGCCAAAATCTCAACGGGGAAATCAAACACCTTTGGGAACGTAGTATAACCTGCTGCTGATTTTGGTAGGATACGAAGGCTCTGGAGACTTAACTGCCAGGAACACTCACTACGAACCTTGATAAGCCGGGAGCTGGGGATCGGATTGGAAGGTACCTGTTGTGGATGACGAGCTGCGGAATCCAGTGGGATATAAAGGCCCTCGACACCTGGCTGTCAAGAACTCTCACTACGAGTCCGCAGTGATCCGGTTCCAGGTCCGATCGAGTGACAGGTGAGGGCGGCGTTGCTGACTTCGTATCATCTTCCTTTCTTAGTGTCGTTATGCTTTCCACCATACTAAACATATTCTCCCATCGCATTATTCGTTCCTTATAACGCTATCTACCATCGCCGGAAGTCATCACTTCTTTTATGGCTTACATTCAGCACCACCACGAGGTCCAGGCGTGGGAAAAGATGTGCGACAAGATGGGCACCCCTGATATTCTCAACCTCATGTCTGGCCGAATACCACAACCTCCACATTCATCCATGCCAGCAGATAGCGCAGATAGCTACCTAACAATATATGACCGACAAGCAAGTATTCTCCTTCATATGCCCATAGCCTCAAACATCCCCGGCAATGATAAGAGACCGAGCACCAAGCTCTTTCCTTCCTCATCCATCCATACCAGCAAACATCCACGATATCAATACGAGACCGAGAGGCAACTTCTCTTCTTTCTCATCCCCCTAAAGAGATATACCAATCATTACACGTCCGTTCAGAAAACCTTGAGACTTTTGCCACGTCTCATGTTTGAATCAGGAGTTGTCCTGGACCGATTTTCTCAACATGGCGTTAACGCCTAGTTTGTCGGTTGGCATGTTTCCGTCTGTGCCGGGAATCGGGACGAAAACAACTTTGTCTCTATGGTTCTCCAATAAGAATCGTCGCCATGAAAAGTTCATGATATCCTCAACCGTTGTTGGCCACTTGCCATACTTGATTCCGCCCCTTGAAATCGGCATTCGTGGAGGGATGTCTTCTACACGCATCAAGTGTCCTATGCCCGTCTTGACGATGTGTTCCTGTAGCTCTGGAATAGTTGACGGACCGCCGAGGAGGATGTTGGGGTGACCTGGAACCGGAATGGATTCCTCCAGTTCTTGTAGGTCCTCGCACTGCCACAGCCTTGCTTTCTGTTGCTCGCCAATGGTCTCGTCCGCGACGCAGTCGGGGAATACCTGGTCTGGGAGTTTGGGCTTCTCGTCCTCGAGGAGTATCTCCAGTGCATGTCTGACGATTTCGTGGTACGGGACCTCAGAGGCTTGCTCGCCATGGTCAACGTCTTGGTCGTTTTGCTCCACGAGGTTTGTCGTCCCATCGGTAGCAAAGAGCTCTTCGGCGTCGGGTTTCGGTACATTCTCCTCTTCTTCGGCCATGTCAATGTCAGGGTCAGCCCCTTCATCCTCATTAGATGGTGCAGTGGTTCCTTGTCCTTCTGTCGCCAGGGACCCACGAGCTCGATCAATGAGCTCTCGACTGAAACGATCCATGCGGCGAACGATATCCTTCTTGCGCTGATTCATATCAGCTGTCGTCATCTTGTCACTGTATTCCGTCTGGATCTGCTCAGTTGCAGTCTTCAGAGCGATTCGACGCAAGCACCGTTTCCGGTTCTTCTGCTCGCGATCGCTCTCTCTGGGGTATACATCGTCTTCAGAGAGAAGCCTCCTGTACAGGCCATCCGCCGCTGGGTAAAGAACCTTGGAAATAGTCTCCTGATCCGTGCGGAAAACAGTCGGTGTGCCATCTTGTCCGTGTATCGCTACCTAGAGGTGGCCATGAACTTTTTGGTTGCTGGAAGTCTAAACGTGTGGGAAAAGACTGGGAAGAGGAGCGACTGACGTGGGATGAGATGGAAGAGGATGGGCGGGCAGGTGGCTCATAGCTCAAGCGGAATGCACTGGGATAGACAGAGAATAAAAGAATAAGGAACGGCTTGCATTCTTGCCCCTTTCGTGACTTGGACTCAACGTACCCAAAGTACCTCCCTCGACAAGACAGGTGCCACAGACAGGCCACAGACTTACTCTTCGTGCTAGAAACACCAATGTGCCAGGGGGGTTGTATGATGAAGTCCTCGCCACTAGGTAGTTTATCAGAAAGGACAGTTGATTGACGACTAAGACCCGTTGAGGGCAAGTAAATGATGTACGAGTTATTGCAGAATCGCGTAAATCGAGTCTGTTCCTCGCATTCCTTCAGTATAGCGTAAAGACTTGATTCCCTTTTAGCTATATCACGGTAAAAAGCCTCCGCACCGACTATAACAATTGAGATTCGAGACTGAAGCTGCGAGTCAAATGCTGCTAGTTGTGCGATTTGACCATTTTACAATCAAGGTGTTTAACGCAAGTTGAAGACTCACGACGTTCAAAACGACATCCGAATACTATCAGCTGTTGCATGTCTGAGTATCAAGATGAGGATCAGAAGCAAGTAAAACATAGCTGTCTCAAGCAGCAAGAAATGACAAGAGAAGAAGCATAGTAAGGGCGACTATCTTAATGGAAGACAGATGGTGAGAAAACTGGTAACACATTTCTCGTTTTCAATGAAGAAATTGATTTTGGTTAAGAGTTGACGAAGATTCGTGCTCATCCAGTGGATTTCACCATATAATCAGTCTGTTCAGCCCAATAACTGTATTAGACTGAGATATTCTGGATTGAAATCGAAAGCATCAGTGTCGTTTGAGAGCTGGTTGAGTCGATGCACAGAGGTCCCAATCTCGCTTTGGAGGGGTTCCAGATGCCCCGCAATCGAGCCTTGTCACGTATACAATTCCATTGGTTGATCCAGATCTTAGCGCCTTCAACTAAACCAATCAAGTCCTCCATGTCTTTGCAAGGCTGAAAGCTCCATTAAAAAATTTCTGGACGTCCTCTGCAAGCCGCCCGTCCAATCCCACCTCGATTCGCTGGTGCGCCCACGACCAAACGAGACAAGAAAATCACCACCAACCGGCGACAATGGCAAAAGAGCAACCATTTGAGCAATTCTCCGACGAGGAGGAGGTCACCTCTTCCGAGGAATCAGAACTCGAGGAGGGAGTTCCCCGCCAGCGCAAACCGAAGCCCGTGTTCGACGAGAAGGATTCCGACGAAGAAGAGCTCGAGAAGCTGGTCCTGGGAGGCAAGGCTGATTTCCGCGAACAGCTCTTCCGCAACGATGTGCTCGGCGATATCGAACGACTCGAGAGAGAGAAGAATCTCCAGCTCACCAAGCCGGACGACGAGCCCACACTAGAGGAAGTTGCCGATCACGACCTCTTCTTCCTCGACACCGGAGTCTCTGGGGCCAAAGGCGGCGCAAAGGCGGGCAGCAAGCAAGAAACAGCGGCCGTTGACGAGAACGCGCCCGCGTGGGAGGACAGCGACGACGAGCGATTGACCGTTTCCCTGGCGACCGCGACGAGGTTACGAAAGCTGCGCCTCACCGAGGCCGAGGACGTGGTCAGCGGCGCCGAGTACAGCAGAAGACTGAGACAGCAATTCGTCCGCCTGAACCCCCTCCCGAAATGGGCGCAAGAGCCGTTGTCCGAGGGCCGGCCCGCAAAGAGGAGAAGACGCTCATCCGCCGCCGCCTCCGACTCCTCCATCAGCTCCGACGAAGAAGACAGCGCCGAGGACCTCTCCGCGGCGCCCCTCGAGAAATTCATGCGCGACGTCCACCGCCTCGCCGGCCGCGGCGCCGCAAACGGCGGCAAAGCCCGCCTCCGGCCCGAGGTCATTGACATCCAGCGCACGCGCGAGATCCCCGACACTCACAAGGCCGCCGTCAACAACCTCTCCTTCCACCCGCGATACCCCGTCCTCCTCTCCTCGAGCGTCTCCTCGGTGCTCTACCTGCACCACCTCAACCCGACGGCCCACCCGACGCCGAACCCGATGCTCACATCGGTGCAGGCCAAGGGCGTCGACGTCCGCCGCGCAGAGTTCCTCTACCCCTCGGGCGACCAAATCTTCTTCGCGGGACGGCGCAAGTTCTTCCACAGCTGGGACCTGCAGACGGGCCACGTGCAAAAGACGTCGCAGATCCAGGGCCACAGGCTCGAGCACAAGACCATGGAGCGCTTCAAGCTCAGCCCCTGCGGGCGGTACATGGGCCTCGTGGCGTCGACGAAAAAGGGCGGCGGCATCATCAACATCGTCAGCACCGAGTCGAGGCAGTGGATCGCGGCCGCCAGGCTGGACAGCCGGCACGGCATCGCCGATTTCGCGTGGTGGAGCAACGGCGAGGGCCTGTCGATCCTCGGCAGGGACGGCTCCGTCGGCGAGTACAGCGTCGCCGAGAAGCGGTTCCTGTCCGTGTGGCACGACGACGGCTGCGTGGGCGGCATCGTCATCGCGCTGGGCGGGCATCAAGGGCCCGAACTCCTCGGCGACGACAGGTGGGTGGCCGTCGGCTCCAGCAGCGGCATCACCAACATCTACGACCGCCACACGCTCGTCAAGACGTCGTCCAAGGCCGGCGAGGTCGACGTCGAGCAGCGGCCCGAGCCGACGCGCACGTTTGAGCAGCTCGTCACGCCCATCACGGTGTTGACCTTCTCCCCCGACGGCCAGCTGATGGCATTCGGCAGCACAGAGACCAAGGACGCGCTGCGCCTGGTTCACCTCCCTAGCTGCACCGTCTACAGGAACTGGCCCACGGAACAGACGCCCCTGGGTAGGATCACGAGTGTTGCGTTTGGGCGGAGCAGCGAGCTCCTCGCGGTTGGTAACGATACAGGCAAGATTAGAATGTGGGAGATTAGGAGTTAAAGAGGGTTATTAAAAAAAATCGGTGGCTTTGTTTGTATTGAAGGTTTTCTCATCTGGCGTGAGGGCCTGTCTTAATTCCATCTTCCTGCATTGAACCGGGCCATCCTCTGTGCTCTTATTATGCCGCCCCATCACCTCACCTCTCATCCCAGACTGCCCAAGCATCAAAATCTCATCTTGCGTCGTAGGGAGCGGAGCGGATCGCCCTTGGGAAGCTCTTTGCTAGACATGAACATCTTGTTCTTGCGGCAATATCTTCCAAGCTGTGAGGGACTCTTGAAGAACTCGACGTCGTTAGGCCGGTTGTCGACGCTGAGGAACTGCTTGATGCTGACGTTGACCGTCCTCAGGGCCTTTATACGAGGTTCACCATGTCAGCCGATAATCTCCATCACACGGTGTGTTCTGAGTTGCTGGCACTCACCTTTCGGCATTGGGTCTTGGTAGGCAAGTCTGTGTCCAGACCCAGATCACCACAGAGACGCTGCCAGTCAGCCAGCTCTCTCTTGCCAAAGTACTCCTCCCAGCGCGCGACGAGGTTCGTCTGGAGGTTCGCCGCCTCCTTCTGGGTCAGCTTCCTGTCCATATTTGGTGCGCTGGTCTCGCCATTCGCCTTCGTCTCATTGGGATCGACGCTCTTGGGGTTCTTGAGGTCATCCAACGCCTCCTTCAGCTCAACACAATCCAGAATCGCATCATCATTCTGCTCATGGCCGTTGTGGTTGCTGCCGTCGACGACATCCTCCCTCTTGATATTCAACTGGATCATCATCTCCTCAATGTCGTGAAGATCGGCGCCTCCTCCGTTGTTGCCATTCTCATTCTCCTCACCCTCCCCCTCCCCCTCCTTCTTGATGTTGAGCTCGCCCATCGTCTTCTCCACGTCCTGCAGCTTGGCGCCTCCTTCCTCAGCGGCCCTCTCCCAGGCCTTGCGGGCGGCGCTCTTGGTTCTGCGAGTCATTGTTCGGGAAGGACGGTACTGAGGCGGATATGAATGAGAGGCGAATATTGTCTGCGGGGTGAGATGTGCTTAACTCAAATGAGCATGAGTATGAGCATGAGTCGATGCCGATGCCGATGTGACCAAAAGCGGCTTGCGAAGGTGCTCCGTTTGGCCCTCCCTTTCTTCCGGCTAAGAGGCGTTGGCTTGATGAGGGGGAGTTATGGTCGCACCAACCCGTTGCGGAAGGATGGTGATTGCAAAGGTGAGCGAAACGGCGAAGTGGAAAAAGGAAGACACTGAATAGATGGAGGCAGCTGTTTATTTCATCGTGTATTCAGGGGAATGTTAATAAGCCATGAACATCGCGTCTCAACTTTAGAAAGCCAATTTGGCATCCGGCTTATTCCATGGACCCTGAACAGCGGCTTGGAATTATTCCCAGGGGCCTTATCACAAACCATGATCCCAGTCACATTAATTACAACAACAAACTCAAACATACTCAATCCTAGAGAAAGCAAGAAAATGAACAGGGCAATTATGTTAATATGTGCGTCAAGAGAAGGATTCGAGTAGACATTCCAACCTACGTCGGTGAGGATTTCTATACCACGTGGTTGAGCAGGGTCGACAACCTAAGTTAAGCTGTCTAGAAACGCGATCGAGGTACATCATGTGAGACAGATTGAAAGACATGCCAATTTCAGAGCAGCCTCGAGACAACAGTACCCCGGGGGAATAAGTGTATGCCACGCGGGTTTGTTTGTCTACCCTTGCCACGAGTCTCGAGCTTTTTACCATTGCATTTGCGACTGTTGGTGAGCGGCGGCATGGCGAGCCCGCACCCAGGGGCGGTGAAAGCAACATGTGGGAAACAAACGGCTCAGCTCAAGTAGAAGTCTCAAACGGACAAGGTTGACCTTAATCAGGACAGTGTCAAGGAGCATAAACACCAGATCTGTCACAATCAAATCTGTAAGATAGTGTAGTTCATACCGGTTTCTAGATTTCGTGCTTTTGAATGTCTAATTCTAGCAACAGCGACGTAGTCATCGCTGTTGTTCAGGCAAAATGAGCCCGTTATGCATCGCTTGCGCGCTTGCGATGAATCCGCTGTATCAAAACAAAGTACCCCCAAACGCCAATCCATGCCAACAACCGGATCTCTGTCCGGGTGGCCGCTGGACCCAGCCTCCGTGCCGCCGTCCAATTCCCCCCCAGGTCATCATATCATCATTTTTAAAATCCTCCTCTTGAGTTTAACCTTTTCTCCGTCCCAGGAACCCGTTTAAAACGCATAAGCGTTGCCCAGCCCCAAGACACCTGCACCTCCAATTCCCCTGCTCTCGCTGTTCCTTCGACTGTTGCCAGGGACAAGGACCATACCCCTGTCGTTCTCGAGTGCCAATAAAACGTGTGATGGTCGTCGTTCCAACTTCCCCTGACTCTGTAAGGCTCTGATACCGACCAAAGCACCACGAAGACCGATGTCGAGACGACGCGGCTCTTGGAGGCCAAAGAACCCGGCAGTTGGCGATGAAAATTGACGCTTGTGACCGAACGATCCGCCGAAGGATGCGTAACTCGAGCTAGGACGGGCAAACAATGGCCGAGGAATAGACATCTTGCGCATGTGACCGAAGTAGCTGTCGCTCGAGTCGTCGAAGTGATATGATCTTCTCTGCGGCGACCAATGCGAGAGAGACATCGTTTCGTCGTGAACGGTGGCATCGGCGGCGAATTCGGGGAACGGTACAGTAGGCTCTGAAGGTTCTGAGTAGTCCGAGTCCTCAGTTTCAGTCATCAACGGCGGGGTAGATGGTTCACGAGCTTCCTCTTTGTCGCTGAACGAGGGCGCCGAGTCCGATATCGGCGTGCGAGGGGCTTCGTCCGAGACGGACTGGGCCTCGGTCAGGACTAGAGGCCGTGAATCTCTGTGTATCTGCTCCGAAGATTCAAGAGCCGGTTCGGCAAGTTCCAAGGGAACCGCGGACGGCTCAGCAGCTTCGGGGGTAGGAAGAACGTCGGGGACAGCGGGTTCATTCGTTTCAGTGGCGGAGGAGTCCTCGGCAACTTTGGGAGAAGAATCCTCAGTTGCTTTGGATACATGAGGCAGCTCAATTGCCTCGGGAATGTGTGGGGCAGAGATGGGTTCGGTCGTGTCAGTGGAAGACGTACAAGAATCGACTTTGATAGTCGAAGCTAAAGTGGATGTCACATCCTCAAACAGAGAACCTGACTCCATCACCTCAACAGCTGGTGGCAGAGCTCCTTTCTCGAGATCAAGAGAAGGCGAAGCTGAATCAACCCGATTAGGTGACGCCGTCGCCGAGTCAAGTATGAGAGGAAAGAGAGGCCCATTGTCGAAGTTGACGGGAGAGTTCAGTCCAGTCTCCGTTGCGGTTGCAAAGCTTGAAGGGCTCGACATGACGGCCAAGGCAGATGTAGAGTCTGCATCATGAAACTCGGCATCAGAGTCGTCCTCGTCCTCCTCGTCCTCCTCAACAATGGTTTCAATAGAGTACTCTAAGAAGCCTTCGAAGGATCGGGGAGGTGTGGAAGGTCTAGCGCGTGGTACGTCTGGGGTGATAACGATCACTGGCTGTTGACTTATCGACTCTTCGACCTTTTGGACTTCGGGTTCAAGCGGTGCTTCCGGTTCCGGCTCAGCCGATTGTTCGTCGGTATCGACCGGTTCGCAGCAGTATTCGAGCCAACCCTCAAGAGCAGGCTCTTCGGACGGCTGTTCAACCTTCGCGGCAGGTGATACCGGCAAACAGGCGACCGCAGACTCGACCTCGGGCTCCGACCCCGCAACTTCATCGACCTGGACGACCACATCCTCTGAATCCGGCGAAGGCGACGGTTCCGAGTCGGTGAGTGACCGCTGCTCGGAACCAGAGTCGGTCGATACCAGAGATTGTCTGGAAACAGACCGACTGCCTTTGCCCATCAGGCTGAACTGTCGTGGGCCGTTGAAGCGCTGCATCGTCGGTGTCGGCGGCCCTGCTAGTGAGTCGTCGACAAGCTCGCTATCGGAGGTTTCTGAACCGGCAATGTTCGGGTCTGCGTCAAAGTGTTGAGGGGTCCCCGAGAGCGTTCGCATAAAGGTGGGTGTAATCAAAAGGCTGTCGTGGGGCGTGCCAATGGTATCGTCGGCAAGGCTTGGAGTAGACGACGAGGATGGATATGTAGTCTCCCCGTCTTCGGTCATCGAGAAGGACAGACTGCTTCGGCTGCAGTCGAGCTGATCTTTGAACGCAATTGCTTTGGCCGGAGTTTCAGGCTGTTGCGAGGGCCCCACGGTATCATTGACGCTTTCGGCCATCGTTTCAACCCCACTGCTATTCTGAAGCGTTTCATCTTCGAGGATCGAAGGTTCGGACGACTCATTGAAGCTGCCATCGAAAGAGTCCGGCACGACCCCATTAGGCGTCGGGATCGGGAGCGGGCTACTAGATGATAAAGCTCCCATCTCTGCAGGGTCATTCGCTGCAGGGACAGGCCGCTCGACAACGCGAATATTCTGTGGCTCAGAATCGTAGAGAGCGCACGTGTCTTTCACCACCAAGGAAACGTCGGACTGAATTCGGCTCTTGAGTTTAGACACGAAATTATCCTTCGCAGTCTCAGGATCTTCGTCTTGGCGCTGTCCCGTCGCGTAGTACGGCGAACGGGCCACGAGAGTCTTGTCCAAAACTAGGTGGCCACGCTTGTGAACCATGAGAGTGATACTCATATCGTTGCCTCCGAGAATATCCGCAACGCCAGTCTGCACTCTGTCCAAGATGGCTTTGACTGTTCTCCGGGAATAACAGGCAGTCGAGTCGAGGCAGACGGCAAATGGCTTTTCGGTTTTCCAGCCGCGCCCGGACAGCTCATAGACTGTGACTCTGAGGTCATCCATCTCGTTCAGCTCTTTGTCAGTATCGTCTCGCACCGCTTCGAAGGCATGTTGGACCTGGTTCAAAAATTGCTCGCAGTCGAGACAGTCGGGGTGTTCGAAGAGGAGCAGGTTGCTATCAAGCTCGCGACGTAGGTGCCTATGGTCCAGTCCAAGTTGGTTCCGTATTTGGAATCCGACGTGAACGGCGTTTTGCTCAGAGTGGTGAGACTCATCCAGGAAGTCGAATCTGTCACGAGATTGGCGATGATGCCTATCAAACGCCATTTTCCTAGCATCCAAGGCACGCTGCATCGCTGTTGACAAAACCCATGCCATATCTTCTCCATGGGACAGGGTCAGTGGGGAGCTCTGCATGCTCTTCAGCGTAATGGCACGTTGCCATTCTCTTTGCCTGCGTGACTTGCATCGACTCCGGAAGGACAGGGTGATCTCGTAGCCGGGAACGAATTCCCAATCTTGGATAGCGTCAATGAAACGCGATTGGGGGACGTGAAGGAGGGAGACGGGGTTGCTCAAAGGTTTGAGGATTTCCAGCTCGCTAGAGGACCGCTCACGTGTCCTACCATGCGTCCATCTGAAAGTCTTGTCGTGAAGCTTCATAAAGGATCCGATGATGCGGTCTGTTGAGCGAGCAATCTCCATGGCAGATGGCTTGTCCATGGGGTACTTCTGGTACGATCTAAACGTCTTCGTAGCCCATGGCTCCGGGCCTCCACAGTAGATCTGGTAGGTTAACTCAAATCGAAGCGGCTTCCCTTCGCCGATCTGCGGGATAGTCCGCTCGAGGGCGGTTGAATCTCTGCGGGTGAGAAGCTCATGAGAGCAGTGGGTTAAGCGGCGTATAAGGGCTTGACATAGTTGATCCGTCGGTTCGAATCCGTATGATGACTGATATTGTCGTTCGTAGGTAAGATCCAAAGACGGCTGAAACTTGATGCAGACTCGGACAGCCAAGCCAGCAGGCGAGGGGGTGTTGAATTTGGGGTCGTTGAGACCAGTTGCGGTTCGAGGCCGCCCCGGGCTTGAAAGAAGAAACCTCCTCTGGAAGCCCGAGGCGCCAGAATGCGACGTTGAAGGACGTACGAGATCAGACTCGGCCATGTCCGTCTAAAGTTGTTAAGGTGAGAGCAGCGCCAATGGCCATTCGGTTGGTAGTGTTGGAAAAAAGGGAGTTTGAATCTCAGTTCCCACCAGACTCAAACCGAACCCGTCAGATGGTGTCCGGGGGAGGGACAACGGGGGGTTTTTAAAAAGCGGTTTCGACGGGGGAAGAGACAAAGTAAGGTAGCACTGGCTGGCCCTAATGCAAGCAGTCTCCATCAAGCCGTCCATAAGAAGGACGGCAGCACCCAGAGAGGAAAGGTTGCTTGGGACCAAAGAAAGAGGAACCAAGAAAAGTGACGAAAACGGGTAGGGAGAAGCACGAGAAGGAAGCGCAGGCGCTGCAGAAGCAAGAAAGCCAGAAGCAAACCAGCAAGAGGCACCAACAGCGCGGGCGGGTCACGCGAGGGATATGTATGAGATGTTATGGCTACGATTGTGGTGCGGTTCTGACGCGCCGATGCGAGAGGTTGGGCGACCCATGGCATGATACGCCCAGCGCAGCTTATTACAGGGGAAGCCTAGCCAACCGGAAGAGCCTCTGCGCAGGAAGCTTTTCTTTGCAGGACAACCTCAAATTACTCTTTGGGTAGTCCGCTGCTCCGGGTGCCTTTCCCAACTTGGTCTGTCAGTCAGGGTCGTGGTGGTGTGGCCATGTTTGTTTCTGGAGTATCCGTAAGATAAGGCTGATCATGGCTGATGCTGATGAACTGACAGTGAGACAGTGGGACAGTGGGAGCGGGAAGCAGAGAAACCACAGAAGGAATCCATCCATCCATCCATCCATCCATCCTTAATTCCATTTGGGTTGTGGTGAAGTACATACGGACAGGCGAGGTGATTGTCAATGCTACCCGTACCCGCATTGCCGGAGAAGAAAGCAATAAGTGTAATTCACTCAATGCTCGGTCGGATTGCCATGGTGATTTCCCACGGGCGGCTGCATTGTTGTAGCGTCGTAGCGAATGACGGCAAGACAACACAACAAGACAACAACACCTCAAAATCCACCATCCATATCCGCTTTCTTCGTTTCCTCGGATGCCACCCGCGCGAAACACAACATCGCAAGCTCAGCAACAGCCCAAATGAGTCAGCGACAGCGCAAGCAAGCAGCCTCAAAAAGATAATAGAAGAGGCTGTTGGTCGCCCGAAATGTGCCGCTTGGCTGTGGGCTCTTCACTGCTGCTCCTCTTCGCTGCATGCTGTGCCTTGAATTGCGCTGTCTTGACCTGTTTCTGAGGCTGGCATGTGCATAGTCTCCTGCCTCATCCAACGCATGGAAATGGAGTCCACGCTTGACATAAACACAAGGGTGAAGCGAAAGCAGGTGGGGATGAGCGGACTCCGTACCCCTTCCGGCTACGATTTCTGCAGGCGGTCGTCGGCGTCAGCGACTCAGCAGGTCCATCGACGACTCAGCGCTCGCGTGTCCGTAATAACTCAAGGATTCAGATATCAGGCAATTGGGCAGACCCGACTCGGGGGATGCGGGCCTTGCAAACTGTCGTATGTACAGCACACACGCAGTCTGCAGAAGGCTGGATGCTCCGGGCTGGGCGCCATGGGCTGAACCTGGGCGTCGGGAACTCTCGCTAACGCGCCTGAAGAGACCCGAATCCGTCACCAGATCCTGTCATGATCTCCGTCCAAACCAAGCTGCCAGATGCCGTTCAAGGGTGAGGCGTGGGAGAGGAGAATTGCGGCACAGATCGGAGAGGGGCGGGCTCACGGGGATCACTTCTGGTGCCAGTTGCTGCTCCCCCCCTCCGGCCCCCGGTTCACCGTTCGAGATTGGAGGAGCTTGGGAATCGTGGATATCTCCAAAACGACTAACTGGACCGGGCTGGTTTGCATGACGACAGTCGGACCCGGGCGCGCCCGTTCTGACCGCTGCTAGATCCAGCCGTCCGTTCAAGACATGTGCCGGAGGTGGTTCAAGAAACCCAAGGGCAACCAAAGGACTAAACCTCTTTCCGCCGGACGGCAACGCTTGGAGTCGACCCCATAATAGCATGCCGCCATGCCTACCAGCCAATAGTGACTATTGCATGACTATCAAGACTCGAAAGGTCAACACCGCATCGATCTCTGCGCCCAGTCAACGTCCCGCATTACATAAGTAGGAGATCCGCATATTCAAGAACCCGAAAAAGGACCCCAGAATGTCAAGGGTCGACCAGAATCCATGTCCAAAACCCACCGACTAACACCATGTCGATGTCGTGGTCTTGCGTCTTGCCCACTCCGATGGGACAATCCACCCATAGTGGGAACCGTGGATACTCTCCTGCGACCACTCAAAGAATTGAGAAAGAGAAAAAAATGCTCGTCACTTGCAGGCCCGAGTCCTTCTGCGCGTGAAATTTGGCGTCATGGCGCCAGCCACGCGCCTTTTCCGCCCGCCGTCTGTCTTTGGAGTCTGCCGCTACTGGCTCCTTACCGCTCCGAGACCGAGGGTCTTTGTTCAAGCCGGATGTCCCGCTGCCGGAGAGGCATGTGGCCGCCGCTTGTCTCAATGACTCTCACAGTCGTCTAGAATGTATGGTCGGTATACGTCGTCGTGCCATCTTGGCAGGTAATGGGCGTCATGGAATGCATCCAGACGTGGTCCAATGCAAAGTCTCAGGGTCCCCCCCCCCCCATTCTGCTTCTTCGGTCCCCTCGGCGTCGCTGTTGCAAAAAGGCCCTCTGTAACTATGTTCGATCTGCCAGATGCTAGTGCAAATTCTCTGACTCGGGTGAATTGGACGGATGATGGCCCGTTTGAAGTCGTGGGCAGCTTCGAGACTCCGCCGATGCACAGAAGAGTTCGTCTCGATCGAGCAGCAGATGATGCATCGAAGCCAGGGCCCGAGCTCAAGGCTGTTCGGGATCCTGAAGTGATTCGGCCATCATCCTGGGGTAGTTGACGCCGTGGCGTCGTTGGCCACTACCAATCGTAGAGTACCTAGTCTTGTCACGGCCCGCAAACGGTTCCCACGCTGCTGAACCTTCAATGTCTTCAGGTGAGCCGCGGTCGTCATCGATGGCCAATCTCGAACCGTCTCTGCGCGGGTGACCCTTGAAACGGCGGGACTTGGACCCTGTCAGTGTGCCAAGCATTCTCCTATCGAACAAGCTCACTTGACTTGCACTGACAATTGAGATTGAGCCCGTAGCCATCGTTTCTGTTGCGTAGAGACACGGTGATAACGAGGCAAGCTTGCCGGCAGGCTTAACGGAGGAGTCGTGACTTTACTTGGTTTCTGCTCTCTAAATCCGAGAGACTGTACAGGCCGGTGGCTGGACCACAAGCAATCCTTTCCTCTGCAGTCGCGAGCAAGTGGCAGAACGATGCCGGGCTATTAATTATTAGAGATCGGAGACGTGACTAGTACTTGGCGCTAAAGTTACCTACTTGACGAAGTCAGTGCCGGTCGTCTTGCTCGTTTCGATTCTTCCCTGACGACTCATTCGATGCTGTATTCTCTGAAGGTGAAAACATGCCGTGCGAGCTCTGAAAGACCTAATATAGTGGGAACTTGATCGCTCGTAATGTTCTAGGACGATCTGGAAGTACACGTTAAATGAGGCCCATACCTGTTGAAGACGAGTTTTGCCCTCTAGGCAGATTAATGTTAAGTTGCTTTCTAGTCACTCGCAGGCGCAACGATGCCTTCAATATTGCGAGACAGAGCCCCTCAACAATGCTCCGTAGGCCGCGTTGCCGAAATCTGGGTTCCAGAAACAGCCTATAGATAGGTCTTGGCCTGAGTGAAGGTCATTGAGCAGGGATAAGCAGCAGACATCTTGACACACTTACCTTCACGGTACTTTACTTAAGAACATAGCTGTAGTTGATCTTATGTGCTACGTTTTTGTCTTTCATGACTGCTTGTCTCGCTTATATAATTCGTTCACGAATACATTAACGACGAACGCTCGTACTTAACAGACGATGCTATATGCGATTTATGGAAAATGCGCTTTAGACTACTCGTCTTTGATTAGCTAAATAAGTAGCTGTAATCTGTACTCACATGCATGCATACCAACCCCTTGAGATAGCTGCTCACAACTTCGATAAAGCCAACATCTCGTTGCCTTTGTATTCGTCCGTGTGGTCAGGGGGCTATGGCATGGAAGACGTGGAAGCTTGAGGATGGCAGGAAGGAGGTGGTGATAGTTCAAAGAAATTCTCTTAGATCAGAATATGGGTTGGGATGGAAACTTCAAGTGTGAGAAGGTACAGTCTAGGTAGGCTCCTACTAGGAAAGAGGCAGGATTGCGTGATTGCGTGATGAGGAAAGAGCGTAGAGCTGTCCTATTTAGTAGCAGGTGCGGCCGTACAAGCTCTCCTGAACAAGTCTTCTGACAAAACCACTCTTATAAGAGATGATTCACTATCATACCCTACCCAGTCTTTCGTAACATAAAGAGTCTTTCAGCTAACGTATTAATGCCCTTATGATATTGGATGTGCCTCTTCGTTGTTGTTCCCATGCCCGAGTCTTGGGATCACAACTACTACTCACTTGTCAAAACGGGCCCTCGAATCATGAGAACAATCACCTGTTGCCGTTGAATGAACGAGAGCCCATCGTCTGCTTTAACGTCTCCTGAAGCTAGGAACTATCTCACTTTTGATCGACAGGTCTTTGATCCGTGCTATTCACCGTTATGTGAAGTAGATCATCAGACAGCTCAAGTTTTTGTAACAGTCTCGATAATATTCTTTATATCTTAGATACCCACCCCCAAGCAAACATCTTGATCGTATAATGCCGCTTTGCTGGAGTGAAAAGGAGGTCATTTCTCATCAGCTTTTCTGTATTCCAAACCCGCCCATCCCCCCTTTACACAGAGGCTCCATTCTCTTAACAACGAGCAGCGCATCAATCTCACTACTTTCTTGAGACGGAACCTCATCCTCTACGCTCCCTAGAGGTAAGATGCCTCGCCCGCCGCCTCTCCTCCTCAGTCAGAACCCAAATCATACCATCCTCCTCCCCGTCCTCCGGCTGAGCAGAAATCTCCTCCCACTCCTCCTCCTCCATGTTGGCCACCATCAAAATCTGCGAAACCCTTGCAAACAGCTCCCTGACGCCATAGTTGCCCTTGGAAACGGTGCTGACGATGCTGGAGAAGTCACGCTCCATGCGAATGACGCCGTAAGCGTTCGCCCGCGCGTCCCAAACCCTGCGTTCGAGCACACGCGAGAGGTACCGCGCCGTGAGGTCGTGGAGCGTCGTAAAGGTGTGGACCGTCATGAGCCGCACCACGGGCTTCATGAGCTGGTCCCAGCCGTGCTCGAAGCGACGGGATACCTGGTCTAGCATCTCCTCCTCATCCTCGTCGTTCTGCTGGGCGAACTCGGCAAGCTCCTCTTCGGTTAAGGAGTAGTCTATGTCGCGGAAGGTGTCGCTGAGTACAGGCCGGAGGCGTGGTTGGACGACCTGCTTGAAGAGAACCTGGAGTCCCTCGTTGAGAAGCTCGGTAGTCTTGGTGGTGAAGGAGCTGTGTAGGGTGTTAAGAGCCGAAGACACGAAAGCAACGTCCTTATCAAAGGGGAAAGTATCTCTGAGTGATGGCTCATGAGCATCGCCGTTTGCCTTTGGCGGATCGTTTGTGCTTCCGATGTTACTTGTGATGATTCGTCCAAGATACTCGTTCGCGGTGTCGAGACTGTTGATGAGAATGATGAATTGGATGATCCTATCTTCTGGCGGGAATCCTCCTTGCACAATGGGCTTGGGATAGGACTCGTCTCGCATCTTTCGTTGGATCATGCCGACAAAGTCTGAGC